TTGAGAAGGTTGTAGAGGGGGACTAGGACAGTGGCAGCGTTGGCAATGAAGCGGTGGTAATAGTTGACTAAACCCAGGAATTCTCAGAGTTTCTTCGCTGTTTCAGGTTTGGGGAACTCCCTAATGGCAGTTATCTTCTGTGGTAGGGGTTGGCTGCCACTAGGCGAGACTCTGTGACCGAGGAAGTCAATGGAGGAGGCTCCAAAGACACACTTAGCAGGATGAACTTTCATGTTGTTGTTCTGCAGGCGTTGGAGAAGGAGTTGTAGGTGGTGATGGTGCTCGGCAGGCATCGAAGATGCGACGAGGATGTCGTCAATGTAGACAGTGACAAAATCGAGGTCGCGAAGCATATGGTCCATGTACCTCTGGAAAGTCTGTGCTGCATTGCGTAGGCCAAAACTCATGAAAGTATACTCGAAGAGTCCGAACGGAGTGGTGATGGCTGTCTTCTGGGTATCTACAGGTGCTACAGGGATCTGGTAGAAGGCACTCTCCAAGTCGATCTTCGAGAAGATTGTCTTGCCATGAAGTTTGTGGTGGAAGTCCTGGACATGCGGAATAGGGTACCTGTCAGGTTTTGTGACGAGGTTCAGGGCTCTGTAGTCACCACACACCCTCCAGTCGCCGGGTGATGACTTAGGAACCATGTGAAGAGGCGATGCCCAGGGACTCTTTGAAGGACGAATGATGCCGTCTTGCAATAGTCTGTTGAATTCTGCTTTGGCTGTGTTTAGGAGCTCAGGGCGCAGGCGGTGAGGGCGTGAGAAGACTGGAGGTCCTTTGGTTTCAATGTGGTGGAAAACTCCCAACGTAGGTGGTGGGGGTGGAGAGACTCGGAGTGAGAAAAGCTCCTTGAATTCGTCGAGCAGGGGGGAGAACTCGTTGGAAGGCGAGAGGCAGGTGATAGTGTCGGTGTGTTTGGCACGAGAACCCTGGATCTTGCGTGCTGTAGGCTCATGGATGAGGCGTAGATGGCTTGGGTCGACGCCGAGCTTGTGGAAGGTGAGGAAGTCGAAGCCAAGGATGGGTTGAGACACGTCTGCAACCACGAATGACCAGCACAGAGTCTTGGGAAGATCGAGGTCTAAGGCGAGGGTGCGTGCGCTGTAGGAGGCGATGGGGGGTACCGTTGGCAGCAAACAGGTCATAAGGGTTGTTTTGACGTGTCTTGTAGTGAGGGGGGGAGGATGCTGACCGATGAACCTGTGTCGACGAGGAATTTCGTGTCGGAAGTGCAGTCGGTGATGTGCAGTAGTGAGACGCCTAAAGGAACGGGGGCTGAGGCGTCTACCAATCCCAGTTGTTGCCGTTTTCCGAGTTGGTGCAGTGGGGCTCACAGTGTTGAGCGTTGGAGCCAAAACGTCTGTGGTACCAGCATAGGGTAAATCTGTTGTGCTGGGGGCTGGCGGCGGTTTCCAGGGCAGGAAAGGCGCGTCGGGGATTGTAGGGCGCTGTGCGTGAGTCAGGAACAGGCCCAGCAGCAGGCCTGGAGAAGCAGAGCTGTTCAATGGTGTCCATCCTGCGGTTCAAAGTTTGCAACCGGTCCCTGATATCTTGTGAGGTTCTGCTTGGCTGAGGGGTGATGGCCCGGCTTACAAGTTCGGGGGTAGGTACTGGTGCGGTCGTTGGGTTGTTCGCAGCGGCAAGGTTCGCAGCAGCGCAGTCATTGAATATTCTGTCTGCCGAGGTTACGTAGAGTTCTGGTGTCGTAGAGTAATCTACTGTGGACAGGGTGATGCGTACCTGTGTGGGGAGCTTTTGTGCGTGGATGCGTACCTGTGTGGGGAGCTTTTGTGCGTGGATGCGTACCTGTGTGGGGAGCTTTTGTGCGTGGATGCGTACCTGTGTGGGGAGCTTTTGTGCGTGAAGCTGGTGCAGAATAGAGTCGGGGAGTCTGTCTGTATGACGGGAGTTCAGCCGACACATCTCCCAGAGACGTCCCGGGGTAGAGTTTCCGAGGGAGATAGAGGGTAGGTCTTGCAGGAGATTGGGGCTGGTCCGTTGATAACGCGTCTTTAAGGCATCCCGCAGGGTAGCGAATTTATCGTCATCTGGAGGGTTGGAAATGGTCTGTGAGACCTGCGTGGCGACTTCCGTGGGCAAGGCACAGAGCAGGGAGCCGTACTTTTGCTCGTCAGTAGTTTGTGAGCTGATGAGGGCTGCTGCCACATGCACTAACCAGTCCTCGACGTTGTGGTTGAAGGTCGGTAGAGAGATCCGTCCGTCCATTCTTGCGGGAGTGCGTCAAACCTTTTAGGGAAGGATGAGGGATGGGTGCTTGTTCCGATCCCCTTGCGTGTTCACAATCTCCTGGGAGGGAGGTAAACAGTTGCAGGGGGGACTTGGAAAGAATACACTTTTTAGGGTGCAGGTCCTTAGGCCAGAACTAAAAAAGCAAAAGAAAAATAGGAGAGTAGGCAAAAGAGCTCAAACCACGTTTGGAATATCGCACAATAGTTGCTCTCCGGCTGTGATGTGGGTCACTCACATCGCCAGTGGGGAGAACAGACTAATGCGTTATAAACCTTACGGTCGTGAGATGTGGAGTAGCAGGTAGGGCGGTTGGCCCGGACTGGCAGCAGACTTAGAGAAGAAAATAGATTAAGCTGGAGCCATGCTGGTTGGGATAGAGATCCTCGTTAAGACTGAGGAAGTAGTTGATAAAATGGAGGGAGTAGTGAAGAAGAGTAATGCTCAGGCTTTAGCAGGCCACAGAAGGTGACGGAGAGTAATGAAAGATCCGATCAGGTCCTTCAGCTGCTAATGACTCGGAAAAAGTGTGTTGAAGAGATGGCAACTAGCAGACCTACTGATAGGGAAGAGGAGGAACAACGGGAACGTTTCGAGCACAGGAACAGCATAATAGTGTGTGGAGTCGCTGAGAGCCAATCGGAGGATGCTGAGAATAGGAAAACACACGATAAGTTGCAGTTTGAGAGTATTTGTACAGAGGCTCTGAAATGAGAGCCCCCCTCAGGGTCACACTAGTGAGTGAGGATAAGAAAGGGCAGTTATTCGGCAGGTAAAAACTTAGCAAGGAGTGGTGCATTGCAGAATATATTCATACACCCAAATGATTTGGGCCAAATCACACGGTAATGCAGAGGGAACAGCACAAAAAATCTCCTACGGTAATTGATGCAAAAGAGGAAGGATTCGATGAGGAACGGAGACGGACGTACATGGGTTATATACAAGAGGAGGATAGTGGGAGATAGTGGACGTCCGCCCCACAAGGGGTCACCGCTCAAGGTTGAAGAACCCGCAAGTCCAGAAAACTGTGAGGGGAAACATTTTCGGAGTGAAAATTGTGAGCTCTTGGAACAGCCTGCCAGAGAGTGCTGTGACGGCACCAAGTATGAGCTGTTTCAAGACCAGACTTGACCAACACTGTAGCAGGTTCAGATACATCCAGGAGCCAGTGCATGCCTCGTACTTGCCAACAGTGCAGAGACGTGACCGACCGCCCAAGCGGCTAACGAGCCGATCAGTGGCGACGAAGATAAAAGTAAAAAAAAAAAATAGAAGGGAGTAAGAGCAAGGATATAATACTCTTTATAGTCCTTGGGTAAGAGGACACGGTGAGAGCAGTATGATAGGGTAGGGGTAGCAGGGGTGGATCCAGGGGGTCCGGACCATGCTTTTCAGCAGAAAAAATTAATACTTTTCTTTAATGCAATATAGTACTCAGGTGTTTTGCATAGTAAAAAGTAATTTTTATCGACCTTAGAATATCTCCTAATATCAAGTGCACATAGCCTCAAAATGGCCTAATGCCCATGATATTGGTCAAATTTCACAAATTTTACGGGGGAACTTACCCCCCCCCCCCACCCCCCCTTCCTGTTAAAAAATAATTAAAACAGCTGGGTGGGCTCTCTGTGGTCCACCACCCACAACTTCTTTGACGCCCCCCTTTGATATTCCTGGATCCGCCCCTGGGTAGGGTGGAATTAACATTAGGAGATTGGAGAAAAATCCATTGATTGGTTGAGTCAGTTAAGGAAAACATTTATTAAGCTATAATCAAAGCTTAGCAAAGCATAGATTAAGGAAAATGACCTAGGAATGATATCTGATGAAAATATATCTGATAATATTGATATTGTCCTTGCATATAATTTGATATCAACATTAAATATACTATATTTATCTTTAATCTATCTATTACACAAGAATTTTTATGTTAATGATATTCATTAATATACAGATATAAAACGTTAATCGGAAGCATTTTTTTTTTACATTTTTCAATAATAGCTCCATTCTTAATTTGTGTTTAGCTAAAATAAAATAATGTGGATGCGTGTTAGCCATTTGGTGATGTATTTATAATGACTGATAGAGAATATTAATGCTTGAGGTGCTAATTTCTTTATGAGGTACAGTATAGAGAACAAACTCACGAGTTGCAATCCCAGCAACACTAGAAAATAGTAACTTAATATCCATCTGTGTTTCCACATACTTTATATGATTTAAAAAAATAATAATATTTGCGTATAGGTAAGGAAAAAAGTTAAGAAAGATAGTCTACAAATACCTGTATGATGAGACCGGGCACATATTGTGAACGGTGGTGCCAACCTTACAGATGCAATGTATCACTTCGCCAGACTTATTTATGGCGTTTAAGGTGAACAATATTAACCTAGAAATGTTGTGATAATTTATTTTAAAATGTTCATATGTGACATCTGAGTATAGCCTAATGCAACATGGATTATTTTACTTTAATTTTGAGACAGAAAAATTATTGGCGTAATTAATTTTCGCAGGATTCGTGAAGCGTGTACCAAACGTTAAAAAATACCCTTATTGCTACTCATTACTTATATTGGATGACTTATTATGATATAAACAGAGTAAATGAGTATGTATAAATTGTTTAGAATTTATTTGTTTATGTTCAATATATTATATGAGGGTGTGTTATGTTGGCAGCTGTGAGGGCTTGTTGAGGTGAGGGAGAAGTCCTGAGTCAGTCGTGGCCCAGCCGTCGAGCCGAGCAGAGGGGGGGCGCTGCGTGCTGTCATGAACCACTAATTCTTCCTCACCTACACATGTGACAACTTAATTAACTGGTTCCAGAATGACAATCATAGTGTTCCTTATCGATACTTCGGCCTCTATGAACCAAAGAACTTTCATAGGGGCCAGACCAACAATGCTGGATATAGCGAAAGGCGCCGTGGAGACATTCGTGAAGGTGAGGACAGCCGTGATGGTGATTATACTGTGGTCCCGTACGTCGTTATTTGGAAACTTAGAAGGATGTGGACAAAATATAGTGAGAGAGGGTGGTGCACAAGGTTTGGTGAGAAAAAATAATATGTCCTTATAGAGGTAAATCAGTTAAATACATGCTGCATTAAGGAGGCAGTTCAAAGGGACCGTGTTCGAATATGTGAACGTGGCTGATGGCTAGGTGGTAATGTCATCACTCATCCTTCACTCTACTGCTATATGTCTCTAGGATGGGAACAACACTCAAGTTTCCAGGATAAACCTTCATAAAAACTAGCTAATAATTACTACCTTATATTATCTCATGTTAAGTATGGAAGCAGGAGAAAAATTAACTCACTTAGTTATCAGTGTGTTAATATGCCTTACTTCAAAGAGGCAGGATTATACAGCATATTGAAACATTCATTTTAACTTCATATGGAAAGAAAATAATTGTATTTGTTCATTTGAAGAGATAGACTTTTCATGATTTTAATAGATGTTTTAAATTGTGTTATTACTTAAAAGTGGTTTAAGTTCTATCAATTTGCTCCATATTTACTGTAAATTCATTCTTACTGTATATTAACAAGACATCATAGTATCTAGGGACTAGTATAGAAGTTTTTTTTTTAATTTCTCATAACATATCAAGCCATTTGTTATCTTGCACCCGTTTAGTACACTTACAAACTGGTGTGTATGTTACCTCCTCATGAATTAAGTTTGTATTTTGCAGTAAGTAACTTCTTGCATGCAAATTTGCCCCTCACAGTGAACATGTTGGACGTGAGTGAAAAAGTTCCCCAAACACTATGGCCACAGTCTTAGTTTACATCGTCATACACTTTGCCCTTTGTAATTTTTGTTAAGAGAATTGGTGCTATACACATTGTTTCAACTGTCTAGCATTACTATTACAGTACTTTGTTTTATCCCCTATAAATTTACACCAGAAACTAAACTTAACTGTATGTGGTTTTAGTACCTGAAACATAACCTAATCATAGCGGTGCATGATATTTGCATCCAAAACCTAACCTAACCTTCTGCTGAAAGTAGAATGAGTAGACAGCTGTTTATTTACCCAAACATGTCATAAAGTTCAACTGGAAAATACAGTAGTTAGGGTAAAGATTAGTTTTAGGTCGAGCATGGAATCTCATATTTCTCTTTATATAGGGAGAAAGGGCAAAAAATACATACTTTTTTCTATTATGCATGTTATCAGTGCAAATTTATATATTTTTAGTATTTTAACCAATAAGACCTGAACAATTACTAACAATACTGGTTGTTCAATGTGGGCAGGGCTTTGAAGTGCAGTACATATAGGGAAAAATATGGGGTAAAATACTGAAACGAAAGGTAGTATTTCACTTGTTGGCACTAAATGAATATTGGGAATTTTAAAGTTGCAATCATTAATTTTGACAATTCTAAGACAATTTTCTTAAATGGCATTTCTGGCGCAAATTACTTTTAAGCGAGATATTTAACATTTTATTATGTATGTTTGTATGTGGCGGTACAGAGCCAGAACATTGAGTGACTGTGGAGCTCCCCTGTTAGTGTTTTTTTGTGTTCTGAACACTTTTTACCTTGATTTATATAGCAGATCTCTAGATTCTGAGATGGGAGGGGGAAACTTATCTCAACTCTGATTTTGTATGGTAGCAACAAATGAAAACTTACCAAAAGAACACCACGCAAACCTCCAACAACCTAACCTAACCTATAAAAAGCCTACTTTATATATGTTTTCAGTGTTTAATATGTGATGGCTTAGTTTCCAGTGTTCAGATGAGGAAGGGACCCATAGACTCTAAAGCGATTTTTTTATCTTTTTATTGGTTGGGGAAGATTAGGTAAGGCTTTCAAAGGTTTGTTTGGTGTTCTTTTTAGTACAGTATTTTACCCCATATTTTTTCTATACGTAGTGTACTTCAAATCCCTGCCCACTTTGAACAACCAATATTGTTGGTAATTGGGGAGGTCATATCGATTAAAATATTTAAAAAAATATAAATTTGTGCCAGAAACATACGTTTTTTTTTTCTCTCTCTCTCTCTTTCCATATACAGTATATATATATATATATATATATATATATATATATATATATATATATATATATATATATATATATATATATATATATATATATATATATATATATATATATATATATATATATATATATATATATATATATAATTAATTTTTTTCCATGCTCAACCAAAATTGAATCTTTACCATAGTTAGAAATACTCATAGTTGGACTGTTTTTTTATTTATTTATTTTTTTTTTTTTTTACTGGATTAGCTCACCAGGGCACAGGTCAGTGACCCACATCAGGGCCTGGGGGACGAAATTTAATAATAATAGTAATTAATAAAAATAATTAGAAAAAGTATTTAATAAAAATAAAATAATAATATTAAATGACCATAAAAAAAAAAAATCAATAGTGAGAAACAATATATGTATGTTATTTGTCAATAGTAAGAGAAACAATTGAAACCCTGCAATTGTGTGTCAATGAGGCAGAACAGTCAAATCAGCAACCTGGGACTTGGTCACATATGGCAGCTGGGTCTACCATTAGACAACACATTATGCTTCCAATATCTTCCCAGTGTCTATCTGTTTGATAACTGCCTACTACAGGTACATATTAGTCAATGACAAATAATGCACTTGGTACATTCCCAGTGAGGTGCAAATAATGCTCTTGGTATCTACAGCATTGGGTGTAAGTACTTCCAAAAACTTAATTAGTTCTTTTTAACCTTTGTATTTGACAAAGTGATATTGAATTTGTTCATCCAAACACTTGGTTCTGAATATATTCAACCTTACTACAGTAATGTCTACAGTACAGTACTCTACTATCCTGTATAATATTAACAGATAACCTTTTACTTTCTTCCTCTGTTGGTAGGAATGTCTATATTTTTTCTTCACTGTTTCAAGCCATGGCAGACTGTAGAATATATAGTTTTGAATATTTGAAGTGCCATTTTTTCAGACAAGATCACAGAAGTCTGTAACCAGGCTCCTTTTACCACATAAAGAAACAATCACAGAAAGCTAGACCATCGCTTGATATGCCTGATACAATTAGTTTAGATTACAGTGTCTTATTGAAAGTTCTGGTTTCTTGGGAATTCCTTTATGCTATGGGTTGGATATGAAAGAGTATACTGTACTGTACAATATCTAAATACAGTATTATATTACAGTTCAGTATAGCAGCTACTTAAGTGCTACTTGCAGCCTAAGTTTTGACTTGCATGTACAGGAAGGCATAAATTTTTTTGTTTGTATTTGTGATACTGTATTAATAAGACTGACATTTTAAGCTCTTTAAAAAAACTCCTGGCTACATATCTATTAGAGCTGTATGACCTTATTGTTATCAGTTTGTAGGTAAATTATTGTAGTTCTGCCTCACAATAAGGAGTATTATTCATAAGTCCCTTTTTAAATTGTGATTTATCAAACTGGTTGAGTTTATTGACTAAGTCAGAATTGTTGACTACAGTACGGTAGTATAGTCCTGGGTTATTTGCAGAGTTTTCTCTTAGGCAAACCTAATGATTGAATACATCATGAAAATTAAATGTTTAAAAGAAATTCTAAAAAGATTGTTGTTGGATTTTATGATAGTGTGCTATTGAATGTGCCTTGTTAATGGAAATGCGGTAATGTGTTACAAGGAACAATTTCCCCTACCTTACTTTGCCCCCATCAAATTGCCAGGCTGCACTAGAGAGGAATTTCTAGTGCATTTGGTGTTGAGAAAATTGCTTTTTGTGTGAAAGCATTCTCAAGCATGTCATTTATTACAAAATTATAAAGCTATTAATGTGAACACTACTGATAGGGTAATGATACCTCTGAGTCTATACAGTAGTTAACCTCCAACATTGGGCTTCATGAAATAAAGCACAGGTACCCCCAATAAACGACAACGTTGTAACTAAGGTCACATTTGAAACTTTTTTTTATACGTGAAAGCAACTGCTGTATATGTTTTAGCAAATAGCAAACACATTTTACACATTTCTTCTTTGGATAATGTGAACTTTAAGCTGTCAAGCAGTTTATATGGTTACCCAGGATGCTCGACTGTACTATACCTGTAACATGCTCATTGTTTACAAGGTATATATTAATTACAGTACTATTATTTTTACAGGACATGTAGTAGTGAACTTTGTGTGAAAACCTCCCAGTTGACTTAACATTTCCCCCCCATCACACACAGGTACTACAGTACTACCATTCGATCTGTGCTTTTTTCACTTAAAGAATGAATTTCCAGGAGCAAAACCCCTGCTTATGTTGAGGATATCTGTACAGGTTGAGGTTCCTTTATCTAAAAAAAAGTCCCAGCAGTATTAAGAGTATGATGATGGTACAGGTACAGTATATGGGTATATTCTGGGTATCTTGGATAAAATATAAAGATATTGTACTGTACTTTAATAAACTTTGTCAGTAATTTAGGATTGTTAAAATCTGTATGTTTATGTACAGGTTCACCATGTTAAATCCAGTTGTGAAGAAACTGAGAATTTTATACAAATGTACATTTACTCTTTTTTACTATTTTGTGTGTTTACACAATGGGCCCAAGCCTGTACAGGTATATCAAACCCACATCTATAACCATAACTGCAATGAACTCTATAACAGCAGCCATAAGTTACCTGAGCAGAGATAAATGCAGGTTGAATCTATAGAGCAGCTGGTTTGTCCAGTAAGGTGACCTGGCTGCCACTGTCTCCAACACATCTTTAACTTTTATCCCACAAACTTGTGTGGTTACACTAATCTCTGTCTAGTTTTTAGCAACAATATTCAAAAGAACCCAAACAAAATCATGGTTACTTTTACTGTAAAAATTTCCTGAAGTACATGGTGGTGTCAGTGGTTCTGAGGGAATGTCATTGCTGAAATCTACTCAGTGTTGTCTCCAGTGCTACTGTAGTTGACTAAACCAAGCATTACCAAACCCTAGAGTAGGGGTGGGCAATTATTTTTGATGGAGGGCCACTTCATGAATGGTGGCACACTTCGCGGGCCACAGGTTAACAGCGACGGGCCAGTATTGCTGCTATGTCCTCCCAACTTCCAAAATTGTCCGTTCTGTAATTAATAAGAATTTTTTTTTCTGATTGCCAAATGCAGTGGCGGGCCACAGAAATAATTTGGCGGGCCAAATGTGGCCCGCGGGCCGCACTTTGCCCACCCCTGCCCTAGAGTATTGAAGAATATATAAGGTAAATCATGTTTACTGTAAGATTATTTTAAATGCAAGAGGTGGGAAGCAAAGTGGTTTAAGTAGAAAAATTGCATCTGTCAGATTTTAGGCTGACCCCCTGGAACATTCCCCGGACTCCCAGGGTCCACAGACTACACTTTGAGAACCACTGTTTTTTAGAGTGAGAACTTAAACCGTGATGTCTGAAAAAATTACATATGTTGGCAAAATTAAGCACTACTACATTGGCTTACAATTCCTGAAGAATAAAAAATGTTCCACAACAAAGTTCATTAACACATGGTGAAGTACATTGGCCACGGAGCTAAAACGTGGATACAAGAACATTGCAGATAACCTCTGGTCAGGGCAGCCTCCAGTTGTCCCTGATGTAACTGTAGCTAAATTTGAGAGCTTGTTTATGATTGTCTGGTGTATCAGAGTTGATGAAATAAACACAAAACTTTGCATTTCACTGGTAGTGTGTAACCAAACTAACCGCCATCCATGAATGTTTATTGATGTCTACAAATTCTGCTGTGTATGGCAGCTGAGTGAATACAGTGCTTGCCTCATGGTTACTGGTTCATTCTCAGTTTACTCCCAGTCCACCCATCTGTAATTGGGTACTTAACTATGCATTTGGAAAGAAGCAAAGGTGGTCAGGTGCAATGCTGGTCACACAGCCCCGTTGTGTACCAAACGTTTAGTACAGTATTATAGTGTGCTGTATTCACACTGTCCTGTTAGTAGGACCCACTATTATCAGATTTTAGCAAGATGGGTTCTGCAAAACTTTAGTACTCAGGAGACTGACAGCAGAGGATGACCTCAGGTCATGAGTTCCCTGAACTGTTGGAAGCCAGTTCAGCCAAGTATTTTTCCCATTAGATGAGACTTTTATTTATTTTTTTTATTTTTTTTTTTACAGGGATTAACCTGCCTGGGCACAGGTCAATGACCCACATCAGGGCCTGGTGGGCCAAAAAATACAATAATAATTGTATTTAAAATAAATAAAAAATAAAATAATTGAAGCCTTGCAATTGTGTGTAAATGAGGCAGAAAGTCAAATCAGCAACCTGAGACTTTGTTAAAAAAAATCTTGATGGCAGTAGGGTCTACCATTAAATAACACATTACTGTATGCTTCCAATATCTTAACAGGCAGTAGTACCTCCTTGTTTGATAACTGCCTACTACCTTTGAGACCTGGTTTCATCATTAGTACCTAGAATCAAAGATAGACTCCATGCAATATAAGCACATGGATCCTCTCATCTCCAAGACATTCAGCAGTGAACCTTCTATTGGTGGTATCAGCCTTAATTTTCTGGGATAGCTACCAAAGGGATTCTGCTGATTAACTACCTGTCACCTTTAAACAATGACCACCACTGACTATAGTATTTTGTTGGCCTATTTGTGTGATGCCGTCCAAGAGAAATCAGATATATTAATTGCTAATGAATTACTAAATTGACACATTTTATAAGTAAAAGTCTCATTGGAGACATATTGATAAAAAGTGTAGCTCAAACCTACTCTCTTTTATGAGGATAAGCTCTCATTTTGATTTATCTGGCAGACTGAAGGTAGAAGCATCATGTTCCACCCCTGTGTGTTGAAGAGTACATCCTTCATATTGATGCTTCACCTGTCTGATAAAATCAGGTGTGCTGCTCTGGTCACTCTGCATCCATTAAGGGAGTAAGAGTTGCAGGGATGAGCAATGACGAGAGGGTCTTTAGTTGCGTTAAGAAAAACTCTTGTCCTCAGGGTAGCCAACACGCTACACCAAATATGAATTAAGTAGATGTTTTTCATTCTTCAAAACTTAATTTATATTGCCCAATACATTTTACCGTGTGATACAATGGCATATGTATGTAATTTTCAGCCGTACTGTAAAACTTTTAAAATATTCTTATCCTAATAAATGTGCTACAGATGCCAGTTCATACATGAAGATATACAGTATTGTACTCTCTCATTGTGAAAAAACTTCTTGTACCAAATTTGTGCTAAAGCTTATGTTGAACAACCTCCCCTCTCGTACTTTACTGTACTGTACTGTACATTTGTCCAGCAGACTAGCATAGTCTTCTTGGCATTCTTGGTGAGACTGTTGTGTAGCTACTGTATGTACCATGCATGTCTTCTGTACATTCTTGGCTTTTGACTGCGACATGAAATAAAATGTTTTTATTAGTAGTAGTATTACACACATGTAAAACTTCACATTTTACAGTTACGGCAACGGAGTCCAGAAAGCCGTGGAGATCGTTACATGCTTTTCACCTTTGAGGAGCCACCAATGCACATCAAGGTGAGAAATTCAAAGTGAGGATGTATAGATTAAAGAGGAACTAAGTTCTTTAATGCTGGATAAAATTTTTGAGATACTGTACTTGCATGTTTTCTTAGAAGATGCCACCATGAAACATACAGAAAAGGAGAATAGAGCATTACAGTACGGTACTATATTATTGTGGGAACAGCATCAAAGCTAAACATCCTTGAAATTGATGAGGGCCAAAACCAAGCAGAAGATAGCTTGATTAGTTATCTTGTAAGTGTACTGTAGTTGTAATTACTACAGTTACTATTTTCACTAAGTAGCTACTGGTATCTATGAACTCCTTGAATACGTCTTTCGTCTCAATTTCCGGAAATCTCACTCCCGGAAGAACTCTGCACCAATGATTCTGGCTATCAGGGATATCACTTAATATAGACTATGGCAGTTTCCAGCATGTGCATAGGCAATGCAGGTATGTACACACTGTACAAAGACAGTGGAGGTACAGTTTACCGTTTCCAATGTATCAAGACAAGATATACAACGATAGTGAGCAGTAAGGCATCTTGACCAAGGATAGCTGACAAAGCCATCAGATGCATATTTCCAGTAGGGGACTTTCTGTACAAGGTTGTCATTAGTTGTAGTTTATATTTTAATGTTTCTCCAAATGTACATTTCTTTTAAATGTGATTTTTCTACTACTTGTTTCACAGGCTGGTTGGAAGGAAAACTTGGCCACCTTTATGAATGAATTGAAGAATATAAAGGCAACAGGATTATCTACACTTGGTCCTGCCATCAAGAATGTTTTTGATGTTCTTAATATAAATCGCATGCAGTCAGGTATTGTATATTCTTGAACTTAAAAGTAATGCATCCTTCTTCCTTCCCTCCCTTGCATATTTAATTTTTGTCTGTGTTATATGAAGGTTCTCTTTTAAAAATCATCTATGTTTATTGGAGTCCACTTTGTTAGTTCTGAGAAATGTAATCTTGATACAGCATTGCTGAAGCTGAATGAGATATGTTTTGTAAATCAGTTATGGTACAGGTACAGCATTTGTATTTTAAGAATTTTTTCACCAGGTATTGACACTTATGGCACGGGGCGAAGTCCGTTTTTCCTGGAGCCATCTGTAATCATCATCATAACAGATGGAGGGAAGCTCTCCTCTCAGCAAGGGGTCCAGGATGATGTGAGTATTTGAATGATATGATTAAATGATACTTAAGGACATTAAGTTTTTTCAGATACCTCTTGTAATATACAGTAGTCTGTATTGCTATAGGTACTGTACTGTACTATCATTTGCATTACTTTTGCAGTTGGTTACAGCTACAGCAAGTGTCTTATTGATGACAATTTTAGGCATAACACTCTTGATTTTCTGTTTGTATTAACTGTATAGCTACATCATAGTAGAATGGCTTGGTCACAGGATTAAGTTCCTGTACCCTATTTTAAATATCAATAATGCATCAGATACTTTATGGTTAAATGGGAAAAATATCACTTGGATCCAACAGCATTCTGTATCCTTATTTTTGAGGGGAGCTTTTACAATACTCTTATTTTGGTCTGGAATTTAATATAAGGATAAAACTATAAACAAAAACAGATAAAATATACCTCTGAAAATTTACCTTGGTATGAAAACCTGGTGTAATAACATATGACAGTGATGTAAGCTTTATGTGGTCAGGTCTCATACTGTTGTAGTTGTACAATGAAAACTTAGTTACTTCTTGCTCTACATAGTGGATAATCTCACTCATGTAAAAATAATAACAAATAAAGTGCAATGGTTGAAAGAATTAATGTCCCTTTATGAAATGGCTGCTATGACAGGATTAGTACTAGCTATAGTTGGTTTGCACTGGACAGTATGTGTTAAAAATGGACAGTTACTTTGTTAATTAATTTTTAAGGCAAACCTGTCTTTATATTTGTGTTAGAATATTGAGAAATGAATGGGGTTTTTTATTTTTTTATGATAATGTCAGGCATCAATTACATTCTTTCCTTTGTTATAGATCTTCCCGCTGCCCAAAGTGAACCCCATCCCTGGTGCTGAACTTACCAAAGAAATCTTCCGTTGGGACCAGCGGTTATTTGGACTAGTTCTTCGATTAACTGGTACCCCTGCGCCGGATCCAATGGGACTGGTTCCTAGTGATAATTCACCACTAGATAAATTGTGTGAGCAGACAGGAGGTAATAGAAAGTATTTAGTATTAATCATTGCTAAATTTTGTTTTATAGTATAAGAAACATTATTATTGTAGTGTATTTATTGTGTCTGTTACTGAATCTGATTATTAGTAATAAATTGATAGTAATTGCCCATGAAAGTAAAGCCTTAAGGTAATAAATGAGCCCTGAGGTGAAGTCCTTTATCAGCAGCACTTAAGTTTGGGAGTGCTTCCTGAGGACCCAATTTTGGATCATTATTCAAATAGAAAAATGGAAAAAAAAAACAATCAGACAAGTGGAATTTTAAGAGAATGTGGTCCCCAGTGTATTTGATCTATAATGCATGTTAAAGCTACAGCATCGAATGTTCACAAAACAGGATATCAAATCTGATGGACCAATTTGTCTTTTAATTTTATAAATTTCTCTCATTAAGAAATTTGTATGAAATTAATGGGTCCTCATAATGAATTTTGCAATACAGTCTATATGAGATTTACTTGATAAGATAGTGTAGTAAAAGCAAACAGGAAAATTAGAATCTTGTGTCATGGAATTAGAACGTATCATACATGACAGTGGATGATTTTTCAGCATGATCAGCATTTCCCTGTTTCATTGTTTTAATATATTTTTATTCAACCTTCTCACTTACATGTATTTATGTTAAGTCCATTTATAGGCTTGGAGCTCCTGGCTGCTTTTGAAAAACATTTGTGTGTGTAAGAGAGAGAGAGATCCCCTTTTTCTTTCTTTCTCTTAAGTAATTTGACCTCCTTAAAAGTTATATACAGTATAGTGCACCATTAAATTTAATCTTTTAGGAGTAAATGTTTTTTATATAATGTATCTAAGATTGGATTTCTTTAACAGGTCGATCATATGCTGTGCGTTCACACAGAATGTTTCAACAGTGTATAGACAGCCTGGTGCAGAAAGTTCAGAGTGGTGTTGTAATAAATTTTGAAAAAATTGGCCCTGACCCACCACCCATCAACCCTGATGGTAATTATTTTAACTTTACAATATGAGCACTTTGTGTGTTAACATTAGTGTAAGGTATACAGTATTTATGTCACTCCAAATATTTATCTCTTGTGAAATGCTGTATTTATCTAGGGTCTAAACATCTCACTCGTAACTATTTTTAGTTGAAATGTACAGGAGAGTAGTTCAAAAAGTGTGTTCTTGTAATGTAATTGCAGTGTTGTTTATCGAAGGTTTATCATTCAAATTGGCACCAACCTTGCTTGCATATTTCCCCACTTTGTCTTTCCACTATGCATTCCTTATTGTTATTATCTACAGGCTTCCAGTAAGGGTCTTACTGGGTAATAATGGTCAGAGTTTATTCTGAGTAATAGTTTGTCTGTACAGTAGCTATTTAAAATTGTATTGATGCAGATTTTCTCTTGATAGGTAAAGAAACACCTGATGTCATAGAAGTTGACAAAGAAAACCAGCAAAATAATGTAGAAACTAATGGAGGAAATGGAGGATTGGGAGGTGGGGGTCTTGGAGGAGGAGGCATGCTAGGTCATATGTTACAGAATGGTGGCCGTCCTCACACTCCAAACTCGATGCCTCTCCCCCTTCCAAATCCTCCAAGTAATGCATGGCATAATTGCCGAAAAATGATATATGTGCCTCGACCAGCTCAGCGAGGAAGTCCATCAGGCTTTTGGCCCATACCAGAGTCCTTTTGGCCTGATACAAACACATTATCACTGGTAAGTAAAGCTTATTTGTCAGTGGATTGCTAAAAATATTATCTCATTCATATGTCAGTCTCGAAGTTAGATGGTGGACCTGTCTTGCTTTGCATAGTCTTAGATGCCAATGTCTGCACAATTATTTTTGGATTTCTCTTGTGTGTGTAATATAGTACAGAACTCCTTTACTTATGGGCAAGTTATGTTCCCAAAGCTTGTTTGTAATTCCAACTTTACTCCTGTAGATACCAAACATATTGGGGGGGGAAAAAAGAAGGATGTACAGTTACGGTCAAAAGTAATCATTCATTCCACCACCTAACCCATGTGCCTGGCCGGGTCCTTTCTGCACGGTAAGTCACATGGGATGAAGAGGGGGGAATGGTCGACATGGGGAGGGCCATTTGTTGGGGGGTGGGAGGGTGGTATGTGATACTGTACAAGTTTTTCATCAGAGAGGTAGGGAATTGAAGAAAACAGGGAAATTCATGAAAGAAGGAAAGGAAGGATGGATTGAATATTTTTCACTATATTATCTTAGGTTTACATACTTGAAAGAGTAATAGATGATGCCCCTTATTTTATGATTATAATGTGTTGCCCATTTCCTTATTTACAATTGTTTTTGTGTTCAAGTATTAAGCAATGGAATTTAGATATTTATAATAACGTTGATAGGAGGAAAAACATTGAATACAAGGTTGGAAATCACAATTATTTTTAATATTTACCTACGCATGTGATACAGAATCTACTTTCCTTGAAATTTCTGACACTTTGTAGCCAGCCGCATGCAAACTGATAATTTACTCGCCAATTGACATTCTTTAGCGTCCATCCTGGGCTGGGTGTGGAGCAGTGGCCAACACCATTGCCACTACCACCTCATCACCTATCATTTATTTTCACGACTCTGTTATTAAGCTATTACAGGGTGGACAAGTCACAGACTATCCAACAATTCATTCTTATTTAGTGTGACTGGTGGTGAGCAAGCCATGCCCCCTTCTCTCTTATGTTGTTATATGATGGGCTTTCCTTCACAGAAGCCAGATAGATGCCTTAGCAACCCAAATGACACATTACCTGCCAAAAGCTCCCCTTCACCTCCTGGGGTACCTGTCCTCTTGGTTGGTTGGGCTTTAGACCTATTAACTGCCAGGGTCATTAAGCCTGTCAACGTCAAGCTACATCCACCAACTTAACACCTTCTTCAGATGTTAAGAATAATTCTAAAACCACATACACTCTCACTACGTATGTGGCTCTTGATTTGCGCCCTCCTAACTTACCAGGGTCCACCACCCACAGCACTCTTCACTTCCCTCACCCTCTTGTGATATGTCATGTAGAAAAGGCCTTGAGGTTGCGGGTATGTTAGTAGGATGGTGGATGATTACTTTTGACCATGACTGTACAGTACAGCTACAGGGTTTACTGTACTTTACTCACCAGCAGATGCCTACAGTGGGCATACACTGTCCACTACTGGATGTACTTTTTTTTTTTTTTTTAAAGCTTGCAAGAATTTGGGTTTTTGAATCACTACTGTACCTTGAAAGCTCAAGACAACTACTATAGCTGAAATTCATAACACTTTCAATATGCAAGCATTTACTGTCCATACTGTTTACCTAAGCATTTATAATATTCAATTTTTTTCAGCCTGCAAGAAGTGCTCATCCCAATGTGAAGTTCACATGCACAAGTCAAGAACCCATGGTAATTGATAACTTACCTTTTGATAAATATGAGTTGGAACCTTCCCCACTAACACAATTCATCCTCTCAAGAAAACAACCAACAGTCTGTTGGCAGGTCAGTGCTCACTTTTTAATTGTTACTGCAATTATGCATCTCCATTAGGTAGCTTGTACTGTAATTTCTAAATACTATGAATAAAAGAGACTACAGTATATTGAAATACTTATTTTTCAAGTAACATACCTTCTGCCTTGGTAAAATGTATTTTGTTTTTAATTACTGACATCTGTATTATAGGTGTACATTCCTAACAGCAGCAAAAATAGTGATGTTGGTCATCCATTCGGATACCTGAAGGCTAGTACAACCCTACAGACTGTCAACTTATTTGTAATGCCTTACAACTACCCAGTTCTTCTACCACTGTTGGATGACCTATTCAAGACACATCGTCTTAAAGCAACCAAAGAATGGAGGATACAGTTTGATAATTATCTACGTACGATGCCCCCTTACTATGCCAATGTAAGTGAATGTTTTTACCTTTGTATTTTTTAATCTAGCCATTTGATAGGGTGGATCAAGAGGCATTTTGGGAGGTGAGAAAAATTTGAAGATTTTTGAAGTAGGAGGAAAACTGCACTATGCAGTTAATATATTTAACACCGGTCGCAAGGCAAATATGATCATAAATTGAGAAATAAAGTGTGAACTGATGTAATGTCACAACTTGTAGTCTCTTTTCATAGACCTAATTTTGATTTTATTGGAATTCATCACATGTACAATAATATACAATATAATACCTGTACTGTAATAGAGTTTTGAGGATAACACAAGAAGTCAAAAGACACTTTGGTCCTAAAAAAATAATTGAGTATCATGACCAAAGTTGGAAAGGCAAAAAATTAACAATTTCAAAACAAGTGAGTAATTACACAATTGCCAAGTAAGAAATTTATATGTATAATATTTTTTTTCTAATACTTTGCTGAAAAGAAATACTTTACAGTTTTCAACAATAGTCCGAGCACCAAGAGGTAAATTATTAAATTCTGTTGCATCAATTTACTTGAATAAACTTTACCTATCACACTTCTATATCTAGGTTCTACTGTATACTGTCTTGTTTTGATATTATATACATTTATAATGGTGACCTGAGTAAAATAATTTGATGCTTTGGAGCACTACATGACCTAGTTTAAATGAACACATGTTTCAACAGGTAATTACTGTAAGAACTTAAAATGAGAGTACTGTACAGTACTCCAAATGTGTATGTGGTAATAATTTCAGTACCATTCTGATGAGTTTGTTTTGATGTACAGTATTTGTAGTTTACTCAGTTTTCTTATTTAAGCCGCTGTACCATGCTGAGCATGCACAGTCAAGTGTACACTGTACCAAAACCGACAAAAATAATTTAATTTTGTCTCCATCTAGATATTTTGTTTTCTTTGACAAGAATTCTGTTTTGGAGCAGACTTTTTTAATAACTTTGAGCTGTTTGTTCTTATATGGGCTGATCAATTACTGCTCTAAGTTATTTTTACTGATGATTTCGCTTGGATAGTTGAACCATTACGCTGTACATTCAAGTTGGGAGATTTATTTAGTTAAACTTTAGACCCAAACTGAATGGATTCAGTTTTACAGAAATGGAGAGACACTTTATCTATCAACCAGTTACTAACATTAATTAACTCCTTATTCAATATAAATTTGATGAAGACAACATCTTACCTGATACTAATGATACAGAATGGTTTGCATATAACAAAAGTTTATAACTAACTTCAACTTTTAATTCACTAACATTCAATAAGAAGAGCAGAGGCCCTTGTATACCACCTTGCAACACACCCGTACATTATTTTAGCAGATTCTGACTTTTTGCCATTCACATTAACCAACTTTTTCTACCTGTCAAATATGAATGCATTTAATTTACACAGCAAAGTATGTTAATAGTATCAAAGTCTTTTTGGAGATTGGCATTACCATTCCACACAAATTACGTACCTTTTTTAATTTCCTCTTTTGTATATTCTCTCCAGTGAAGTAAACAAGTACAGTACAGTATCTATGGAATGAGAATTTCTGAAGCATGAGTACAGGTCATAAACCCAATTTTGAACTTACTGTATTAATAGATCTGGTTTTCACAAGGCAGGTCTATAGTTGTTAGAGTGGTTTTTTACTTTACTTGTACAATATAATAAATTAGTGTGACATACTCATCCAGTAGATACAGTAAGGATTTATAATAATAGAATCACAAATGATGAAAAGGGTAGCGTGACTTGAGGCTGTAAAACTGCTATTTATATCTCCGTTATCCGGAACGATTGGTGCAGAGCACTTCCAGGAATGAGAGATTTCCGGGGAATGAGACGACTCTCTCAAAGACGGGGAAAAAAATCCTTCATCCCCGGAATTTTCTGGGAAACGGAAAAATATTCTCGGAAGTTCCAAAGATTGCCCATTACATCATCTCTCGAAGCTTAAAAAAAACCATCATCCCCGGAATTTTCCGGGTAACTGAAAGTTTTTCTCGGAATTTCCAGAAAATGTGCCTGATTTTCATCTTTCAAACCCGGAAAAAACTCCCCCATCCCCGGATTTTTTTTCAGAATTTTCCGGAATATGTGCCCCTCGGAAAATCGTTCCCAAAGCCGGAATTTTCCGTAAAATTCTTAGAGAAAATTTAATTTCTGCCTATCGGAGAGTTCTGGGTTTGAGGGATTCCGGCCAATGGAGATATTACTGTATTATATATATAAATTAACACAGGCTCGGTACAAGTGTAGTATATAAAAGCCAATGTGTTTTACTGGTTTATTTTACTAGTTCAACGGGGGATTTATGGGAGGCTGTTACAAGATAGACACAGTTTATTCTTTTGTTCTAACGTAACGTTAATAGGGCACTTACACTGTCTACCGTGGGGATTTCAGGATCACCACTCCACCACCTACACAGCCAATACTTGCGTGGATATGATGAATAGTTGGTGCATCGTCAATGGCCTGGGCTGAGACTTTTTTGCAATATTCTTGGTCTTCTTCTCCAGTACAGCTGGTGATATAACATGCTGACCTCTCAGGGCGGGCGACAGTTGGGACAGGACAGCGAGTGTTGCTGGCCCCTTTGCAGTTAAGACTGACCCCTCCCTTCCCCTGTAGGCCCACTTTTATTGGAGAGTTCAGGGTCATGTCTTGTTACCAGGTCGCTGTTGCTGTGTGCTCGGGAGTCACGGGGGTATGGTGTACTCATTGTGGTAGGCCGGTCGGTGATACCTCCTTATTATTGCTCATATGTGTGTGTGTGCCTGGCCTTTGTCCCTTGTCATCATGTGTTTGTGCCAGATGGTTTTAACCATATACAATGAGTCATTCATGATGTAACATGATAATAAATGAACAAAACACTGAATTTTATTTACCAGAAATGATGTTGAGTGCTGAGTTGGGTGAGGTGGTGAGGTGAGGTGGTGCAATTTGAGTTACTGGGAGGGAGACGGTGGGTCACTGCTGACTCCTGCCTCCCCCTGTGAATATGCAGTTTGTTTTGACACCTAACCTGAAGCCTCACAGATTGGGTCAAGCATGGACGAATCTAAAACCAAGGTTTGGATTGGAGAGAAGGTTACTTGCTGTAAAAAATATTTTACTTAGGAGGGTACATCGTGGTGCTAAACATTAAGGTCCTGCTGGCAAATGCTCTGCCAGGCAGTGATTTATGGTATTGATTCAACAGATCATTTCTTCCCCTTTGTCATAAAATGGAAATTCATTCATCAGTGATATTTTTTGTTAAGAACAGAATTGTATTTGCTTCTCTATTTTTTGAAGATCGTACATTCTTTATTGATAAAATTTTTTGACAGAGCTAGCAACGTTATTTTACATGTGAAGGTAAGATCTTCAATAATTAAGATTGTTTTTCAACAGCCTCTGAAACGTGCTCTTGGACGGATGGGGGCGCCTAACCTCGTTCCTGATAACCTTGATAATTCCCTAAGCTTCCAAGTTACCAATCAGCTCAAGAGACTAAAAAACCAGGCCAAGCTAGAATATGAACGCATCTGTCTTGAGGTAATTTAATTTACTTTGATGTATTTCCTTTTTTTCTTACCAAAAGAGGTGGCTCAGGCAAAGATGATGAAGACTCTAAAATATGCATTAATTTTCATCTATTATTGAGTAAAACAAACTTTATCAAGGGTTTCACATTTCCTTTATGCCTTCTAATAATTCCTTCCTCAGCAAATCAGTAATGCTTCACCAATGTACACATGTTTATCCCTTTGTACTCTTGCTTATCATATTTTACAGCATATATGGCACACTTTTTTGTCACTGAAAAATATAACCACTGATACTTACAATTCAAGACCCTCAGGTGTTCATACTGATTCCAATTGATTCACAAGGGCTTATAATAATAACCTGCACATTTTCACCCAAGGTAATGCACAGTTGTTTAAAATGTCTCCAGCTTCTTGTAATGACATATGTCTCTTGGGTGCTCATACGGATGCCAGATGTTCAAAATGTCATGTTTAGTGCCCCCAAAAAGTACAGTGTATGCTAAGCCATGGGGTCTATGTGATTCAAAACTTTCTGAGCAATGTTACTCGACCTGTTTCTGAACTGTTGGTAGTTCTACATCTGCTTTTCTTTGAGCATGAATGAGTAGATACGTTTTCGAATGATGCGAATCCTCCGAGGCTTCAGATCATATATTACGTGACTCGGAGTAGATGTTGTAAACGAATTCCAATGCCATGCCAGTCATCAACTGGATCTTACGTCGAATGGGGCGAGGAATTATCAAGGAAACATCACCAGATGTGATAGGCGCTATCATGACGAGGGTATACGTAACGCTGAGATTGAGCGGCGAACTGGGGAGAGTGAACCCACATTATTAATATGGGGTAGGTTCCCTGAAACAACTGATGCCACACTGAAACTTAACCGCAAATGTCTTGCTCTAGGTGGACGTGGGGTTCTGTTGCCTGCAAGTCCCTTAATTTTAAACTTTATATCGGTGTTAAACCAATGCCATTTACTTATTAGTAACTTGGCAGATCCCATGGAGACCTATGTATTATATATATTGCTGTAGCTGTTCACTCTGATATCAAGTACTATTTGCTGAGTCACTCTTCATAAATCAGTCATCATGAACAACATGAGTTGGCATATTGTGAAACTCAGTAAGAAGGAGACTTCATTAGTACAACAATGTTATGGTGTAGTGTCCATTTTGAGGTCTGTCTCAGTCTCAGTTATGATGTTCCAAAACACTTCTATTTAATGTATATTTCAGTGTTCTTGTAATCATCAGTCAGTGGCTTGCTTACATGTGCCCTGCTTCCACCCAACATGATACATACACTAATATAGCCTTTTGGATTTATTGTTATATTGAAGTATCTACAGTAGTATGCCATACAAGGATGACACTCTCCCCCAATCCTACCCCCATCTTAAACTGTTGCTGATATGACAAGCTGACATACTAACTTAGGATGATGCACTGGGGATCATATGAAAGCATTTTGTCTAGTGTTTAAAATTGTAGCAATGGAAAATCTAACAATACTTTTTTGGAGGACTATACATTAGTACAATATCTTCAGTTTTCTTTAGGCTTTCCATTACTGTACAACTTAACACTCAAAACATTTATAGGTAAATGTCGGATCACAGGTCATGGGGAATATGCTATTTCAGTGATGTCTTAATTATTAATTTTATATTTAATTGTGTATATTAAAATTTAATTATTAATATTCTTGGGTGTATAGAATTCATGCTCCTTTGTTCTGCTTTTCCTTATTTTTGATCAATATAGTTGAGTTACCATTCTTATTTTGATACTGTATTTTATTGACAGGTTGAGAAGAGACTGTCCCAAACTAATTGTGTTGTCCATGAGGGCATTAGAGTGCAGCCTCGTAGACCATTATGCAAACACCTTACCTCCAATCACACACTTCAAGGTCAGTTAGAAGGATAAATATTTTGTGTTCTTGGCAATTGGTATTTAATGTTCAGTGTAAGCTTTCTTATATGTCAGATAGTCTATTTACATTGCTGTTGAGTGTAACCCTGTATTGTTAAGCGCTGCAACTTACGGGAAATCTCTACACTAGAGATTGGTTTCCATGCATATTGTTAAGATTGTTAACCTTCAAACAGGAGGGACGGTGACTAACGCCAGTGTGTTGCATGCAGTTTTTGCATTTGTAGGGGTGGATTAGGGAATCCTTCCCCAGCATTTAATAATACTTAATAAATTGTGTTGGTTTTTACTTAAGAAATGGCAAAGGAACAAGAGACTACTACACACTCTCTCTCTCTCTCTCTCTAAGTGTCTTACTAGGCAACCTTTGTTGTGATTTAAGTATTAAATACTTTGAATGATTTTTGCTTTGCTCCTACATGATATTGTATAATGTAATTTTGTAAAAAAAAACAATAACAACAACAACAACAACAACAGAGAATTACTGCACTTATGGCATTGCATTGAGGTTGGTGAGATGGTTCAGGTGTGTGGAGAGATAAGAACCCAACGAGAAGTTAGTGTATCTTTGGGGACTGCCATCGAGTATTGACGGCTAGCCCACACAAGCATGGTAAATTACCATAAAGTAGTGGTAATGGGGGACGATGAGAATTACAGGTTGTTTTCATTTACTGTTTTTGCAAGAACCAAGTTATCAGTTCCATGGTTCTTTTTATTGCCCCAAATTTTCTATGCCATGCTAAGATTTGTATATACAGCACCAGTGTGTGCTTGTCGTCTTTCCCACATGGTGTACAGGTATAATGTTTCCTGGCAAAACATCTTGCTCACCATAACACACCTGGAGCTTGTTAATTATGAATATCCATTTGACTTGGTGACTTAATTTGGTGATTTGTACCGCTTACAATGGCTCCCCCAAGATATCCTTCAAGTTATTCTAGAAGTACAGAACCCATTAAGATGTTAACATAACTAACTTTATATGGAGATAATTTAATGCTTAGAAAATTATGACAATTATGACATTGCTGTTTGGCTTGGCATGGCATACCAAGTTAGGTAGTCAAGCTGAAGTTCTATGATGAGGAATGCAGTCAGATGGTTGGTGAACCTGTAGCTGACGATTTAGGGATTACTCTATCACTATTTGTCAAGCAAGTTTGAAACAGGTACAAACAGTTGTGAAAGTGGCATGTTTTGCTCTGTGGTCATGCCATCATCACTATTTTGCACACTATACATTGTTGAAGATGAATTGCCAACTCAAGTGATGGCAGTAGGTTGAGGGTATAAAAGTAAAACTTGGTTTATGATTTTAAAATCAATAAGTAAATGAATTAGAGGTCAGGACAGCGACATTTTACTTAATTCAGTTGTGTGAACTAAACAGATCACCACACACTTGCAGTCATGAAGACACTTTCTGAGGTACATTATCAAAAGCCTTCCACCACCTTAAGTAAATTGTGTCGAGCAGGAGTGTCTAGGCATTGCTTCACAAGGTTATTTTGTTGTAGATGTTCCATCATGGAATCACATATAATGCTCTCTTGTACAGTACTTTACACACTATGCTGGTCAAAATCACCAGCCTATAATTGTTCATATCGTGGCAATCACCCTGTTCTAATATTGGACTCACATAGGTCTTTCTCTAGTCGCTAGGGACCTTTTGCTCATCCATGCTTATGCAGAATAGGATTTTAAGGGGCTTCACAAGCTCACCAAGCAACTCTCTTAACACGGGGTTCACACTGCCAAGGCCAGGTATTCTTATGAACTTTTAAGGTTTGACACTGCTTGTAATACAGTCTTCTGAGTAGTCGGTGTGCATTAGTGCTGTGTTCAGTCATTTATCCACAAACATAAAGAGGCATTGTGCATTCTCTGTGAATACTTAAGAAAAAAATTATTTATTGCCCTGCCTTGTCCTGATCTGAGTCTGCATGATTACCATCCTCAAGTCTCAAATCTGATGCTCCCACAATTGTCTTTGATTTAAATTTTGCATAATGGTAGAAGGCCTTTGGTTTTGATTTTGCTTCATTTGCAATCTGCTTCCAAAACTCGTTTTCAGCTCTTCTAGACTTTGACTTGGCTTGGTTCGTATCCTTCTGTCTTGCTCATCATTTGTCACAACCCATTTCTTGAAATTTATATTTTTCTTAGCTTTGTCTATTGCTGTTTGCATCATATTTATTGGTCTCCTATTTGTCCTCAAGCCAGTGGGTTTGGTCTTGGGTATGTTATGAATTTATCAATCCGATAGCTCACTTTACTGTCTATGATATTCAAGATAGTATTGACATTCATATTTTACAATGAGTCAGGCCAGTGAATACCCCTTATTTCCTCTCTCATCTTGTAATCGCCACTGAAACAATCATATTCATTACTTCTGGAGTTCTCAAGAGCAGGCAATGGCTGTGGGAACTTTGTAAAACTTTATAAATACTTTTGAAGGCATTTCTCACATTTCCAGAATGAATCTCAAAATAACCGTAAAAAAATTTGTGGGGGATTATTTTATTGCATCATTCATATATTCAGTGGCTTGCACTTTGTTCTAAAGATCTGTAACTGTTATGTTATCAGATTGCTATCTCATGGTTCAAGAAGTTATGGCACTTGTTCTCTGTGTAACAAGGACTAAATAGCACTGGTTTGTAATGCATTGAATCACTTCCATGACTGTATAGTATCCACATGGGTGCTCACCCTGCTTATGTTATAATATTATTGAATTCTTTGTCTTCTTAAATAGATGTCCTTTGAATAATAAAAGATTTGAAATTCTTACTAGAATTAAGATGCGTATATGAAGTTAATGTGATTTTAACTTTTCAGATAAGCTGGCACCTCTTCGTGACCAAGTCACAGATTACCCAAACTTTGTATTAGCAGTTCGGGAAGGAGAAGTGAATCCACAAATGTACCGAAATCCATTTGATATTCCCCGCTCCTGTCTTCTTGATCAGTTGACCCGGATGAGAGCAAACTTCCTTCAGGTATGGTGGCTGAATATTTTCAACTTTTGTGCCTTGTTTACTCACCCTGTTTTTCCCCACTTGCATAGTGGTTGCCTAATTCTGTAATATCTACATTATAAATTTTTATAATGCTTTCCCAAAAAGAAAAATATATTTTTTTTTTACACTTGGGGAGGATTAATACAAAGAGATGTTTACCTTCATAAGCTTAGATTTCATATTCTAAAATGCTTTTCTTTTCCACAGTCATCCTTGACGCTGCTGTTAACAGACCGAGACCGTGACCAACTGCATTGTCGTCCTATCAGTCAGATGGGCAACTACCAGGTTAGTGTTCTTTATTACTATTTTGATAAGATTTTTACTCGTATAGATGCTCAGATTATATAGACCATAAAAGCTTATTTTTAATGGAGGTTTACAGGTACATCTGTTTGGTGCCTTGCTAAGCACTAACTTGACTCACCCCCAACACCACCCACACACCCCCAACACCACCCACACACCCCCAACACCACCCACAACACCACCCACACCACACCACCACACACCCCAACACCACCCCACACACCCCCAACACCACCCACACACACCCACACACCCCCAACACCACCCACACACCCCCAACACCACCCACACACCCCCAACACCACCCACACACCCCCAACACCACCCACACACCCCCAACACCACCCACACACCCCCAACACCACCCAAACACCCCCAACGTCACCATACATCACCACTAATCCAAGCAGCTAAGCCACTCATGTGCCTGGCATGTGGGGATGCATTGGAACATGATGCAATCTCAGAATTTTTCTGGGCCAATTTCAGTTCAGGCTATTGGAGAGTTCCAGGGATGAGGGATTCTGGCTAATGGGGAGATTACTCTATTTCAGATGTGAGTGCTGCCCCACAGCATGCATCCTTGTAGCAAAGGGTCTAAGTGGTAACTGTTGGTTTGCAACATTCCCTTCTTGGTCTAAGGTCAAATCAGGAAAGATCAACTTATTTAAGTTTTTTTTTTATGAATTTTCTTATCAGTTTAGACTTGCGTTTTAGCTTAGCACTAGTCACTCCTGTCAAGGGTCCAATGACTTAGTTTGCAACTGTAATGTTTGCGAGTCTATGGTATACATCTGTTACATGTTTGGTTAGGATGGACTTGTGGATGATAGATATTCATGATTCTGATGAAATTAATCTAATAATTATTTGCATTCATTCCAGGATTACTTAAAGAAAATGACTCCCCCATTACGAGAAATAGAATCAACACCTGTGAGACAACACATGTTTGGAAATCCATTCAAAATTGATAAGGTTAGTTGGAACTTATATTCATTTTATGTATGATACAATGTACAGTATATTACTTTTTAAGAAGAATTTATGCCAATGACACATGCACACACACACACACACACATATATATATATGCACATTTATTTTAATTTGATTTTGTTTATTTACTTTATTCGCAGAAGATGTCCATGATGGTCGACGAGGCAGATGTAGACCTTATGGGCACAAGTGGTGGAGCTAACACTAGTAATCGTGGATCAAAGAGACCAGCAGAGTCCCAATCTACAGTTGGTCGACCAAACAAGCGCAAACGTGGCCCTCTACCCCTGGATTTTACCATACAAAGAATTAATAAAAGTCCTAGCCAAAGTCCTAGTTCAAGCCCTAATACGAGTCCCTGTCCAAGCCCTAGTCCTAGTCTAAGTCCTTCACCTACTACCCCCATTACCAGTCCTGGTGTACCTCCTAGTCCTCCTGACTCTCCAGCAGCTCAGAGAGTTGAAGAACGAGCTGATATACGACAAGAAATATCTAGACCAGAGCGGCCAGACACTCCACCTGTGTTCCAGCCAACAAATCATTCTGCAACACCAATGCCAGGATACTCTCCTGGTAGACTGAGTGTCTCTCCTCCTGGTTCACCAGCAGCACTTTCACCACCTGAGGAGAGAACCAACACATTACCTATTGATATTCACCCTATGCTGAATGGAGGTAAGTCAACTTCCTTGATTGTGGTGTGAATTATGAGAAGTAGATTAATCTGTGCATATTTTGGTGTGTATGAGTTCTGGTCTAAGATATACAGAGCTATTTTACTACTCTGCTATATACAGGCAGGTTGGGATAGGAACAAGTTTTTCTCAATATGCTATATATGGGCTCACATCCTAAAAGTGTGTGTGAACACCAAGAAGTGATGGCATTATATCCTTGTGTTGCTCCAAAGTAACTCCTATATGGTATTAATGAATGTTCTTTTAGAACTACGATACTTTCCTTTCAACAGAGTAATGAAACAACAGGATAAACACAACAGTGTCAGTGTTATTTTGATCCTCTTTATTGCCTCAATTATAAATTGTTCGGGAATTATGACATCTGCCTCCTTATGCATCATTTTCATATCCTGTCTTGATCAAATGACCAGGAAGCAGTGATCAGTGAAAATAATTATCGATTTGATTATTTCAGATGTGACACCACCACCTCCTTCAGTGAGAGATGAGGAAGTAAACCAAAGTGTTTCAGAGGCCTTTGAAATGGACTATGATATATTGCCACCAGCACCAAGTCGCACTCCACCACCAGAAATAATATATGATGATGGTGTAGAGAAGAATGGAATTGTAAATAACAGTGAATCTAGAAGAGCAACATCAACACCAATTACCCCAGCAGACACACAAGCTACTAAGACTTATAATAAGGAATTGAAAATGGCTTGTTTCAAATTAGTTAAAAAGCCAGGCAGAGGTAAGGATGAAATGGTTTCATGTAGGAAATGCTGCAAGGAGTATATTTGTAGACGCTTCTATATTTTCTCGTCTGTTGCCATACATCAAATGCCAGAATGCATACAGTTTTTGCAGATTTTTTTTGCAAAAACAGCGTGTCCAAAAACCAGGTTTGAATCTTTGAAGTACTGTATTCCATAGTTACCCCAGAGCTTTCACTAACATTGAAAATGGTATGGTTGGATGGGTGTATTTTACTATATACACTAGAATCCCAGTTATCCAGAATCCAGGCAAACGGTAGATTCAACTAACAGGCACCAAAATTAAAAAAAAAAAAAATCAGCCAGAATTGTAAGGGATGAGCTGCCATATTTATTGCTCTGATAAACAATAAAATCGATACATACAATTGCACATATTTTATGTACAAAACCATACTCTGCCGACACGAGTCAGTTCAAGCAGTCAACCAGCTGACTCACAGATGTGTGACTGCCTTGCTGGCTGTGTGTATGCCGTGACATCACAGCGGGAAGGGAGCACGACCACGCACTTCTCACACAAACACGCACACACTGATGCTCTTTATTTTTCTTATGTTATAACTTTATAATTTAGTAAATTTTCTTTATTTCTCAGCCACGTTGTTTATGTAGAGCGGAATAAGTGTTAAAGAAATACATATTTCTGAGAGGAATTTTCACTGTACTTTGTAGGATTTATTGGGGGATCCTAAGAGTGAGTTTCATATAACTGGAAAACCCTTTATCCGGCATCTCTCAATCTCCGTAGGTATCTGATAATTGAGATTCTACTACTGTCTATAGCTCTATGGGGGGGGGGGAGGATATTATTTTTATGAATCAAAACTCCTCCAATACTGAACTTTGTTCTATATACAGTACATGTATATGTAAAAGTTTTGTGTTTTCGGTCCAGATAATTTGTTATAGAAAATATAGTTTGGTAACTCAAAACTAATAAACACTAAACATTGTACATAATACGTACATAAAAAATACAGTAACACTTGGTTAGTATTGTACAAAAAGTGTTTTCTCTATTACGTAAATAGCTCCTTCCCTGGCTGGCTGGCCGGTCAGCTGTTTGTCTATGTAAATATATCACCAGGAACTTGACACTTTCGGAATTGCCTGTCACTCGCTCTGTTTGGAGCCCACAGAATGACCTGAAATGTGAAGATATTTTTTTCTCGAGCGCTATTCGTGGCTGAGATATTGTCAAATATTTATTCAAATGGTGCCTACCTATGTAAAAGAGGCTGGGAAATCATGTGAAACCCTCAAAAATAAAATAAAATAATAAATAAAAGCCATTTTCACAACTAGAAGTGAAATGTGAGAGTTTACGGTTGATTCCTCTTCATGCTGTACCCACCACATCATTGTATCAGTCGGTATAAAATGCACATGGCAAGAAAGAGTAAATCATGAAGAAGATGAAGGTGTAACCAGAAAAAATATAATGTAAAAAGTAACATAGTTACAGAATACAAAATAAAAATTAGTGGTAGTTAGGCACGCAGTCGTCGAAATGTTTATACACATTTTTTTATTTTTTTTATTCTAAAGTATTTTTTATGACAGGTTATTACTGTACTAAGGAAGAGAAATAGATCAGTTAGAAGTTTCTGTGATAAAAACTGAAATTTTGGCAATAATATTTCCACTTACCACTTAGATGAGGTAGGTCTCGGCATATGCACGACAATGGCTTTACTGCACTATATTTCAATAACACTTTTTTTCCAAGCTAGGCCTATATTACAACATGCTTTTGTGTGGTATGTGCGACTGTACAGTATTGTGAGTAGCCATTTCACCAACTTCTCATAAATTGAAAAATATTTCACTACTTAGTTGTAAATATTTCAGTACAAATCACTTTATCACTTCATAAGAATAAATATCGAGGTTGTAAGTAATAAATATTTGCCAACTCAACGGTAGACTTTTTAAATCACACCCGGGAAACACACATATTTCATAAAATCTCATAATTCGTAAGGGCTAGAACCCCTATTATTTTGAATTATGGGAATTTTACTGTATTTGAATACAGTATTTGAGGAGGGGTTTAGTAGAGGGTTTGGTATACTACATGTATATTGAATTCATTCAGAATCTGAGGAGCAGTTTGGCATAGAGAGGTGAAACTGTATATAAATTAGGAGAAATAATTTGATGTAATTTTATTGGACACTTTACAACATTGAATATTGTTTCCATGAACTGTACCGGGGTGGCTATTAAAGTTTTTTTTTCTTTTTCAGACTTCAGACAACTCTTTGATCAGCTGAATACTGTGCAGGGCTCTTATGAGTCAAGATTGAAAATGGTGAACGACGTGGTACATGAGGCCAGTAGGTTTAAGCGTCACTCCCTGGTCAAGTTGTTATCACAATTTTTGGACTCCATGATGAATACTGAGAAGGGGACAAATACCCGTCCCAGTGTCAGAGTCAATGGTCACAGTAGATAGATCTGCTCACCTTATTTTAATGAAAATATAATAGTAATATGCTCTTCCCCACTTTAAATGTAGGGATAGGCATAAAAGATGATGAAACAGTACAATGTCTAAAGAAATTAATGTGTCATATGCACATTATTTTGTGATATATCGGGGAGGAATTTACTAAAGATAGAAAGTTAGTAGTCGCTAGTATTTTTTCTCAGCAATTTGTTGAATTGTTTAGATGTGAATGGCAGATTGTTTAATGGTCTTGCTGGAATTGTAATTGTTTAAATAATAGATTTTATATTGGATTAAACACTCCAATGCAATTGTACTTTCAATGGTAGAAGGAATATAATTTGGTAAAGTAAGAAATATGTAACAAGCTAAAGATATATGAGCTGAAGTCCTTTATAAAATCCACAAGCAAGGACAAGTAAAGAAAGTGAACATTACAAAGCTGAAGGCAAGTAAAATGTGTACCTGATCAGTAGAATTTGCATTTGTGATAATTTGAGTCGTGATTATTTTACCCTTATTTTCTCTGTCATATATACATACCTGTAGTTAGTCATCATGGTTGCTCGTGTGGCAAAGTGATTAACTAATTATTTAATGAGTCATACTGATGAATTAGTCAGGTGGGATGGCTCTGACCTTGATGGAAGAATTTGAGTTTTCAGAAATGAATGAGTTCTTTTAATCCTTTTCATAAAAGCTTTATTGTTATTTTATTAAGTTCATTAATAGATGTGAAATTTTTACCCCCAAAAATTATATACTATACAGCACTGTATAATGTAATTTATTATTATACATTGATTAATAGCTGTATCAGAAATGTTATAAATTGGGGACTTTTTTATATAAATGAATCATTTCAATATGTCCTGTCTGCTGTGGGTTTTATTTTCTGACTTTTCAGTGACCCTAAGTAGTAACATAAATTTTTATCTGAGAAGTTTAGTTTCACAAGTGGTTGACAGTGTACAGAAAATTATTTGACGTGAAAAAGAAAAGTTGCTTTGAGATTGGTTGAATGTGTACAGAAAGTCATGTGACATGAAAAAGAAAAGTTGCTTTGTGATGATCGTTTTGTAAATATTGTGTATATTTATATTTTATATATGCAAATACAGTTGAACCTCCATTAATAATTGTCTTCATACCAGCATAAAAAAGTAATAATACAGGCATCCCCTGATTTACAAAAGGGTTCCATTCCTGTAAAACCTTTTGTAAATAGCTTTTTTGTAAATTGAAGCACATTTTCCTATAAACTCCCATTTTAAAGGCTGAGATACATTCCCAAGGAAAAAAAAATCCCAGAAACATCTTCAAATGCTACAAAACATTTTTTTTATGAAAATTGTTGGTGTACACAATGATTATAAGCCAATAATAAGCATAAGATATGAACTATGTGCAGTACAGTAGTATACAGTAATTATTTTTATACCTGTGCTTATGAGAAACAGGATGATAGTGGAAACAAAGTGAACAGTATGTAATGCGAAGTCATCTATAATAATTACATTACCCAAGCAATACATTGACTCCCATAGGTGCTCCTCTACGTATGAACCAATTACCTTCCTGAGGTTTTTTAGGAAGTCCAATGTTTGTAAGTTTATTTGTTCGTAAGTCCTATTTTACTCTTGTAAATACCGAACATGTTGTAAAAAAAATAAATAAATAAAGGATGTACCATACAGTACAGGTACAGCTATATATCCCAATAATAAATACAGCACAAAACTCTACAGTATATCTTACCAGCCTTTAACAGTATTTTATTGTAGAAATAGTTTAAACTGTTTTAGTTTTGTAGATAGTACAGTAATTATTGAGTGTGTGGGCTGAGATGTAGGTGTACTGTAGTAATAAATAGAGGTATTTATAAGGTTCCATTCTTTATTCCTGGTGCTGCCTTGCTTGCTGGGAGTGATGTTTGCAAGGGTGTTGGAGTTACTTGAAGGATGGAGGTGAGTGGCTGATCCGGCTCTGCAGACGTAATAGAGAGTAGTGGTGGTGATGGAGGATCATCTAGGTCTGGGAATGGCTTTAAAGGTTGTATAACCTCCTGTAGGTGTAGATACCATTGGTTCTTGTAGATGTAGATGCCATTGCCCCTTGGTACTTGTGTCCCTTTTCTACTTTCTTGAAAAACTTATCGAGATATGTCTGCACAGTTGCTCTCTTTTCCTCATATATCATCTTGTCATGGGGAAATTGTGGGCAGATTCTTCCACACACTATTCATGTTGGAAGTCAGAAGACTTGATCTCACATCAGGAGGCATCACTTTTCTTGAATGCCTTGTAGATATTGTCCTTCCAGAACTGTTTCAGTGTCATTCCATTCTCCGTCTGTAACCTTCACAGCCTGTTTTAAGATTTCTCTGCAGGTGGTATGCTTTAATAATGGCTATGACACTTCAGTCCATAGGCTGCAGGATAGAGGTGGTATTGGGAGGCAAGTATACCACCTTGATGGAATTCATCCAGGAATAATGGAACAGTATCCTGAAGGGCAGGTTGTTATTGTTGTTGTTGCAGTACTTATCCACTTCAGGTACACAATGGTGGAAAAATCATTCCTGGAAGAGGACCTCGGTCATTCAGACCCCTTAAGGTTAGCCTTCCACATAACAGGAAGTGAAGCATTTTCAATACCCTTAGTTATTCTGAATGATACATTAACAATGGTGTCAGTTTGTAGTCACCAGCAGCATTTCCAGTCTCATCCACACTAAACACCTACTATGGCTGGTAACCCCCCTCAACAATGATGTCCCACAGAACCTTAAGAAAATCCTTGGGTGTTACCTTGTCAGCACTGGCCTCCTCACCGCTCACTTTTATGTTGTGCATGTTTGCACGAGCCTTAAACTGGTGGAACCAATCATGACTCGGTAAATGTTTCTTCAGCAACACACTCAGTGTTTAGCCTTTATATCTTCAAAGAGAGAGGCCTTCTATTGAATTAGGATAAGGCTTACTGGGATGTGACATTGATGCTGGTTTTCCATCTCTTCAGTCACTGCACCTCTTCTCTTGCTGATAACCATTGACTGCATGGGCACAGAACCTGGCACATGTTGAATAATGTGCTCCTTGTCCTTTAATATTGTCCCAACAGTTGAGCGATTCATCCCAAGATCACGCAATACATTTATCGTTTTCTCGCCTCTCACAACATTTTATTATGTTCACGTGAGTTTCCAACGTAATAGTGTGCTGCTTCTTTCTACCACCACCACCACTGTCACCATTCTTATGCTTTTGAGACATGTTGGGGGTCAATAATGTTCATACACAATACTGTACAAATAACACTAGGGAGCTGCAGGTACGTTAAGGGGTAACAGCAGAAACTAACGATCATGGCGGGAACAAAGGGTGATGCCAAACAGCTACTGCCATCAACCACACAGCAGATATACTTAGGATTTGTGGTTTAAAGTCAATGAGACATTTGGAAAGGTTTGTTCGTATATGTCTGAAAGTTCGTAAGTTGGTTGTTTGCAAGTAGAGGAGCACCTGTACATGTATTACATCATAGTACTGTAGTAATTTTATATTTGTACTTGTGAGAAATTGGATGTGATTTTAAACAAAGTGAGCAGTAGGAAAAGCTAAGCCAACATGTATGATGAATATATTTTTATAGTAATGCATTGATTTCCATTCTGTAATTGTAAATACATTCTCTACGAAAAAATCTTACGTTCAACCCTCGATGAATTATTGTATCATCCCAAATTCCTGTCACTTTCCTTACATGGCATGAACACTGCCGTCAATCAGCTGCTGCTACAGTCATGTGTTGCAGCAATACCTATACCTCCAAATTCCACACGTTATCTTATAGCTCTACACCATATTGTACGCTACATAATTAGTACGTACAATGTATGAAATTTAAGAATACAGAATAATTTTCTTTTATTTCATATGCAATATAACACCTGGGAGCAAATGACGAGAACTTGGACAATCAGGCAATTGACTGAGTGACTCTTGGTGGAGACGAGCCTAGTTCACGCCAGTGAGTTTGATGAGTAAATTATTTGATGATTGTAGGAGAATAATGACATACTGAAAGCTTATATTGTATGTACAGTATGTAGACTTAAAAACATTGTGAGTGTTAAGAGAATCATGAATTAAGTGAAATAAGTGAGCATATTGTTAGTAAAAAATATTTAATTCATTATTCTAGCACATTTTCATTATTACTTAGAAAATATTACAAAAATGTCAAATTTTCTTTTATAATCAAGCTATGGAAAAAAAATTTCAGATCATTATATTGTAAACTGAACCTTTCTATATTGTGGAGTGCCTATACTGTACAGTACTCATTTTCACAACTGGTATTTTTGACTTGTTAGGAACTGGGCGAAAAGATGCTGGTCTTTTTTTATCCACCAACAGCAGATATTGTGCTGTACATTGATGTCATCATTATTATTACCATATTATGGCCATTTTCCAAGTTTGTGTTGAATATTCGGAAGGTAAAATTCCCAAGGCACAACTATGTAGTTCATCCTGTAAGTTATGGTGAGGTTTAAATTACAGGTACAGTATACCTTGCCATATGTTACCATGTTATACATATTTTTGTATATACTGTACATTGTTGATGAATTAGAAGAATTTTATTTTCTTTATTTTTTAACTTGACACCCTTAGAAAGCCAAACAACTACCGGGTAACTAATCCCATTGGTACAATTACACCAGGTTTATGTAACTTATACTATACACAGAAATATTTCCTCTAAATAGAGTGCATTAAAAATTACAGTATTAATATTTTTCATAAATTCCTATTTTCAATTCAAACCAACAAAATATTTAGATATTTAAATAAGTTTATACAGCACAGTACATACTGTATCGGTGACCAGAATGGTTTGTTCATTATAGGCACATCTGTACAGCCACACCGTGCTAAGGTAAGTTACGGTAATATTTTCTCCAAGTACATTTTATGAGAAAACTATTATTCTTTATAAGTTTGTTTTAATTACAACCCAATGAAATAATTAAATGTAAATCTATACTTTAACTTTTATCCTCTTCACAAATCCATACACTAGGTATTGGTGACTGGAGATTTTACTTCATTTTAAAGTGTAGTACAGGTAACTATACACCTGGCATGCCAGGTAACACACACTAATAGTCCTAGATTCATACTAAAGGAACATAACAGATTACTAACCATTATAATGTTTCCTCTATTTCCTTTTCCTCAATATTGTGTATTACATTTTGACATATGACTTCACAAATACAGGTATGCCTAGCTTGAAGTCAGGCAACAATTGGTGTTCATAAACGGAGTACCGGTACATTCAAAATGGAAAAAGGCTCTGAACAACGATACACCCTGTTTGTGGTCTACTTGGATGAAAATATATTGAGCCATATTGTTAAGTTTGCAGATGATGCCATTACAGGTATCGCTAACCATACGAATGTTTACTATAAGAAAATTTGCTTATTTGAAAATTCATTTCTTACACCTTTCTCACTACTGTATCAGAAAGTGATATTCATTTACAGTACTGTATACAAAAAGTGGTGAGGTCCAGAGGAAGGCCCTTTATTCAGTACACCTCTTCTCACCCCTTTGTGGTGAGCCCTCACATAAGGTAATGTGCCAACTGTATGCTGTATTTTATTTAGTTTAGCTATTTGTTAGGTACTAGTACAGTAATGTGTATTTTCAGTTTTTTTTTAACAAAATTAATTTGTTAGGTATACAATAATGGTTTTATATTGTTTGTGAACTGATATTATTTTTTTACATATAATATTGGGGTTTTCTCGCCCTTGGGGAACTGAACCTTACTTTTCCCTTTTATTCGCAATCCAAAAATTCCATATTCAAATGGTTTTTAAGGAACTTAACCTATTCGGATTGGGAGGATGCCTGTATGTAGGACACTCTACTTTACTTTTATCCTTTTCACCACTGATCGGCTCATTAGCCGCCCGGGCGATCGGTCACGTCTCTGTTACGCACTGTTGGCAAGTACTGGGCATGCACCGGCTCCTGAATGTACCTGAACCTGCTCCAGTGTTGGTCAAGTCTTGTCTTGAAAGAGCTCACACTCAGTGCCGTCACAACACTTTCTGGTAGATTGTTCCAAGAGTTCACAACTCTCACTCCGGAAAAGTTAAAAGTTTGCCCTCACAGTTTTCTGGATCTGCGCCTTCTTCAATCTTGAGCTGTGACCCCTTGTGGGGCGAGCGTCCGCCAGCTCCAAATATGGACACTCGACTGAGTAGTGCCCCTTGAGATGCTTCTATACCTCAATTAGGTCACCCCTTGCCCGTCTGTAGTATAAGCTAGGCAAGTTCAGGCGCTCCAATCTCTCAGGGAAGTTGAGGTGCCGAAGTGCAGGCACCAGTCTGGTGGCCCTCCTTTGAACATTTTCAATCAACTGGGAAGATATTGGAAGCATAATGTATTGCCTAATGGTAGACCCTGCTGCCATATGGCTTCACAGAAATTGTGACCAAGTACCAGGTTGCTGATATGACTTTGTGCCGCATTTACACACAATTGCAGGGTTTCAATTGTTTCTCTTACTATTGACAACACAACATACATATATTGTTTCTCACTATTGATCTTTTTTTTCTTTATGGTTATTATTATTATTATTATTATCAATATTATATTATTTTTATTTTTGTATTTTTTATTATAAATTTTACTTATCTGAATTATTATTATTATTATTATTATTATTATTATTATTATTATTATTCTTACATTTTCGCCCCCCCAGGCCCCGTTGTGGGTCAGTGACCTGTGCCCGGGTGGGCTATCCCATATATAAAAAAAATAAATAAATAAATAAATAAATCACTCTTGAAGATCGTTACTAGAGACGGACCGTCTAGATATCTGAACGACCTTCTTATAAGACCCAATAATTTATTTGCCTGATTTACATTCTTCTCACAATGGCCCGAGAACTTCAGCTCATTGTCAACATACACACCTAGGTCCTTATCACATACAGTCTCAACTAGTGCAGTTTCTTCATCCCGTTGGGACACACGACACGCCTCCTTACCGTTGGCACGCCCCAGGTGCAGCCTCTTGGTGTTGCCTCTCAATGGAAATGAATTTTTTTTTTTTTTTATCATTTATTGGGCACTCCCCTACATCCTTGTGTAAGGTGAAGCGCAGAAGCGTTTACAGCGCCCAACAGGGAAGCATGCTAAGTTCATGCTTGCCTTTATGTCTCATGAGTTAAGGGCGTAGAAGCCTGAAGTGTCAAGGGCGTAGAAGCCTGAAGAGTCAGAAGTTGGAGCTTCCAATAACTTGATGACAATGGAAATGAATTGTGATGGGCTTCCTTGTTGACTGAGTAAAAGGTCATGTACAGGTCACAGTAATGTTCTCTGTACTAATGCTGTATCTGGGCTGTAAAGATCATGTCAGTGGAGCCGTGAGATGATAGTCACATCGAAACTGGGAGGAAGTTTTCCACATAAAGTACAATTCCGTTAAAGAGGACTCGGGCGAGAATCTTGCCGGTTTAAGACAACAGCAAAACTCTGCAGTAGTTGCCACAGTTTGACTGGTCTCCCTTATTCTAATAGGTAGTGACAATGATGGTGTGTTTGAGATCTTGGGGATTTCTACCCGTTCCCACATGGTCTACAGAAGAGATTGAAGGTGGCTGCTGCGTACCATTTCATCTTCGCCTGTAAGAGTATTAAATTTATCTTTAATGTTTCATTTCTTGGAGAAGCACGAAATACGTCAGTGTCAACTCATGCCAAGACCAACTCGTACACAGTCTTGGCTATGAGATTAACACTTAAACGGGCAGCTTGTCATCAGGCAAATGCTAAGAAAACGAGATGTTGGGATTTAATAAAAGTAAAAAGATAATTAACCATCAGATGATTTTGGGTATTTTATATAACTATTTCAAATCATCACAAATCACCATATAGAAGCTGACAGTCCCCATTAATAATAAGAAACAAGTTTTTATGAATGGGGAGACACGCAGTGAGGTGTTCATGTGAGTGCCCGGGGCGCCATCTACTCCCGTAAACAAAGCTCGTCTGCTACTACCCTCTCATAGTGGTCCAAGAGGAAGTACTCTCACTTGATGCTGCATATACCAACAATGAAGCATTTGTAAGAATCACACAGGTCTTAAACATATAGTGAAATTAGTAGATTATTTTGTTTAATTGTGCCGTCACTTACTATAGGTTGCTTTGCTTCACATTGCTTTAGGCAAGAATCACCAAGCAGATGGTTTTGAATTCCTTTTAAATGGTAGATATAATAAAGGGGTGTATTTTTATTCCTGGGCGATGTAAAATGATTATTGTTAACTATACATGTGTCATGGGTGAAAATATTTTGGCATGATCAGATAGATAAAGGACAAATGTTAGTTTGTTAGTTTATGTGATGTGTGGATGGTATCCTTAATGTATAGCACGTGATAAATTTGTGGATCTTTTACCATGAACTAACATTTTAATTTGTACAGTAGCCTAGGAGCTGGGTTTAAATACTAATTTTTGAATTTAAGAGTTGGTTATTACATCAGTGGTGTTAGTGATACAAGCTGTAACACATATTACTCACAGTTGTTTCCTGGATTCAAACCCAGGACACAACTGTGAGAGATGTTATCCCGTGTAACCCTATCAAACATTCAGACTTTCTTTGGGTGCTTCAGTGTCCACCTTGGGTAAGATTCGGTAGAGGACGTGGGCAGGAGAAGCAAGGCTGTATTTAGTTTCGCTCATCCGGGGAATCTTAGGGAGTTTAGGTTGGATATAGTTCCTGGGTCACTTTCGGTTTATGGAAAATTCGGCATATAGATAGGGTCCAGGAACAGAACCTTTCCGTCTATATATTAAAATTTTTGTAACATTTGTTAAAATTTCAGATTATTAGAGATATTTATGAATACTATATATAATGCACATGTTGCCATGCAGGCCTGGGATGCAAATTCCATCCTCAGTACTGTGCTTTACACATCACACGTGTCGGTCACTGTCAGTTCACGTTGGTCAATTTTGGAGTGCACATCTATGGTCTACCACACACGCTTTTTGCATCATTGCCCAGTGTTTGACTCATTATGTCTGTTAACTCGAAATCTGGAATTGTACTTGGAAAGGTTTAAATTTTGATTGGGGTAGATAACGGAAAAGTGCTGGGTTTTTTTCTCTCGCTGGGGAGAAGATGTCCTTCATATTTCATACAATCTCATAATTCATATGGGTGTTTACTGTAGCCTCAGAAAGGTAGGTGGTATAGCCTATGAATACTGTATTGGAAAAGGAGGTGCAGGGAGTTGTGAGTTTGCTCCAGCCTTCTTACTTATCATGTGGGCCATTACTTTACATCTGTGAAAATATTCCTCTCTTTTTTCTTCTTTTTTCATTATTTTATATTAGGTTTGTATTTGTAAAAGGAACACCAGACTTGTCACTATAGCCACATCCTCCTAACCCTCCCCCTACCACTCCAGGCCAAGCTATGACCTATGTTATGGTTATTTTTAAACTTGTAATTTCAGGTGGTTATACAGTATTGTAATGATGTGCACTTGGAGCACAGAATCCCCAGTTTTTCTGACATTGGATTTACCATAATAGTGGAGACGTTCTGCATACTGTGGCTTGGCCGGACATGAATAGGGTAGGTTGTTGGGTGTTACTGGGTTAGTACCACAGGAACCAAATGTTACCAGAGCGTGCTGAATGTTAATTCTGGTGCCTAAGATACTCTGTGGTGCAATGTATCGTACTTTATACCCAAAATATTGGGGGTGCAACAGCACCCTCCATTCCCACCTCCATGTACTGGGTGGAGTGAGCCAGCGGCACATGACCACGACAATAACAAACATCAGACTGATCAAGCGTGGAATGCAGCACAGCGAGTGTTACCCACGTGGCCAAATATGCCGAGATTTTGCCAAATATATTTATGTAACTCGTTATTTCCCAAGTTATTTTACAATAAATTCTGAGACCATATACTACGTGCCGAATTATACAAAATTCCGAGATATCGAATGCCGAGTTGTCAAGGGTTTACTACTCATAACAGTAGAATAGGATAGGTTAGTTTTTTATTTAATTTTTATTTGCTAGTACAGTGTATACTGTATGTACAGTATTTATTAGCCTTTTAATTTGAATGTTGGCGAGAGAAGTCTTATATCTAGTTATAAACTTTATTTTATTGTTACCCGGGTAATAGTAACATAGCTTTTCGTGCATGAATTTATTATGTACACATTTTCTTCACTCAGTTATTTCATATATATATATATATATATATATATATATATATATATATATATATATATATATATATATATATATATATATATATATATATATATATATATATATATATATATATATATATATATAATTCAGTGAAATCATTATTAAAGAAATAGGTAATTACTGACTTATTTGGTTTAAAGGATAAGGTGTTGGTGAGATGGCTGAGGGTGGTGACAGTGGCGGTGGTGGGACAGGTGGTGCCCTCCCTGATCTAGTTGCTCAGTGCTACTACCGCTACGGACTTCTTGTTGCCACTCACCCCAAGAAAGTTATTCTCCTAGCAATATCGTCTTTCCTCATTTTGTGGTATGTTTTTTATCTTTTCAAGAACATATATACTGTATAGAGACACTTTCAGGGTTACGGATGGCTTCCAATCATGGAGGCTATCCGTAATTCGTATATACGATTACTATACAGGTATTGGACCATTTGTCCAGCTTGCTTGGGACTTGGGGGTTGTCAGATAGGTTTATTTTTCCTGAAATTTGGAGTGCCAGGCCTAGAATGTACAGTAGACTCTCTGTAACAGCCTGTAAAGACTGTTTAGATCACTAGATTCACCCCTAGAAGTAGCTGTAGCTGCACAGTACACTGTAACATTAAAACTTAAAATTGTAGACACCTAAACATCAATAACAAAAGCATATAAATAGCATTAATGAAAGCATCTTGAGAGCAAAAATGATACAAGTTATTGTTCAAACTGTCGCACTCGACCCTGGTGCTTGCCTAGCAACCCAGTAGTATCCCTAGCAACGGTGCTCTGCCACGGACACTCCGTCCTCCACACAGTTTCACAGTGGAAGGCTGTACAGTACAGTATCGGAACATACAAAATATTTTATGTCCTATGATAAGTATTTATTTTAGTTATTTTTGCACTTTTGTGTGTGGGATGGTGTGTGTGTGTGTGTGTGCTGTATGTAACTGAGTAAAATCAAAAAGGAAAGTTATGTATATTTACCTAAAATTATGAGTTAAAATATTTTATACCTTATACAGTACCTTTATATCTCATGATTCTCCCTAAGTTCAAGTTTGTCAGTATTTTAACGAAAGGAAGGACTTACTCATTCCCTGTGTGCTTTGTTTTCGTTTTTTAGACATTCCTCTTCTCACAGAGGGACTATCCCTGTTTACACTGACGGCTGTATGTCGGATGCAGGTGGAAAGACAACTACGTACAGTTGCTCGTGTAACTGCCTTGATTTAAACACGAAGTGGTGAACATCATGATTAAGCTAATTTTTATACAGTAATACAAAATCTTAAGTATTTCCTCAGATTATAAAGATCTTTTTCAACACAGAACAATACTGTACTGTACAGTATTACTAATTATGCCTGGGGGTAAATGCCTGGGCAGCAGGTTATGTATTTTTTATTTTTTTACAGTATTGTATAGAGATGCATTTTACTGTACAGGTACAATGAAAGACAAAAGTCGTGTCTTGAAATTTGGCGAAAACATATGCTGAAGGGCTAAACTTTTGGTGGGCTCTGCCTTTTGGTAGGGGGCTCTCATAATGTTTACGAGTTATATTTAATCTTCGGACAAAACGGCGACACGACTTTTGTCTTTGATCCTTCAATGTAGTTAAGTAAGAGGTTGGAAATGAGAAGTAAGGAATACCCTGTACTCTATATGAGTTTACTGAATGCTGTGTGATATTTTCAGTATTAACATTCAACATTGATAATTATGAAAGTGAATTATTTTGTGGGGGTTTTAGCGACCCTAGAAATTAATAATTGAAGGTCAGTAAGATTTATGGAGTAGATGAATTACTGGGTGAAATGGTGGAGAGTTTAGTGCACTTCATTAATGGAACATGGTATGAGGGCATCAACTAAGCATATATTGGACTTGAACTGTCCTGATTTTAATGTGTAGAAAACTGTGTAATATCAATGGAATTTTTGAAACTCCAGACAGAGGAATTTATGTTTGCAGTACACCATTGTGGCATTTACCTCTACCTGGATACCTACCACAAGAGTATGTGACATCTCTGTTCAACTATAGTGTTCCCCTCCCAGCTCCTGAGGGAGGGATAAGACTAGATCCGTCCCCAACTCCCACTCCACTGTGGTATCAAGGTCCACCATGTGCATACATTCAACAGGTAAGATATAATAATGTACTATTAATTTACTATCATTTATTTTTGGGAGCAATTTTTTTTCTGGTATGTTCTCGGGTGGCTGGAAACATGAGTTGAAACAGATTTTTTTCTCCTTCATCCATTCATTCTAATTACATATTACTATGACATAGCTACAGGTAAACCATTTGTTGTCATGTTCTACTAATCACATGCATTGTTGTTTTCTGTATGTTTATCCCATTCATTTAAAATACAGTACTGTACTGTACATCCTTCACCTCATCCTTCCATCTCCACCTCTCCCTCCCACCATCTCCCTTTTCAGTCTTCTTACAGTATCAATAATTCACTCTGCACTCTATCAATATGTCCATACTACCTTAGCAAACACTGGTCAGCCATTTGTCTGGTCCTTCTTTCATTTGGTATACAGTACAGTACTAAAAGCATCAGTCTGTGATAGTTTCCCTGGAGAGATTATGACCCTTTTTGACATTCTGAGCAAGTCATACTCTATATTGCGTATGGAATAAACAATACAGTATTTGTGAACTAGCTGTGTAGAGTGTCTCTCCAATTACCTTGCACCATAATTTGGAGGTCTATGTACAGGGGTCTCTCTCTGCTAAATAATTTGTTTTGGATATTAGCCATAGGGAAAAATAAATTATGTATTCTTCTCACAATTGATCAGTACAATTTTCTGTGACAGTGGCTTTTTCCTTCACTACCCTTATAATCTACATTATAGATATGCTTGATAAAGGCATTGTCATCTTTCAGATTGTAGTTAAGAGTGCCGTGGTTCCATGGCAGAAGGGTTTAACAGTCAGTGATGGTTACCGTGGTCCTCTCTCCTCCGTCTTCCATCTTGCCCAGACTATCAGCAACTACCAATTGAGTCACAAGTGAGATGATATAAATTTTTATGCCTCTACTACACAGAAGAATGGGCAAAGTGATGTGTTCCTATCTAGTTATATGTTCAAAGCATGTGTCTGCATAGTTCTCTACAATGAACCTCTTATGTCAAATATTGTTTTATTTTGTATTTTATATATCAATTCTTGAATAAAATAACTAGCTTACTTTATAGTAATGCATTATATCTTTTTTTATATCACACACTCCCACTTATCTGGTCGTTATTCGAGGCTTTCCTGTACGTGCTGTATGAAACTAATTCAAAACAGTCAGGTCGTCATTACGAAATATAAAGCCTCATAATGAAAGCCAGCTACTAAGTAGCGACTACATTAGCGATGAGTGTGGTCAGGTTGTGCACGTGTGTTGTCAAATGGTATGCCATTTATTAGCTGTGGCCAAATGCTGCAGACTCATGGATTTTCATGGAGAGGGAGCCCCTCCCCATTGTGATGACAGCCTGGTGGGGTGCCCCAATCTTAGAGATCTTCACCGTAAGCGCCTCTCCGTGTGCCAGAGGGGAGACGGGTCGTACCGTCCCACTTCGGTGCAGGGGAGGGGGGAGTGGATAGTGTGGATGGGACATCCTCTGCCTCATGGAGGAAGCTGGCCTTTGACAGAAGATTTGATTTTTATCTATTAATATTTAAATTGTTTTTATGCATTACATATTTGTTTTTAGCCTTCTTAGCCTTTAGTTTAATTCAGCGAGACATGATCTAAGCTGTTACGCCATCAGGGATGTTATTGCCATGATCACTCAATCAATCAATCCATTGGGTGACTTCAAGCACCACTTAATAGCTTTTTTATATGTTTGGTGTTTCTTAGCACCCAGACCTAACAAATAAATTGATATAAAAAGTCTGATACATACTAATTATTTATGCCAGTAATAGCTTACCAGTAAACAGTTTCAAAACTGTCTGAAGGCATCCCTTCTTACTGTATGCTGTATTTTTGCAATGGTGTAGTTGAACTATTCCTTATTGTTATAACAAACCTGTTAATATACAATGCATCTGAAAAATAAGCAATGACTATTTTTAGCAAACTTATTAATTTTCTGCTAATTCTTGCATTTAAAAACACAGCTCATTCATCCTGTATCAACATTCATAGTCTAATTGGAGTCAGAACTCATACAGTACATATCATGGACTGAACATTAGAATATGTTTATTAATAGGTTTGTGTGTTATGATGCTTACATGATGTTATACTGTACTGTAAAGCCTAGATATATGGTAATTCTTTCTGTTTCAGTACAAGTGTTACTTTAGGGACAGAATGTCTTCTTATTGAGGGTGTTGTGAAGAAGATGCAAGCTGCTGGACAGGTCCTTCCTCATTACAACTGTTTGATGCTGTCTCCTGCTGACCTGTGGGCACGGAACCAGTACTCCTTTCTCCAGGACCCTCACGTCCTCTTGACTGTTAACTCGCTTATGGTTAGTTCATATTAATCACACAAGGTTGGTATGATTGATGAAGTTATATGTTACTGTATATACTCGTGTATAAATGCCAGCATTCTTGCTGACACCAACTGTAGGAGCATCGAGGCTACCATTATCCATAAACAACTACATTGGACTGGCCATGTGACCTGCATGAACGACAGTAAACTGCCAAAGCAGCTACTTTGCTGTCATCTAACAAATGGTAAACGTAATTCTAGCAGACAACAGAAAATGTATAAGGATTGTCTTGAGACAAACCTGAAAAAGTGCCAGATCGACCCCCTCATCTGGGAGACGATCACTCCACACTGTAATGCTTGGAGGAGCACCACACGAGAAGATGTCAATACTTTCAAGTTAGCCCGACTGCAAACCAAGACAGACGAGCGCCTGCGCCAGAAAGATGCTGCCGCCGCCCCTTCCACACTAGATGTAGCCCTCCGTATGTGCAACATCTGTGGACGACCCTGCCAATCCCATATCGGCCTCTCGAGTCACTTCAGAGCTCACCAACAAAGGTGACATCCTTAATCACTCATTTCATTGTATCACAGCTGGATGATCGTCATACTCGATTCCGAGTGGCAGCAAAGTAATAGTATTAGTATAAATTTATCTCATTTACAGGTACTCCCCGACTTACGACAGGGGACCGACATCCAGGTCGTAAGTCGAAATGGTCGTAAGTCGGAAATGCTTCAATAACACATAGAAAATCGAAAATGGATGTCTCTTTTTCTTCTCAGCACCACAAAACTCTCACTTTTAAGCTTGCCAGCCATTTTAAAGTGAATTACAGATGAAAATTTTGTCTGTGTACTGACTTTGGGACTCAAAAATACATAATTTGACCAAATTTTGGTACGACTGAGGCAGGTCGTAAGTGCGGGTGGACGTAAGTTGAGTAGGTCGTAAGTCGGGGGGTACCACCCTGAATTTAAAAAAACAACTTATTTTTTTCTTATACAGTATAGTGGTCCCTTGCCAACCACAGGGGTTGGGTTCCTGAAAATCCTGTGGTTGGCAAATACACGGTTGGCGTTACTAAAGGCTTATGGGAATAGGGGGTTAGGTTCCATGGGCGCGGATAACACTCGTCAATGTCAAACTAAGTTGCCCATTCCTTCACTAAACAATACCTGTATTGTACATTTAATTAAATTTGAGTCAAATACATATACTGTAATAGCATATTATAAGATGATGCCCACACATATCTCGCCCAGGAAGAAAAGAGGGCATGTTAGTCAGTATGTTACAGTCACAGCATTGCATGTCAGGCGTGTGTTCCTGTGTGTGTTGACGCAGTGGTGGTGGTGGTACAGTACAGGCCTTGTGAGGCAGGCAGCAGACGATGCGTTGCCGCTATTGCAATCCAGTTTCCTTCTCTGCAACACACCACATATACTTGGTTCTCATTTAATTTACTTTTGATTAACACATAATAAAACTTTATAAAGTAACTGTACATACCTGTGTAGTATGTAGAGGGCATCAATAATTTTTTTCTGGTTTTATTTATTTTTTGTCCCTAATTTATGATATTGTACACTATAATATTAAAGATAGGGTATTAAAGAATGCTGTTCTTAAAGTTCTACATTCATGGGTGTCCCAGGAACTTATCCTTTGTGAATGTTGGAGTACTAGTGTACATATGTGTGGAGTTGGCATGTAGCTATAAAATAAAAAAAATTAAGAGCATGGGTGTGTATGCGTGAAGTGAACGTGTGTCTGTGTGTGGACTTGGCAGGTCACCAATTTAGACTTTTCCTGTAGCTACAGCCCCCAATCAGGCCAAGCTGTGTGTTACATGCACACACAATCGTTCATACAGAATGTGAAAAAAGAAAAGATTATCACAATGTCGAAAAGATAAAGAGAATAAATATTTTCTACGTCAGCGGGAGTTAGCCCGTGATTGTGCTCCTGTCTCCCGTGTCCTTAGTGAAATGATTGCTAAATGGCAATAGCATGACTGTAAAGAGGCTCAGCATTCATGGTGAGTAGCAAGATATATACCCTAGGCTCCCTTTTACAGAGTGAGGGTAATTTTATGAAAGTTTGACTATTTTATGGATTAATTTCTGGAATTTAGTCACAATCTCAAATGTCAGGGACCCTGGGAGCCTTAGGTTGTTAGCCCATAGACTTGTTGACCATACTGTGGTCCATGCTTTGTTAATAAATGTATATCAGGATAAACTCCTCATTTTTGGATATGTCGGACTCAATATAGTACAGTATACAGTATATAATTAATCGGTGCTTGCTTAAATAATGAATAAACCTGTGTTAGCATCAATGATCATGATATTCATAATGTTTTTCAGGCAAGTTATGAGGGTCAGACCAATGTAGCAGATATTCTGTTTGGAGTACCTTCTCGTGAAATTGGCTTCCGGCGTAGCAGGAATCCTCAGCGTGTCATCACATATGCAGTAACTCTGGCACTAAAGAGATACAATGAAAAGTAAGTAGAATTATTTCGTGTATAATGTAACTTGTAATGTGATCATGTTGAGTCCAGTTATGTATTTGTTTGTCTGAATACAGGTGCTCCTCTACTTACGAACGAGTTACTTTCCTAAGGCTTGTTTGTAAGTCCAACTTTACTCTTGTAGATACCAAACATATTGTAAAAAAATGAAAAGATTATTGATATTTAGTACTGCTATACCCTTTAATACAGCCTTAAAACCTGGCTCACTCTTCTCCTCGTAGGTAATGTTTGTTCTATCTGGAATTTTCTTCAAAATAATCCAGTCTCATCCATATTAAACACCTGTTCTAGCAGGTAACCCCCCTTCAGTGATGATGTTTGTATCTCTGAAGGTTTGCAAGTTGAACGTTCTTAAGTAGAGGAGCTCCTGTATTATATAAACAATTGTTATGTACAGGTATCCCTCATACTGTATATCAATGGGGTTGTATTCCTGAAAAACCAAACCAAGTGAAATAAATGCTAAACAAGGGATAACAAGAAAACATGGAGGGCGAACAACAAGGAGTACAATAGTACGCTACTTCCTAATAATATTAATAATAAACGAGTTTGTTAGAAACAGTTTAAAGTTGATTTATTAACACCAACCTAATATATAAACAATGTGGTTCACAGTTAAATGACTTACTGAGCAAAATTTTCACCTAATTTGAACAAATTTCAAATTGCATATGTCAAAATGAACAACAATTGCTATGGTAAACATAAAATTGATGCATATATCTTAAAATACAATAGCACATTTTTATATACACAAAATAGCTCCTTCCACATTCAAACCATCTTCTGGGTGACATGACACAGTTGAGCCAGGCAGTCAAACAGCTGAATCAGAGATGTGTGGCTTCTGTTGCATTGTGCTGTGTGTATGCCATGATATAACATTAAGGTAGGGAGTCAAGGAGCACGGCTTGCATAAATACGTTCAATTTACACACACATACAGTATACACGCATGATCTTAATTTTTATTTTATATATATATATATATATATATATATATATATATATATATATATATATATATATATATATATATATATATATATATATATATATATATATATATATATATATATATATATATAGTTTTATATATATATAGTTTTATATTAAATTTTCTTTATTTCTAAGCCACATTAGAGTATTGTAATGATTTTTCTACAACGTCTATTGTTTCATTACATGTAACAATGGCAACAAGCCATCTCACAGGCCATTTCATCCCCAATTTTTTCCCCTCCCAGTGAGTCAAGCTGTCATCAAACCGAATTTTGACCTTACTTTAAGTGAGAAAGGGTGTCAACAGTTTTTTATTATTGAACTGAATTAAAGTTTAAATTAATTAACACTAAACAAGGGGTACCTGTCTTGGATCTCAGACATCCCCAAAAGATAGTTATCATTTAACTGAATGTTGCCTGTAATGTAAGATCATTAAACAAATATAGCCATAGTTATGTTGACCTTTTTGAGTAAAATGTACCTATTCCATTCTGGCTATTGTAGAGTTCCAGGGATCGGGGATTCTGACTAATGGGGAGATTACTGTACTTCATAAGTGTACAGTTTCACCCATAATTCATTCAGATAAGGCTTTTGAAAAACAAAAAATCCTTGAAAACTTCTTTTTTCTTCTTTTTCCCCCAAGGTCTGTACAAACTGCACCCAGTCCATGCTCATCATAATTGGATTGCAGGATTAATCCCTCCTGTATGATTTAAGACTGAATGATTGACTGTGCATGTAAATGCTTATTTTTAATATGATATAATTTGTTATTTTGCAGATTTGTTAGTGGATTGGAAAAAGAGTTAACAACTCGCTACCCTGTACATCAACCTGTTCGACCTGGAAGAGAGGAGATCACTCATATCTACTTCCCCTCACGGATGTCTCTCTGGGAATTTCTTCTAATGATTTTCTACTGTTTTTTATTTGGGTCTATATACTTTTCTATATTGAAGATGGACATGTTCAAGAGCAAGTTGGGTATGGCCATTAGTATTCAGGCCACATTGATAGCTTCACTCTGCATCTCCGTAGGCTTTTGTGCATATTTTGGTCTCAGACCATTGCACAGCAAAGGGAAGTATGTATACCCATTCCTTGCTGGCTTGATTGGCTTTGAGAACAGTATGGCATTAATAAGATCAGTTTTATCAACTCCTTCACACTTGGACATCAAAATTCGTGTTGCACAAGGCTTAGCGCGGGAAGGGTGGACAATAACCAAATATTTTTTGACTACAATCACTATTGTTACAGTCTCATTCTTCCTCTTCATTCCACTTGTTCAAGAATTCTGCATTTATGGCAGTGTTGTGCTGCTGTGTGATCTCTACATGCAGCTCATCTTTTTGACTGCTGTGCTGTCTATTGACCTCCGTCGGTATGAAGATTCAGAAGAACAGAAAAAGCAATCATTAGCAAATAGTGGACCATTTTCTGTAAATCCTCTGTTCAGATATCAACATCATAGCCCTAATCCAAATGTCAGAATTCTTGTCAGCAATTCTGAGAGGACTGGGACATCTGTGCCTAACCTTCACCGCAGAAATGCACCATCTGAATCGTCCATTAAGTGCAGTGGGCGAGATCGAGTTGCTCACCCTCAAGCAACACCCCAGAACTCAAACATGATGCCTAAAAGATTACGTGTAGCATACTTTGTTGCAAAAAAGCGAATGTTTCAGAGGATGTTCATGTGTGTATTTGTTGGGTGGATTGCATTTATGATTTACAGTTCAGGACTCATAGAGCATTTCTCTGAACCAATGAGTGACCAACACAGACCAAGGGACTTACCCTCTGTTATATTCTCCTTGACGAATCGTTCCAGTTATGTATATCAACCCGAGGTATCTATACCACCTCCCCATAATGTTGGTCAGACTCAACCTCCTAACTCAGCTGCCATAACGACTCAACCATCAACTGCCATAAATACCACTGTTTCCAAAGATGATGAAATTAAACTCCTGAAGCATCGCACAAGATCTCTTTTGCGTAAACTGCCACATACACACTGGCCAACCTTGTTTAGTTATTATAACATCAGTGTGACTGGACATTACCTCAGTATACTTCCACCAATTCTGGTGTCTCTACCAGTAAAACCAGAAGATGCTCTGAATGTCCACAACCCCAGTGATCCTAACACAGCTCCCTGGATAGCAGACAATGCTCAGATTCAAGGTGAGTAATTTATGTACAGTATATACTTTTTTAGTGAATCCAACATACGGGCAGTCCCTGATTTTCGAAGGTTCAGTTTACAAAACTCTGAAGTTACTGTATGGAGAAAATTTTGCCCCATGGTTAATTTTATGAAAAAAAAATCTGAAATTACAAAAACATTTATTCTGCTATCTTTGTAATATTTTCCTAATTATTAATTAATAATGATTTTTTTGTTCACGGTCAGTATGCTTACTTTTTTCACCATTACACTAGTCTCTAACACTTGAAATTTTATTAAATCTGCAAATAAGCTTTCGGTGTGCTGTCATACTGCTAGAATCATCACATAACTTACTCCTCAATCACACTGGGGACAAGTAGCCTCTTCACCACCACCACCACCACAGTTACTTAGCCAGTTGCCTGAATTTCCAATTTCTCTCCATTTGCTCTCATGTACTATGTGGCAAATCATTTAAACAAAATTAATCTGTATTTTTAGATTTCATATGCTAATTATGTACAGTCCTAGATGAAAGTTCTTGATACAGTCAAGGTGGAGGGTGTAAAGTTCGTCCCTATCTCTACTGGACGGCGAGTCGTTGTCAGTCCATTGCCCCGTAACACAAACAAGCACCCAAGCAGTTCAGCAATTGAACTGTTATATTTCTATTTCTCAGTAAGGACTGGGAAAGGATTTCACTGTTTTGTTTGATAAATTCACAAAACATTTTACTGAATCATGTTTTACATTATTTGACGTAATAAGTTAGATCATTATTAGATAATCATGACATATTCTTTATAATACAGTACAGAAGTCACAGTTGAGGGAAAGTGTCTTGGTGGCTGAGGTTCACAATGATAATACAGTGACCCCTCCGTTAACGAACTCAATCCGTTCCAGAAGGTCGTTCGTTAACCGAAAAGTTAGTTAACCGAAACCATTGTTTCACTGTGTTTTTGGGTAATTGGTTCCAGCTCACCGAAAATTTCCTAAATTCAACAAAAATGGTAGAAAAGTTCACTTACTTTGAGGTGTGTATGTAGAAGGCTCCTGGATGATGATGATGATGATGATGATGATGGGATTTAGAATGGGGGTGGAAGAGAAGTCACCCCATGGCGCCATTTCACCCATAAAATTTTAGCTCTCTTAGTGTAATTCAAGATTATTTTCTTTAAATCAACACTGCACTGCATTATATATTGTCAATATGTAAAATATATTTCAAAATGACCAATAATTTGCTTGGAAACACAGAAAAAAAGCATTTAGTTGAAGAGAGTCTCAAGCAAGATGTTACCTCCAGTGAAAACAGAGAGAGACTAACTCCTGTTTGCTGTGTTAAGAGGCTGGATGCCGCGCATTAAACTAGTCACTTTACCTTCAATTATGTTCAATAATTGTTAAAATGACTAAAAAATTGAATATTAAACTTTTAAAATTTTTGAATAGTATAAACTTCTTGATATTTACTAAAATAGTAAGGAATTTAAGCCCTAGAACCGATTAATGTATTGGCGGACTGATACTAAAGCTGGTTGCCCGGTCAGTGCAAGCGAAAACATGTTGAGGTTGGTTCGTAAGAACTTCGTTAACCGAATTTTTTTTCGTTAACCGAATTGAAGATCCTTATGGAAGGCAGTTCGTTAATCGAAATTACGTTAACCGAGGTGTTCGTTAAACGAGGGGTCACTGTATCAGAATCCTCCAATGTATTGTCCCTCGGTATACTAAGCATGAATGTGTGGGATAATATGATTCATAAGAGAAAGCTTTATCACCCTCCGTGATAATGACTTTATCATATCGTCTACTGCACATTTGGTTTCTTGTAAGTACTGTACAGGTATAAACTTACTACTGTACTTTATTGAATTCTTTTCACTAACCATATTTATTATTGGTTTATAATCATTGTGTGGACCCATTTTTTTTAGTTAATAACATGTTTTATGGTGTTTTAAGACTTTTTGGTAACAACATATGGACTCCAGTTTATGAAAAATTAAAAATTAAAGATTTTCAGGAACAGAACCCTTTTATAAACCAAGGAATGCCTGTAATTGTTTTTAGCCCTAAAGAACATTGTGTATTTAGGCCATGTATTACTGAACTGCCAGTTCTAAGCTTGAGATTGCACAGATCTATTTATGTATTCACTATACAGAAATCCTGGTCATATAGACTGAGGATGAACTATGCAAAGAGCAGGATGGGTCAGACTCAGACTTGTGCTGTTCAACAAGCTATGCCATATGCCTTGGTTATTTCATTTTTGTAGCATTGACAGCCATCATATAAAGATGAAGGCAACAGAGTTGTTTAGATTTACAAATATGAAACATCAGTACTATCACTATGCATGTAAACACTAAAAAAAGTTCTCCTTAGGATTTGCATTCACTCTCCTGATGAGATTGTTGCTCAAAGTTATCTTTAAAAATTTCTGGTGCTTAATCAAGTAGTGTTTGATTTAGATTTACTTTTCCATATACAACTTGAACAGGGAAAATTGTATTTTATAAGTAGTATATAACCTCACAGCTATCATGCAGATTATATCTTACTATAGACTCTGAAGATTCCGAGGAGACAGATTGGCAAGAGGAATCGGCTTTCATACCGTCGTCGTCCGGAGAGCTGTTGCTGACAGCCGTCCTGGTGATTCCTGCTGTGCTTTTCCTGGTGTATGCCATGGTAGCACTGTATCATTGCATTTGTTCTCGTAATTATGCTGAATGGAGAGCCTCCTGGTGGGGTCAGGATGGGACTAAAGATGAAACATCACAGGTGAGTTTGTTTTTATTATTTATTTGATGATCCATAAGCTTTAACTTGATGTCTTTGATATTTATTGTTACAGAAACCCCTTATGATATTTACTTGTTCTTTCAGCATATAGAAACATTTATTTGATACCTTCTTCCTTTAGCCATTTCCAAAGATTAGATGTCAGCTTCTCAAATTCACCTCTGCCACCTTACCCTGCTTTTTGTTTCCTCCACTCTCAGCCTGGTGTTCTGCATGTCTCACTTAACCATGTCTCTCTATCTTAGGCCTGCTACACAGGCTCAGTTTTTCACACAGGTTTAAGTGTGCAGGTCTAAACTGCATGGATAAACCTGAACTGCACAAGTGCATTGTTATGCATGGTAATAGAAACTTCTAGTCTTCAGTTTGAGGACTATTAAAAGACAAATGATTTTAAGGCATTAGCACTTCAGAGAGGAAGTTTATTTTTTTAAATATTCATCATAAAAGGTCTAAGTCAAAGATGAAATTCGCTTCAGAATGAAATCTTTTCATTATTTCTTTGTTTTGTACCAAACATAAAGCAAGCAGAAACAAATGATACCAAACATTTAGTTCAGTAGGTAATGAACTACAGTTTGTATGGCTGGATGTATCCCAAATCATTTATATAACTGATAAAACTTGATATAAATATGAGCGGTCTAGGGGGGGAGTGTAAAATGCTCAGGGTAACAGTCACTGGACTTGGCTGGAATTTCGCTCATCTCGACACACACAAGTAAGCAGACGTCAACTCTCAAATGTCAACAGATGTCAGCACTGTGGCACTTAATCAACAAGAACATTTCTCATGCCCATGAGCAGATTATTAAATACTTCATCCACTAACTTGGCATTCCCTATCTTAAATGCTGTATTGTGACAAGATTTAAGTAAATATTTGCTATGAAGTATTAAGAAGCAATGTAGAGATTTAACATTTTCATCCTCAGTCATCAAGTATCAAGAAATTTGGTGCAAATGGATGAAAATCTCGGCCAATGATGGACGAGGTATAGTTAATTTGTGTGTCATAGTATTCTAATGTGAGCTCTAACGTACTGTCAGTACAAGTTAAGTGTCCAGCTAATCACCCCGTCGATGTGTCTGCGAAATCCAGTGGTTGTTCCCCAGAGCGTTTTACATACCCCTGGACTTCTCGTATTTTATAGTGAGCATGGATCAGGATGCCTCAGGACACAGGTAATTTGAGCCTGGGGCCTGTTTTATCGCCTGCTTTGGTCACACAGTGCATGTGCTAAAATTATAGCAGCGTAGACTCACAACTCTCGGCTTTTGACAGCTGGTTCATCAGAGATACCGCACAATTTTAGGGGTGGTGGTTAAGCCATGAGAAGTCCTATCTCTTGTTGTCTGGTTGTACGGGATTTTAGAGTACCGTATAGTCCAGTGGGATCAAATCCACAAGCTTGGCTGAGCCCCTAATATTTCACATGTTCTTACTGACATATAAAGCAAGGCAAATCCTACTTTGTTTTGATAGCCAAATGAGCTGAATTCTTCAATAGATGTTTCAAATGTTATTTTATGGGATAATAGCTTTAATATTTACCTTGGTGATATAAAGATAAGTAGACTCTAATTGTGCCACTTTCCTATGAATGTTGGAAAAGGTTTATATAATATAACCTGATGCCAGTAAGGTTGATCCTTGGCAAAAATTCAGACTCACTTATTATTAATTTCCTCTTAATTAAAAGTTGTTTAAATGAATGTTGTCACACTAGATTATGAATATCCTGTACATTGTAGGTACCCAGTACAGGTTTGAAATATTACAGATTTACTAATTAATCCAATATGACTCTAGATCATTGGAGATGCATTACCTCTCGTGCTTGCTGGCCACCCTCATGATGTGGAGTGCATGTGCACCGATGGCGTGTTGTTGGTGTCCTCCTGTCTGGCGGGCATCATTCGTGTGTGGGATCCTAGTACAGGGGAATGTGTTGCCAATATAAATAGACACAGGTAAGTTAGTAATGTTTTTTGTTTTTATCACAAGATAATTATCTACACTTAGGGAAGGAGAGAAAGTTTTACTTTGTGTTTGTAGACTTAGTGAAGACATTTGACAGGGTACAGGGGGTCCTCGCTATACATTGTACTGACAAATCTCATTTAACATATACAGTACAGTGGTCCCTCGGTTAACGAACGGTTCGATTAACGAAATTTCGGTTAACAAATTACCTCCCATAAGGATCTTCAATTTGGTTAACGAACAAAACTTTGATTAACGAAATCCTTACGACAAACACGTTTTGTTGTGAGCATCAGCTGATGGGCTAGTCTGCCAATTCAGTAATATGTTCTATGTTTACATTCGTTTCCAATGGAGTAAATATCAAGAAAGTTGTGCTCTTTAATATTTTTTCATTTTTTATATTAAAATTATTAGTCATTTTAAAATTTAGTAAACATATTGATTATATATGCAGTACAGGGAACTAGTTTTTTGTGCACCCATCAGCTGCTTGACTCACCCACCAGGCATCAGTTTGGCTTTGTTTACAGTGGGGTGAACATCGATTTTGTTGCTGTCTTGAATATTTTTGCATTTTTAAGTTAAAATTATTTGTCATTCTGAAATTTAGTTAGCAGTGTTGATTTAAATAAAATAATCTTGAATTACACCTAGTGAACTTAAAATTTTTTATGTATATATATATCTATATATACCTTAATTTTTTTCCAGTCACAAGAAACCTGACTTTCGAATGGGTTCACCAGACCTTGCAGATGACTTTCATTCTGACTATGAGTCTGGTTCACCAAGATCACAGCCAGGAGACATTAACTTCTTCAGAAAAAATGCAAGGTAAACTATCAGTGAGACCCAAATAATTTTTGGCTGCATTATGCCCCCAATGCTTTCTTGGTGTGACTCGGGATGTTTTTTCACATGGGAAATATTTTTGAAGCATGGGGTAATGTACAGTACAGTATGGAATAATTTACTGTTGGTCACCCTTGTTTTAGGTTAATAGACTCTTGAAAATTCTGTTATGAGCAACTTTGTTTCTCCGCGATATTTTGTGATGCAGAGGGTCACATTTTAAATTATTCCCAGTAACCACTCGACTCAAATAAACAAATGACAGTAAAAGCCTAGTGGATCGTGAGTTTACACTTGGTGACTGGTTATATTTGCATCACAATGTTAGGGGACATATATTTTATGACTAAATGTCTTCCTTTTTGTGACTCAGATAATATGTTCACCATGTGTTCTGGAGGATTCAAGAACCAGGAAACCTCAATAGTGGGGGGAGAGCAGAAGCAAAAGTTTTCCTAATAGATAGTAGGGAGCTGGAGAATAATGAGATGTAACACTACTGTATACTAGTGTGTGTGGTGGATCTACACCTTTAGCTGTTACATTAAAGTTCAACCATTTTGGATGAATTTCAAGATCACCCAATTTATTTAATTCACTTTGCCAACCTCAACCACCACCTCCCTGCTTCCCTCCATCTTGTGTTGGGTGCTAATTGCTTTTTCTCTCCTCTTATAAGTACAGTATTTTAATAGGTGATTAGCTGGTGCTGTTCAGGCCAACAATATTGTTATTAATATAAAAGTAATTTTCCATTGTTGTTTAATGATGCAAATGTTTTACACTGGTTACAAACTAATTTGAGGTCAGTTGGTGTGATGGTGACTGATCAACACAACACCCTGTACATTCCAGGGTGAATAGCTTGGCCAATTTTATTATATTATATTTTTACTTTATTTTATTTACTTTTTCTCGCTGGATGCAGGTATCCAACCCAAAGTTTGGATTACTCAAGTGAGATACAGATTTGAATAAAACAGCTTTAAGTCATGGATTGTGGTTTTGGGTTCAATTGGTATCCTGCCTTGCAAGTAGTCAGACCTGCGCATAATAGTCCCGTGTTAGGGTTTATTGCATGCTCATTTAATATTCATTATTTGGATATATTAGAACCCCTCAAGGAATCTAATTGGTTGTAAATGTTAGTATAGGTAGGCCAGTAGGAGAATTCTATTCTTTGACTCAGTTCCATATGTTTAAGCTACAACCTCTACTAATGGTCAGAGCCTACATGCAGGACAATAGTTATGGGTCTATTACCCAGGTAGCACATTAGGAGACTCAAAAAGTACCCTTTTTCTTTAATTGCTATCATTGATGATGTTGTCTTGTATCTTTTGAAGAAGAAAAATGTGTAAGTGGTTCATGTAGTTAATTAATTTAGAATATCCTATTAATGTTTGAGCACACATTGAACTTGTTCATGTAGAATAACACTGTTTGAACTATGATTGATATTGTTTTATTATGTTCATGAAGTAACACCTGAGCAGACTAGGGTGTATGTCAACTGTACTCTACAGGGTGTACAGTATATTTATCTCCTATTGTTACCGGTAGGTATCTTCTGTGCTTTGACACAAGAATGTTATTATTGTGGTAAGTTATTGATTTGCAATTTACTTATTTGCCACAACTTACATAATTTTAAGTAGAATAAAATTAAGAATAGACAGTAAGTTATCTGATAACCAAATTGGGTTTATAAAGGGAAAAGTAACTAGAAAAACTATACAGGAATACCTTGGTTATTATTGCAAGGGATGCATTCCTGAAGGTCTTTACGAATCTTAGGGCAATTTTCCCCATAAGAATTAATGTAAATAAGGGGGATGCTTTCCCAGCCAGAAACTTTCACCCAATAGTTTTCTATATACAGTGGGGTCTCATTTTGTGCAGATATATCGTACTGGTACACGTCCGCTTATAGGAAATCCGCATAAGCGATGCCCTTTAGCATGTGTTAAAATCGCTATATTGTACTGTACTCGCCAGACCTTTACTCTAGAACGACTTTGGGTAACCTTCAAAAAATGTCTCATAATGTCACATAAACTGTATCTATATTATGAAATAAATATTTTAAGAAAGCCCAGGAAGTTAATTATGCTATATTCCACCAAAGAGCAGAGGTGTGGGAAGCTCTGGGAGACAATGGGGTTCAAGGCTAGTTGGCTTTATAGCTTTCAAAATTAACTGCAGACATTTGTAAAACGACTTCAGCTTCATCACCATCTCCAGAGTGGCAGGGTCATCATCACTGGATTTGCCTTGAATTGTTGAGGCGTAAAATAGGTGGCGATGAGAGTTTGGTGGTGGCATTTAAACTCCTGTTAACGTTGCCTGTAGGGTTCTGCTCTGGTACTGCCACACCACCAACACTTGAGTTTGCTTGTTGTTTTATTTTGAGGTTATATTACATATTATATATCGTATTTTTTTCTATTATTTAATAGATTGTATTATTTATGAAGAAACTTACACCATAAGAGGCTGATCATACAAGAATATAATAATACTGTACACATCAGGCCATAGCCTTGCAGCCCATCAGGTTTTCACTTTATTGTTTTTCTCTTGATTTTCCATTGAACACTTCATTCTATCTGAAACTAATGGATGTTACAAATAGCATATACAGTCAGTCCTTTTTGCTTGAGGAAAGATTTGTGTTTTTTTAATTTCATGTACAATATTTATTTAGTTACATTTTATGTTATTTCAGTGATTCATGGCTAGATGAAGAAGAGAAGGATAATGAATCAGAGACTGTGGATCAGTTAGACTCTGCAAAGGGACATCAGCAAAACAGTTCATCAGGGAACCTCTTTCATGTGTTTCCAGATCTTAGTCCTTCCATTGATCTCCACTTTCACAGCCGTTCAGCAGAGTCTCGCAGCAGTGGTTGTTTTAGTCATTTTGAAAAATACTATGAAGAGCACAAAAAATTACTTAAAGATGAGGAAAAATATAGACTGAGACGGGGAAGAAAAACTTCGGATTGCATTGAACATTCGGCCACTGGCAGTGTAAACAAAAATATGATGATAAGGTCGCCGTCCTACACAGAAACCTCTTCAGGTTACAAACAAAAAAAACATTGTAGAAACCTCAGTGCAGGGAGCATTCCAGTAGGTGCTCTCTTTGGACACAGTGGGAGTGCTGTTAAAGGATCTGTAGATGGGGAAGGAGGGAGTACAACAGAGGAGGAACTTCCTCCTATTTGGTGCCTTGAGTGTCAGGATGCACTAGTGATAGTGGGCTGTGGTTCAGGGCGGATAGAAGTATGGGATCTCTATAACAGTGTACTCAAGGTAAGTAGCTACTTAACTCTACTTGTATGTCAGATCACAAAAAAAATTGGTTTGTGATGAGCAGACTTACTTATCTTTTCAAAAATATTTGAACTCTGGTTGCTTCAAAGAAAATACATAGGTATTTTAATTTAAGATAATTTTTCTTTTTTTTTCTTATACAGTATACAGGTTTTGCTAATAGTTTGCATGTATTGTACACTGACCTTCTAAACAATGCACAGTGCATTTGTAATATCTCACAGACATAACCATCCATTATTGCTTTCACATTCTGTGTTATGGATCAAGAAGTATATATACAGTACTGTACCACTAGTCTTGTGGTCCTGTATGTCGACATGGGCACCGAAGTGCAGCCAGGGAATCTCTTGCACTGTGGAGTCGTGTCATGCCGCGCCTTCACATGTCGGCCCTGGAGTCACATTCATCAGCCGCACATTGCCACTTTGGAGCAAACAAGCGATGATGTGCAGAAACTGCTGACCTCATGGGGTGGCAAAAAGAACCTGTGCTGGTGACCTTACCTCAGCTCGCACAATCCACAGGCAAAGTTGTCCTCATCCAGGTGTCCCCTCATTGTTGTCAACAGTATTAACTTCTTCATTTTTTGGACTGCAGCTTCCGCACTTTCATTGGCCCGAGAATTGCATGGCGAGGTCACCCAGTGCTCCACCCCCACCGAGCCAATTAAGTGCTGTAATGTAGATAACTTGAACTACAGTCTTCCATCGGTTCTCATGACAACAGGCACGCCAGTGTCCACAAAGACAGACCACAGGACACTGGCAAGATTAGCTGCCATTGCCATCTGTGGGCATGACGACACAGATGGCCATCTGGACTTACAGTCAACATATGCCAAATAGGTATTGCCACCACATGGAAGTAATCTGCTGCAACATATTCAAACATGCCACTTGGAGGGTCTTGCCACAACGGTCCATTCTGCTCTTCTAGGGAGAATGAAATGACCCTGGAAACAACTAGAGACAACATTCTCAATGTCTCATTTGATTCCTGACCAGTAGACAGTTTGCCGGGCCCGACATTTGGTGCGGTCCACTCCTGATGACCGTTGGTACTGTATATATTATTTTAAGAAAACTATGGCGACATGAAGAAAATTCCTTTCCAAAAAAAATTTCCTAAATTCTCCCTGCCATAAAATGTGGGACTGTATTTTTTGGTGTTTTTTTGTATCATTCTTTATAATTTTTTATATATTTAGTACATTAGCTGTAGGCTGAAGTAGCATTTATATTTTTTGCATTACTATTGACAAATTAAACAATAGCCATGGCCCCTAAGAAAGTGTTTGGTATCTGTAAGGATGGTGAGAAGGTTAAGTCTAAGACCTTATCAGTGAACTAAAAGTAGGTGTACAGTATATTTTACTTTTTAAATGAATTTTAATTAAAAAACATGTTTTTCTTTCTTAGAAATTGGATACGTTGGTGTTGTTTTTTGTTTAAAATGGCGGTCATTTTGGAAAAATTTGCTCTAAGGGGGACAACCTTTCATCCAGGACACTCCTTCCCCCCAAATTGTCCACCCTAGCGAAGTTACACACTCTCTCTCTCTCTCTCTGATCTGACTGGGTTTGTGTAACTTGCTCCTGGAGTATGGCTATCCCCTTACTTAGGGCAAACTGGTCAGTGGAGGTATCATAGATTGCTCATATATTCCCCTCAGCTATGAAAATATATTTCTTACCTCAATCTTCTTTTTTTCAGTGTATATATGACGAAGGTATTAGAGCAGGAGTTACTTCAATGCGTCTGTCAGGGAACCGTATCATGGTTGCTAGACTGAATGGTGCTGTTGATATGCTGCAGCTTGAGCCAACTAGTTTTTGTCAGCACACATCTGACACATTTCAAACATTTAAACCAGGTAAAGTTAAACTATTTTATTCTTTTAATAACTTGACTGAATGTTTATATGTGTGGAAGTAATGGACTAACATCCTGCCTAGATGGTTGGATAACCCACTAACTGATGAATGCTAAGAATCAGGTGATCACCACATTTGTCCAAGCACCTTGTAATATAACAACACTGGGCTATGTCATCAGTATTTATATCAATGGAAATATAATGCTACTTGAGCTAAAGACATAGTTATAGCAATTGTACATTTTTCAGACATGTGTAATTCATTAGTCTATTAAGCATTTATAGCAGCAAGTCAGATGCTGTTGGTTGTTCAGGAACTGACAGGAGTTTTAGGATTCAGACTTGTGATCAACTGAGTTGGCTCAGAAAATTTATGATGGTTGAAAGAATTTCAAATTTACTGTAATTTCAAAGCATTCAAATTTGGAACTCCTAACCCTGAACATTTCCACTCTTGGTAGGTTGGCACATGGATAATCTGGCACTCTTAGGGCCAAGCAGGTATTGTATTGCAGAATTTACCAGAAAAAGGAAATAGTTGCAGTACTGTCAAGAGGACTGAGTTGCTAAACAAACAATTCATAGCTTTAGGAGAGGCCATTTATTTATCCAATTTAATGATATTTATTTTATTCATATGTAAATACAGAGGATCATTGTCATATTGTAGTTGTTGTGTTGAAGCCATTGCGTTATATCTTAATTTGGGTTATAAGTCCCACATTTTGTTCACATAAATGTATACATATTATTACAGCTTTTAAGTGCAGGTATATTACAGATACAGGTATCCCTTGTTTAACAATCGTTCACTTTGTGATTTTTCGGTTTAGCAATTTTTTTATTTTAAATTTTTAACATCCTGAAAACCGATTGTTGGGCAAAATCATCCCTGAACGAAGGATTACGATAAATAATATCCTAAACGAGGGATAACGAGGAATACTATTCGTGGAGATGGCATGTAATTGCGTAGCCAAGTTGCCGACTCGACGCCCAGTAGTTGGTGAGGCTGAGCTGTGAACTATGTTACTGTTCAACTCTTAATGTTGGGTAGATATACATAATTTTCTTCATTTTCTTTTTCCCTGTTACAATCAGATAATTATTCATACAGAATACACAAAGAAAAATATATATAAGGTTAAAACCATAAAAATAATAAATATTTCTTATTTGCTCAGCAGTTAGCTCAGAGCAGGGAAGAGGGAGGGGGAGTGGTGTGGGGGATCTCTCAGCTATACTCTGTCTCATGTCCCATAAAGTGATTGCCAAATGCCAACACAGTATTTTTTATTATTTTTTATTTATTATTATTGTTTTTATTTATTCCTTACATTTACTGGTACAGTTACCAAGCTGCCTCAAGAGATGTGTGTAGCTGCTGCCTGCATGCCGTGATGTCACATAGGGGGAAGGAGAGTGCGGCTGGCCACATTTACAGCTCACTGCCTAAATACATACGTTCACTTCCCACACATACACACCCATCCTCTTCATTTTTCTTGTTTTATGGCTTTGTAGTACTGCATACTGTATACTGTACTATAAAGTACTGTACTATATGCTACTGTATACAGTACACCAATTTCTTTAATTCTAAGTCACATTACAGTACAGGGGTATTGTAATGGTGCGCACTTGGAGCACTGAATCCCCAGTTTTCCTCCTTCTCTCCCGAATTTTTCCCAGTGAGTTGAAGATCGCTAAACCGGAAATTGGCGATTGTTGAATAAGAAAGGATGTAAAAATATTTATATTGCTAGGTGAACAATTGTTAAACAAAGGGTATCTGTACTGGATATGAGTATCCTGCACAATTTCAATCAAGCAACTAGTCTGTCTTTCAAAAAAAAAAAGCCTGGACAATACAAAAAAATAGTGAAACTTTATCCCATAGCTACAAAGGGGCGAGTCCCTTTAAGTATTGGGGGGGGGGGGCTAAGAAGCGTACAATAATTACACTTGAGATTAGGGCAAAAAACCCTTAAAGAATGTGGCCACTGTGAATTAAAATGAGTTGTTGCCAGAGTTTAGAACACCACATGATTGATATTACACAATAATCTTTCTTTTGAGGTGGATAAAATTTCTCTCAGATTTTATAGATGCAGTTTTGGATCAGATAGAAATAACTTCGAGACAGTAAGCAAAAGTTTAATTTGTGGTAAGCCTACCTCAGCGGAAAAGTTAACAGGTTATGACAATGTAAGAGGTAAATTGAAGATTCATTGGTCTAGATGCATTCATTAGAAACTCCTTCTGTAGTTAGCATTGCAATGGTGAATCTGAATAATTAAATATTTTAATAAATTATCAGTTGGGACTATTTGAGTTATTAATTTTTAAGAATATCATTTGAATATTGTCCTTAAACTTTCAGGTCACAGTCGAGGCAATAGTAGAGATTATGGTAATGGGGGATGGACATTTGGATATGATGAGGCAATAAGACTAGTTAGATATGCTGGTATGCGTGCTCATCAGCAGCCCATCACTGTCATGACCTGTGACCACACGAGACTCATCACTGGTGCACATGATCATACACTTAAGGTTTGTTATTTTATAACTGTACAGTATTATGTAGTATACTTTATATACTGTAATATTTATTTTTACCTGTATTATAATAGTTATAAATAGAAAATATGAAAAATTACTTATTCATTTGATGTATAATATTTCTACAACTGTGTAAATATATTTATAGTAATCAAATCATATATTGTATACAAGGGTTGACCGTTATATGATGGGGTTAGGGACCTCAAAGGCGATCGATAAGTGACCGATCGTGTATTGATATATACCAATAACTTATGGGGGAAAATAGGTTCCGTTCCTGAGCCCCTGAAGAGCCCAAGCATGTTTTATGTCCTCCCGCTATAATGATTAAATAATGTATAAATAACTCAAATAATTAAAAAATTACCTATAGACCTAAGCTCTATAAATTTAAAAAAAAAAAAAATAAATTAATAAAAAAATAAATTTATACAAAATAAAGATTTAATTTCATTTACCTTACATGATAATGTACAGTAGTAAGTTATGATCCCCCAGCTGTCACAACAAGTAGTTTTGGGTAGGCGTACATAATTTATCTATTTATTTATTTATTACTGTTAAATGCACGCACAATCTTTCATACATAATGTGCAAAAAATAAAAGTAATGGTTATAATAAGGCCTAAAACATAATGATAATAAACATTTCTTATGTCCACGGGAGTTAGTGTTGATCATGGGAGGGAGATGGGTAGCAGGAAGGGGATACAGCATCGGTATCTCAGCTTCCTCTACCAGGCAAAGCTGTGAGCTGCATTATTTTTATTTTTGAACTTGCAATTTTGGGTAGATGTATTTTTGTTTTGTTTTTTGTGTGTGTGTGTGTGTCACAACCTCAAGTTTAAGAAGCCATAAGTACAGAAATGTATTAGAGCTAACTTCTTTGGTGTAACAATTGTCAAGTGTTGTAATAACCTATCAGATAATATTGTGACAGTAAGATTTGTAAACTGTTGGAATAACCTGTTAGAGAATGTTGTAACAGTTTTAAACTGCTGTAATAACCTGTCAGAGAATGCTGTAACAGTTGTTGTGAACTGTTTTAATAACCTGCTGGGGAATGTTGTGACAGTAAGAGTTGTAAACTTTTGGAATAACTTTGCCAGAGAATGTTGTGACAGCACCGAGCACCATGTGTACGGTCCTTTAAGTCCAACACTGGTGCATGTTTTAGTATATTCTAGAGCCTGTACATGACCTAGCACTTGCCAACAGTGTGTAACAGAGATATAACTGACTTACCGACCAGCTAGTGGTGAAGAGGGAACAATTTGTGGATATTACTAAGCTCTTTGCTCAGTTTAACAGTTTTAAACTGTTTCTGCCCCCCCCCCCCTTTTTTTCTTTTCTCAACCCCTATACTTTGGGTCACGTCCTGTGACGTGTGTCTGTAGAGCTTCGGACCACGTTACATGATGTTTTGATTTTTCGTGGGCTTATTTGAATAAAAAGGTTGGGCCTGGCTAGATTATGTTGCCAAATAGGTATTTATCTTTCACACACTCACACATGAGAGCCTCCCACTTTCTTCTCAGTAACTTCTCAGCTTTTGTGATGTAGGCATCTTGCCCTTGGACTTGACTCCTTTCACCGTGTTCCCCCCAACACCGCAACCATAAGTCTAGTATTTGTGATTAATTACTGGAGCTGTAATAATGATTGTTAATACTGTAGTGTAAATAGTACTAATATAGTAAAACAAGTGTCCTGTACCTCGTACTGCCTACAAATTGGTGTTGTTTACCTCGTACTATTGCATTATACATACACCACTTCACGAACATTCTCGACTCTTCCTAGTCCTTGAGTTGCCAACCTGTATATTTATTTCCTGTTTATATCATGTATAACCAGTTTGCAAGATTGGAATTGTTTTTTAAATGTTCCCAAATATACCCGTGGGGTGGTGGGGGGGGCGACCTTAGCACGAAGCCAAGGAGTCAATTAAAAAAATAGATTCGAAAGTCTTTCTCCAAAGTTTTCTGTGTTTTAAAAGAAAATGTCCTGCCAGCTGCACAGTATTAATATCATGGTTTCGTACTTTAAATATGAGTATCCTCTTGTTACTGGACTGAGGAGTTGTTATACTGTAGATGAAAAGCAAAATCATTGCTTGGAGGTAGAAGGGCAACTATCTGAGGATTTTAAAAGGGATTATTCAAATTTTCTCCACAAAAGTAATAAGGACAGGTACACTATTACTTTTGATGAGAAAATTTGAAGAATTCCTTTTAAAATCCTCGGATAGTTGCCCTTCTACCTCTCTTTTTGCTCATAGCACTGTAGGGTATAATGACATATTTGGTCACAATACAAAATACTAAACTCTGTATTGTAAACACTTGTTATCAAGGATGAAACCAGTGTGTAGGTAATTAAATTTTTCTGTGATTACGCAGCACAATATCGGAGTTTAACCGTGCAATAATGAAAAAGAGTAATTTAGGATATTTAGTTATATCAAGGCTTGAAATAAAATGTTAAATACCTTCAATTTTAGAGCCACAAGGTCAAGTATGGCCTGGTGAAAGGATTATAGAATAGAATTGTCTTTTGAATAATTCTTCGATACAGGGTACTGATTTGTTTATCCTTACAGGTATTCAGCATGGTAGATGGCAGTGCTCTGTTCACCTTGCATGGGCATTGTGGTCCCATTACATCAGTTTTTATGGATGGGAGTTTAGGTGCCTTAGGTAGTGAAGGAGATGTAACGGTTGACCTCGGGGTTGGGGCAATCATTGGCAGTGGATCACAAGATGGTATGCTCTGTGTATGGGAAGTTGTGACAGGTGCCTGTGTTTATAGGTAAGTACAGTATATAGATATTTTTTCCTTTGTTTCTCTCATCATGGTACCAGTAATATTTCTCGGGGGAAAATCTATGCCCCTGGGAAAGTATCTCCAATAATTTATGGAAATCACTAGAAAAATAGGTCTTGAGTTATGGAATTATATGTTATAGACAATTTGTGGAAGTAACCCCTCTGTATGCTTATAATGTATGGGATGCTTGGATGGTGTCATCAGAGGAATGCTGCACATTGTTAATGTCATTAGCTTGACTCTGACTTAAGGAGATGGCAGCACCTGCTTGACACCTGTAGCCATTTTGAGAGTAGATGACCATAATGAATAGGAATGATATCTTCCTCAGTCTCAGTCAATCATCATGGCCAAAGGATTAAACTTTTATTATAGTCTTTTCAGCTTTGCTTTCTTTTTATCTAGTTGTGTGTAGTTTAGATCAAAAAGACAAATTATATTAGTTTAGTAACTGAAGTTTTTATGTTAACTTGAAATGGGTAGCAGTAAGAGCTTGCTTATATAAAATGATTAAATGATTTTAAATTATTCATCTGATTTACATTGAGGGTCCTAAGCGCTCTTTTAAAGTTGATATATGATGTAGCTGATATTATAATACAGTAGCTATTTAAAATGTTGATGATTTCTCTTTGCTCCCTTTCAGTGTACAAGCCCATGATGGAGTCATAACCACTCTCACTTGCACAACAAGCTACATCTTGTCTCTGGGTGGAGATGATAAGCTTTGTGTGTGGGAGAGGTTTCAAGGGCACCTCCTGAATACTCTCCAAATGGTAAGTACCGCAGTGCTTATTTAGTCTGAAATCTGCTCAAAAGGCCTGTTGGTATTTATGCTTCTTTCTCCAGCATTTATCATCAGTTGGTTTATCTTCTTTTTTTTTTACAATGCCTTTTTAGCATGTTACCTCCAGTAACCAATGCTTGTTGATAAAATTGACCACCCAAAATATCTCACTGAGATCATGACTGAAAATGTACCATAAGTAGGTTTTGTTTGGCTAAAACTTAAAGTTCACTGTATTTACTAATTTTCCAAGTTTTGTTAGTTACATGATATGTAAATATCAACAGATTTTGTTGTGCCTCATTTTATGGTTTCTTATGTAAGAATGGCATGTGCATAGCCTTCTCATAGCTAACAAGTAATGGTGATTTATAGACTCAATATTCTCCTAAGCATAATATACCTCTAAACTTTTATATTTTTCTTTTCGTATATCTTTATATTACTGTACAGTATACAGTAGCTATTTTCTTTATTCATAAGGCACATTAGCACATTGAAATGGCTTCAACAAATTTTGTGGTTATGTATTTTGGCGTGGTAGAAACTTAACACTTGTAGGGCACCTTTATTACTTATTATGGCTATTTTTACATTAGGTTATGTGCCTGTAACACTATATACAGTATTACCCCGCCTAACGCGGTTTCACTTAACGCGTTTTTTCATATACGCGGTGCCTCGCCAGAGCTGAACTTTCACTTAACACGGATTTTTTCCACATATACGCGGTGAGTGTCCGGCTCGAGATGCTATTTTTAGATTTGCCCCACCTGCCACCCTGCCTGACTGCCTGTTTTAGCTCATAAAATTCATACAAATTACCCGGCCAGAATATAATTTACATTGCTGGAATTCTTATAATTTGGTGATCATTTTGAATATAAACATCATATATTTTGCATTAGACATACAAATTTTAGATAAAATGTTTTCTCTAGTAAATATGTTATCTTTTGTGCAAAATATATGACATTTATATTCAAAATATTCCTGGTCTTACAAGGAATCCAGCAATGTCAATTATATTATCCTAACTTTAGTTTGAGGTATTATTTATTAAAATTTAGTGGTTTTCCCACATCTCCTTGGGACGGTTGGTGGGGGGTGGGGGGGAGGGAGGGACCGACCGACCATCTGTTACCCGTGAAGAATATTTTTTTTTTTATTAACTGAAGATATTTGTTTTAGCTCATAAAATTCATACAAATTACCCGGTCAGAATATAATTTACATTGCTGGAATTCTTATAATTTGATGATCATTTTGAATATAAACATCATATATTTTGCATTAGACATACAAATTTTAGATAAAATGTTTTCTCTAGTAAATATGTTATCTTTTGTGCAAAATATATGACATTTATATTCAAAATATTCCTGGTCTTACAAGGAATCCAGCAATGTCAATTATATTATCCTAACTTTAATCTGAGGTATTATTTAATACAAAATGTTAAAATTTATTTTTTTCACCCACTCTTCTCTTGAAGGGAGGATTGGTGGGGGGTGGGGGGGAGGGTTGGGACTGACCGCGCGGTTGGAAGAGGGGGGGAGGCAAGGTGGGGTACTTTGATTGACAGATAGTGTCCTGAAGAATATTTTTTTTTTATTAACTGAAGATATTTGTTATAGCTCATAAAATTCATACAAATTACCCGGCCAGAATATAATTTACATTGCTGGAATTCTTATAATTTGGTGATCATTTTGAATATAAACATCATATATTTTGCATTTGACATACAAATTTTAGATAAAATGTTTTCTCTAGTAAATATGTTATCTTTTGTGCAAAATATATGACATTTATATTCAAAATATTCCTGGTCTTACAAGGAATCCAGCAATGTCAATTGTATTATCCTAACTTTAGTTTGAGGTATTATTTATTAAAATTTAGTGGTTTTCCCCAAAAATTTCTCAGAGAGGGAAGAGCCAGCAGTGTAGTGTGAGAAGAGGGGGAGGGAGTTGAGTCCATTATTTGAATGGACATTAACTTGGCGACTGTATTTCTCTATTTCTCTTAAGTATTAATTGTGTGCATGTACCATCATAAAATTAAGATGTTATTTTTACTACAACATAGTTATGTGTCTTCAAAAAGTGGAGTTTGGGGGTCGGGCTGGTTTCTATTGGAATTAATCCCATATGTTCTGTTGTTCACTTAACGCGGATTTCACTTAACGCGGGACCCTCTGGGTTCTATTGACCGCGTTAAGTGGGGTACAACTGTATACACTGACGTAGTGTAAAACAGTGGATGATGCAGACAACGTATGTGAAACAATTGGCGTAAAATTAAAATTTTTACCTATATTTGTTTGCAGTGTATATATGTAAAATGATGTATGCTGTATCAGTACAATGTATAGCAAGGACTCCCTGTACTGTATAGAATATTGATAATATTTTTCATCTTTCAGACCCAGATGTACTGCAGCAGTATGGTCATGCTCACAAATAAACTGTTAATCACTAGCAGACAAGTAAGTTTTTTAGTATGATTCTTTTTTCTACATTCAGTATTTTTCTCATCATCATTATCATGAGTTTGATAGCCATTTTCCATGATTGTGGAAAATTACTAAGTTTCCTTTGCTTTTTTTTGTAACCCACCTCTACGTTTCTATATGATTGAACCTTACTGCATTACCCGATAACTTTCCAGAATTTAGCACACCCTGGAGACTAGTGGTGTAATGATCTGACAGTAGGACAAATGATTTCTGTGACTATAAGTAAGTTGATAGACTATAAAAAAAATTAAACTATGACATTTATCAATGAGTTGCAATGGAGTCAGGATAATTTGTGGTTTAGGTACTAGAAGACATCCTGTATTATTATATCACAAATTATAGTTTAATTGATTTAAATTGAAATACAGTAGAATCCCAGTTATCCAGAGTCCAGGCAACTGGCAGATTCAACCAAGTGGCTCCACGCGCACCTTCAGTGATTTACTTGCATATCCACGTTTTCATTGTGGATTTACATGAAATACTGTATATATATATATATATATATATATATATATATATATATATATATATATATATATATATATATATATATATATATATATATATATATATATATATATATATATATATATATATATATATTTATATATTTATATATTTATATATTTATTTATTTATTTATTTATTTATTTATTTATATTACCCTGTATTTTATTCATAAATATCTTCATTTGTATTTTCTGTTTCAGGGTTCATTAACAGTGTGGGACATCACATCAGGAATTCCAGTGCGTATGGTGCGCTTAGGAGACCGTGATGACTCTGTATTTATTCGTCACATGATGCCTGTTGCTGATACAATTGTTTGTGATTATGGAAATCAATTGAGAGTTGTAAAATTACCAGTAGCAGAAAAAGTTGACTGAGGAAAAGTTGACTCCAGTAAATAATAAAATAATGTGAATTTCAGAAAATGTTTCTAATGGAACTTGTGAAGACTTCATAGCATTTTAGACACACAAATTAACTCATGACTGGACTATTTAATACAGATTCCTTATGCCATAAGTAATTGGTGTAAAATTGATTCTAGATGACCACTCATAAAATGAAGTGTTTATAATTTATAGTTATTTATACCTGTATAGGGTTCTATCTTTTAAATACTGTAATGTACTATATTGTGTGGTTTTATAAATCACATAGTGATAATATTATCTCAGTGACAATGGAAACAGGAACAAAAACATTTATATTAGTATTTTTTGTTACTGTTACAGTATACTGTACTGTATAGAATTTAGAAAATATCATCCCCACGAAAATCAAAACTTCTGTGTATTAACACATTTTAATAACTTGGAGGAAGATCAGAACTTCTCGCTGATGGATAAAGATTATGTGAAAATGGTGACCAGTTGGCTATTATGTTCTTTAATACAAGATGCAACTTATAGACAGCATAAGCCATGTTACCCTAACCAAAGGTTTGTACCAAGTTCATTGCTTTTTGCTCACTCATTAGCCTTTTTTATGCACACATTTTATGAATTTAAAAGATGCCTTATCATTATTCCCACTTGTATATTTTCATCACAGACACATGCAAATGTCTTTAATAGTAACAAATATTGTAATTGATTTTAGTGACTTAATAATAAGGTAGTTTATTTGATGCCTGACATGAAACTGAGAAGATAACATACTGTGTATAAAGGATTTAGGGAACTTTCTCAGTGAAGCAGACAATGTATTTTCTATGCAGAGTCAAAGGTTCTGTATTGCATTTGGCTTCTGAACTTATTGAGCCAAACTTGAAGCATTCTCATGACATAGGTTACATAAAAACCTTAGTTCTTTACTTGTACTGAAGAAAGTTATTTTTTGTACTGTATCATTTAAATTACAGTATAAGAAATTTTTATATACTGTATACCTCGACCTACAAGTTGAGGTGAAGGGTATTTAAATAACAATGCAATTTTCAAAATGTTGATACCCAATGGCTGTGAAAGGATTTTTCTGTACAAGTTGCCAATGTATTTTGTAAACAAAATTATAAGTGGTAATTATAAAAATTACATGCATTTCATGTTGATCAATTCTGTTGTATTATTTATCCTATTTTGGAGTTTTTCAAGAAACAATGCAAATCGTAAAATGGTGCATGTAAATAACTATTGTATTATTAACCATTTTCTTGATGCCAGGTTTTATTTTGTACCATAAAAGATATTATAACATGTAATGTACTTTTATGCAGTGTTTGAAATTTCCATACGTTTGCTCACCCAAGGCAACGAAAATAAAATAATGGTGAATACATCTCACAAATTGGCAGTTATAAAAAATACCAGTACTGTATTGTTACATTGGCACAATGTTACTTAAGTAGAAGTAAAGTATCAAAGTTCAATGTACTCAAATAGAAGTAAAAATGTATCTCATTCATAAGTACTCAAGTCCTGAAAGTAATAAGTAGCAACAAAATTAATGATTGTTTGAATTTTTTAAATAAATCTGCAGTAAATTATAAAAACTAGTTAACTAAACCTAAAAATAAAAGACAGCATTACACAGGTTTATTTGCAAATCTTTAATATGAGATTAATCAAGAACTGATTCTCAATATTATGGTTGTCCAATCAGGATCTTTTAAGCCTAAATATAAGCCCAACATTACCTACTGAAAGAGAATATTTTAAGTCGCTCTTCTCCCTACAATCCATCTCGGGGATAGTGAACGGGTTGAAAATATATCCGTCCAACACTATGATCACAACACTATTGTCTTGACTCTCCCACTGTCAGGGACCTCCTACCACAGGGAGAGTCACTAACCACTCTTATGTCACCACCTACTTATTCATAATAATTTAGATTTAATTCTTGTGCACTACACACGCTTTGGTGGGTGCTAACTCCCATTTTCCTTAAATTATATCAATATTGTCTCCATATCACAAGTCATAGTGTGTCCTATGAGACACGAGTACCAGTGTAATAGTCTTGTGACTAGGTTTGTCACCCCCTGGGGGGGGGGGGGGCGAGGCAGTGGTACTTGGTTATTTCAGCAGAATTTTAAATACACTCAGTCTCACACATATGTATAGATACAGGCTTTATATCTAAGACAGAATTATGTGAAGCATTTTAGAATCACAGCCTCTGAAATTCATTTTAGGTACAGGTATATGCAAAGAGCAACTGACGTCTAACAGGAAGACCAAGCCCCTGAAGGAAAGGTGGGGTTGAAGAAAGGGGATTTGATGGGGGAGGGGGGATAAGAGGGTAGGCTAGGTGAGGTGGGTGGTCAAGGTGCAAATGGACACAAGAAAAACGAACCTAGACGGTCAGTCCCTCATAATGATCTTCAGGAGTGAGGTGGTTTCCTGCCTGGAGTACTGTCACCCCGTTTGGTCCCCGAGATATGCTAGAGACTCAGTTGGTTGAAAATGTCCAAAGAAGGGCCACCAGACTGGTGCCCGCACTTCGGTACCTCAGCTATCCAGAGAGATTAGAGCGCCTGCAACTGCCTAGCATATACTACAGACGAGCAATGGGGACCTAATTGAGGTGTATAAACGTCTCAAAGGGCACTACTCAATAAAGTGTCTATACCTGGACCTGGTGGATGCCTGCCCCACAAGGGGTCACATCAAGGTGAAAGAAGCCACAAGTCCAGAAAACTGTGAGGGTAAACTTTTTTGGAGTGATAATTGTGAACTCTTTTGAACAACCTGCCAGAGAGTGTTGTGACTGCCCTGAGTGTGAGCTCCTTCAAGACCAGACTTGACCAACACTGGAATAGGTTCATGTACATTCAGGCGCCAGTGTATTCCCAGTACTTGCCAACAGAGATGTGACCAACCGCCCAAGTGGCTAACGAGCCGACCAGTGACGAAGAGACTAAAAGTAAAAATTAAAAGTAAAACTTTAGTGCAGTATTGTACTCAGGTATTTTTGTATAGTAAAAAGTAATTACTATTGACCTCAGAATATCCCCTAATATCAAGTGCACATGGTCTCAAAATGGCCATGATATTGGTCAGATTTAACAAAAATTCTTGAGGGGCTTATAGAACCTCCCCCCAAAAAAAAACAGCTGGGTGGCCTCGCTGTGTTCCTCCTCTGATCTAACTTCATGTTATTGGCCTGACCTGATGCTATGTTAAGGTCACCCATTGTATATTAACTTTTCCCAGTCCATGTAAATTCAGTTGCCTCTGCAGATGTCTTGAATAAATACGAAAGCTACGGTACTCCAGTGCTTCCCATTTCCAATGTGGCTTTGTGGGGTACGGGTTGTTTGGGCTCACACTCAGGGTGGGATGGAGAAAGGAAACTCACAATGTGCTCTCTGTATACATGTTGTATTGGATGTACAATGCAGCTTGGTGCTGGGAAGTGGCAGCGTGGTTACAAGCGTGATGTAGAGAGCTGGTTGGTGAGGGTGCTCGGAGGACCAGCTTGTGGGTCGCCATGCTCGCCGGCGGGAGCGAGGGCCGCCAAGCAGCGGTGGAGGAGGAGGTGTTGGTTGCTGCGGCTGTAGCTAGAAGAAGAGGGTGGTCACCACAAGGTCAGGTCTTAAATAGCAGGGGTAGGCGTGGCTTAGTAGTTGACCTCCGTCATGTAAGGCAGCGCTGGTTGACCCAGACCACGAGGCATACACTGGGGAATTCGCGGGGTCGGCTACCCAGCGACAAACAGCGTTTGTAGGGAAGAAATCCACTACAGTTTTATCAAAAGGTATCTTCACGTTTCCATTGTGGATGTACATGAAAAAATCAATCTATATATATATATATATATATATATATATATCTATCTCTGTATTAGCTACAACTATCGGTGCAGGTGGGGGTGGAGATGCTCCGAAATCTTAGGTGTCACTAGTGACAGCCTCATGTAACACAACTTATCGTCCATGGTCTCATTGTTACCCACAAAGTGTGCACAGAGTTGTTTTACCTACTGATACCTATATCTATATCTAATATATATATATATATATATATATATATATATATATATATATATATATATATATATATATATATATATATATATATATATATATATATATATATATATATATATGTGTGTGTGTGTATATGTATGTGTGTATATGTGTATGTGTGTGTGCGTGTGGTGCTCTGGACGGTCACCAGATGGCAGTCCGCGCCTCACACCGTCCACCATGGAGCAACTGGAGAAGGCGGCGCAGATATTGATGGTTAGTGTACACAAATAGTCTCTCAGTTCAAAAAATTTGACTTCCTTAATCCTAAAGCAACTTAAGGAATGAAACACAATGAACAACTACGACCATTAACCTTCTGGAGGAGTGAAACAGAAGGGGGTGCCTGGGGTGGACCGTCACAGGATGTAAACAAACTGGCAGGGCGCCCTTTGTGTCCACCTGGCCACCTCGTACCTGTTGCCCACGCCCACTTTTACCACCCAAAATTAATAGTTATTTAACAAGAAAGTTAAAATATGCCATTAATAAGCTGGCCACCCCTGGAAGCCGAGTCAATTTCAAGGACTTGTGATTTTGGATGACTTCTGAGGGAAATGAGCTGTCAAACTGCTTAAAAAAAGTTGCATATTTCCTCCTTTGGTTTTCTATCATTATTTACATAAATTTTTAAAATTTAGATCCATATATGTGTTACTAATACATAATTAGTGTGAAATATAATTAACCTTAATCTATTAACTCTTACTAATGGCAATGGATATTTTGCCATGACTCGCTAAGTTCCTACTAATGTAGTTTTACCGGGAGTGCGCTCTGATTGGCTAATCGTCCATTACCGGCGAACAATGTGAGAGCTATATTTGACCGTGACTGGTGGCATTTGGCATTTATTTCATAGTGACTCGATGGTTTTGTACACATATCTAACCATATTTTTGTTGTGCATGGAAACTTATCATTATAAAAGAGGCGACATTTTCCAGAACCTAATAGAAACTGACCTAACCAACCAAAGAAACCTACCTAACCATGCCTAATTTCCTATCTGGGGAGCAGACCCCAGTCATATTAAACAGAAAGTATTTAGTCAATCAAAGTGCACTCATGGTAAAATAGCATTAGTAGGAACTTAGCTGCTCACGCTAAAAATGGAAGATTGATTCTGAATTCCTATTACAGTATTTGCTATAGTCCTGAGCCAAGTGGCTCATACCACCTCTCCCCCTTGGGTGTGTGTGTAATTGACTGGAAGCTAAATCCAGTGTGGCATATCAGAAATCATAGCTGGTGTGCTATATGTACTGGCTGTGTGGATATAGCTGATTTAAACCTGCATCGAGAGAACAACCTTTGCTTCAGATTTAACAATATCAGGAGGTACTTGGGACTGAGAGGGCTGGGCCATTGTAAGATCCAGCTGCCAGTTAGGTGGTAGTCTACTGTCCCAGGTGATGTATGGTGTAATGGTCAGCATGCTCACCTCTTAAGTCAGTGGTGCCAGGTTTGACCCCAGGACAAGTTGAAACTGTGAAAGTTTTTTATGCAATTTTCTTCTGTCTATCCAGCAATAATTGGGAACTTAGATGTTGTTCAATTGGTGGATCATGTTCCAGGGTTACAGCATTTCTTGACATTGTGTCTAACAGTTCATTAATTTAGGTGATGGTTATTGTGTTGACAAACATGAGGGACAACATTAGTCTACTGTTTTGGAGCCCTTAAAGCCCATGTTAATATATAGGAGTCACATCAATGGAAAATAGGATTTCAGGGTAAATTTTGCATAATTTATATATTTTTTATTAAATTCTTAATGAGGATGGAGTTGTTCAATAAAGTAGAAACCCGAGATCCTTTTCATTACATTATAGATTTGGTACAGAAGGATGTTTTATAAAATAAAGTTATTTTATTTATATTTATTCTATACTAACTTTTGGTGTGTCTACAGGCACCACCTGATCTGGTGACTTCAGAGCAGCGTCATGAGGCGGAACAGGTCTTTCTCCAACTACGCAACACAAAAAATCCATTCAACTTATGTCGGCAACTGTTGGGTGAGTAAAGTTTAAGTTCCATATTTTTTAAATACGTAAGTAAAATCCCATAACTCGGCATCCGATAACCGTTATATTTTTTAGTTGTCGGGAAAAGTCGGCAAATTGGCACTAAGTCGGCAGGAGCGGAGTTGTGCGAGAACTCGGCAAGCTGCCCACACTGAGCAGCCCCTCCAGCATCGGTGTATGTGCTCCTCCCATCATGGGTAGACCTTCTGATAGTGATTACGTGGCTGTGAAGTGTTAATGTTCTGTATAATGTGTACAGTACAAATATACAGTAGTGTTAAGTTTGTCGGAGAAGTTTACTGTAATGTACAGTACTTGTGAAGTTTTGTGCACAATACAGTACAGTTTGTCTGCCTCTTACAAGCACAATAAGAAATTGACACTTTCTCTTTGAAAGTACCTAATACAACTCTATTTTATTTCATTATATACAGTACGGTACTTGCACTGTACTTAGGCTCTTTACCAATAAGTTAGCAAATTCTATTAATCGGCTCAGCTCCAGCTGCATACAGTATTTGCCAAGTTATGGGAGTTTTACTGTACAATTACACACTTTACATGTTTTGTTTGTGGAATAATTTTTTTTAGGAATGTTTACACTAAGTACTGGCATTTTTTGTATAATACTGTACAGTTAACCCTCACTTTACGCGGTTAATGTAACCCGGAGGGTACCGCGGAAAGTGAGAAACGCGTAAAGTGAATAACATAACATATGGGATTAATTGAAATGGAGTCCGGGCCGATCCCCAAACTCCACTTTTTGACGACACACAACTATGTTGTAGTAAAAATATTATCTTAACTTTATGATGGTTTGCACACACAATTAATAATTAAGAGAAATATCAATAATATTAGGTTTTTTAACACTTGCATTAGTAGAAAAAATGGCTGGGCACACGGGGATGGGCGGTTGGTTCCGAGGCAGAGGGCAGATTATTGGCCCTCACCTGTGTCACTTGTATCAATTGTATCACTATCCACCACAGAGGCTTGCAGGGCCTCTTTGTCAAACTCCCCAAAGTCCATATAAGTCCATATCCTCACCATAATTATCACTATCACTGACTTGGGCCGGCTGTGGTGGGTGGCGGGTGAAGAACTGGTAATGTTTTGATGACTGGGCGACCTTGTGCGCACCATGTTCGCGCAGCTTACACAACATGGCGGATGGCGGGAGGTTTGGATCCAAAGATGGCACGGCTCGCCAGCCGCTCTCCGCGTAAAGGGGCACACGCACCGCGGAATGTGAGCATCCTGGGTTCCGGCAGGGCACCGCGTAAACGTGGAAACGCGGAATGCGGGACCGCGTAAAGTGAGAGTTAACTGTACTATGTTTTGATAATACATTAGAGTATACACTTTGCACTTCAAAAATCACAAATGCTTGGGATCAACATTTTTTAATACAGTACTGTAATTGAAATTTTTGGTTACTGTAGTATTGTTAACAATAATAAAACCCCTAGTATTTCACTAAATACCAAATAAAATATTGTATGATAATTATAAACTAATACATAATATGTATGCCTGAAATTAAACTAAGTAATGTTATACAGGAGGCCCACGTCTGACCTGCAAACATCCTCCTATACGAACGATATCCCATAAAGTTAAACTTTATTTTATTTATTTATTTATTTTTGATGGGGATTAGCTAACCTAGGCATATTAGACAACACATTATGCTTCCAATATCTTTCCAGGCATTATTACCTACCTGTTTGATAACTACTGTACCTACTACCTTCATCTGATGACTTATTTTTTACTTTAAATTTTTTATTTTGTTTTTCTATGTCTTCTTTTCTCTTAAATTAAGTGATTTTACGTGTACTGTATATAAGGACTTAAGCTGCGATATAGTGGGATTTAGACGTTGTTCTGTAAGTACTGTATGCACACGGGATGTGTTTTGATTTAAGTACATTTTGGACTTGACGCTCTTGGGTTTTCGTATGCAAAATTGTGTATGAAGTAAAAGATTAAAATAAAATAATTTTGTTTGCGTTTGAACGCTAGACACGCAAGACGCACATTTGGCAAAGTCAGCGTGATCTGGAAACAATGTACACTGCACTCCAAGGTCACCACACCGGTACGTATCCCTATTGTGTTTAAGGGACCCAGGCTATAATGTTGACCCACATTTCCCATGCATTTTCTTGCTGCTTGTGCTAATTTCTCACGTATCACAGTGATTAAATTTATTCATAACAGTGTTGTGAGGGTTTTGAACTTAATTCATCTGTGCTTAGGTCCCAAAGTTGCTGAATTAAAAGTTCAACCTGTAGTATTAAACGACAAGACAACTACTGTACTGTACTGTATAAAAATGAATAAGGAAGAAATCTTTATGTGAGGAGTTCAGTTACCTGTACACAGCACCAGGTTCATTGCTTCAGAACTCATTAACCCTTGGGCTCTGCAAGTAATTGTCCTGGCAGATGATCATGCAAATCATTTGCCTCTTCTCATTGGGCATGAAATGGAATTTTGTGCTTCAGTCCCAATTTTCTTTCTTTTAATGTTTCATTTCCATTTTTATATCATAGTACCAAAGATACAACCCAATATTCTTTTATTCTGCTTTAGATGTCAAGTGTTGAATTGATTATTTATTATTCCATGAATTGCAAGCTCTACAGGTCTGCTAATACATTTTAATACTTTCTCTCACCACAGAAACATCACAGGTTGACTACCTGTTGTTTGAGGCAGCGACTCTTTTGCGGGTGGGAGTGATTCGAGAATGGCGTGACTTAAGTCAAGAAGACAGCTTACAGCTCAGACAATACATAGTTCATTATGTTGTTAACAGGCGTACTATCCCACACTACGTCAGGGAGACATTGGTGCAGGTTAGTATATCTTCCAATACAATATACTGTAATATGAAACTATTCCTATTATAGTACAGTATTTACTAGAGACAGTGATGACTATAACAAGATAAACTTATTTCTACAGGTTGTTGGAATAATGGTGAAACGTGGGAGTGTGGAGGATCAGGGTGAAGATCGTGGGAGGTTATTGACAGAGGTTGAACAGCTTGTATCTTCAGGTGACAATACTATGGTAAGTCTTCCTTAATACATTACTAAGCTGATGCATTAAATCTTAAAATTTATGTGAGATCGTTTCCACAAAGGGGCTGTGTGATTGCAAAATAGCTCAATATTGAATTCATTAACCCTTTACAGACATATCCCACAACAGGTGTGATACAGATGGTAGCACCTAACCAGATATATCTCATGATTATGGAGAACAAAGTACAGTACTGTATATCCCACTCACAGTGAATACAATACTGGCCACCAGCATGGTATCGTCTACATTCTAGCATTCAAATATCTAAGCGAGGTTATTACTGTACTGTATAACACAATTTATCAAAAACAATTACCTGTAAAGTATACAGTAATTGGTTGAGGAGGCAGCATGAAAAATGGATGCGGGTTGATTTTCGTGATGTTTCATTTCATCATTATTTCTCCCAAGACTTCGACATAATAGAAGAGTGTTACCACCATGTGGTGGAAAAAATATGGCCGATACTGTGCTTACCTTCTTTCTGAAAACCTCCACTGCTTAGTGTGATATATGCGCCCACAGTCAGCTGTTTCGGTATTATAAATTGTTTGTGTGCGCTGTACACATGTACCACATAACAAGATTTCAGCTTCAAAGTGGTTAAGCATGAAATACTAATGCAATGTTGGTTACTACAGTACTGTAAGGTTAGAAGAGTAACTTGTAACAGTTGTTTGTTATGTACTACTGTATATGATTATAACTTGAGCTTTTTATTTGTTTCAGCGTATGATTGGCTGCAGTATTATTAGTGCTCTCATGCAGGAGTATGCTGTAACAGTCAAGTCTACAGATGTAGGACTTACCTGGGAAACGCACTTCAAAGCCAAAAAGCAATTTGAGGTACAATTTCTTTTGTACATATAGTTTAAAATAATATTTCAAATCCAGTAAACCAGTAAGTAACTTAAAGATTTTCATACTATTTTGAAGAATGCAAACAATTGATTTTTATACAAAGTGTAGTAATGAATGATTTGTTGCATCATACCCACCTCAACCAACAACCTTTGGCATACCTTTGAATTAAAAGAGATTTGAAAGATTAAAGCTTTATCATTAAGTAATAACACCACTTTTGTCTGATATTAATACTTAACTATAAAATCTTTGATTACATATTGATTTTTTGTTCTGTTCCCCCCAGGGCACAGACCTGCGTCGCATTTTCCACTTCATTGTGAACCTCCTGGGTGAAGTAGTGAAGGTAGAAGGCAAAATGAATGAAGAATTGTCTTCTCTACTTCTGAAGCTGCTGGTGATAGCTGAAACAACACTCACGTGGTCTTTTATATCTCTACACTATATCCTTTTATGCACATATTTCAGGTTTTCATTTTAGAGTTTGAAGCCTGAAGCATTATTCTGCAAGGTAATTTGCTCATATGCGGATTTCTGATGCATGGACGTGTACTGTACTGTGATGTGTACAATATTTCAGGCTTTAAAGTTAATGTTTTTGTTTTATTTATTGTAGTTGGTTAATGGACCTAGTCAGCTCTCTATCCATGTTGAAATGATATTTTTCTTAACAATTTTACACTGCCAAAGAGATTAATGAGCGTGTTCGAGCAGGATCAGAATCCCTCCCTCCGACCAGGTCAGCACTGGAGAGAAACTTTTCTGGACCCAGCAATTGTACAGTTATTTTTTAAGGTAAGTGTCTTGAAAATTTTGACATTAATGAAATATTTTTTACAGAATTTTCAGTTATCTGTTTCAAGAAAAGTAAATCAAATAAATATAAAGGCATCCCCCGCGTTACGGAAGGGTTGCGTCCCTGGAAAATTGACCGTAACGCGAAACCTATCTTCCCATTGACTTCAATTATAAAATTGGAGATGCGTTCCTAAGGAATTTTTTTCGGCCCAAAAAAGTAATTCAAGCACTTTTATGAATGAAAATAAACATTTATAAACACATACAATACAGTACATTAAATAATTTATGATTTAACCTTCTTAAAACATCAAGTTTAATATCCAGTGTAATGCCTTTGCGGCTTCTTTTTGCACTACTGCGGTCACTTCCACTTGATGGCCTCTTTCCAGTCATCTTGAAGAAGGGTAATGCACTGTACTGTACTTACTGTATGTTTGTAAAAGTTAAATCCAACTGCTGGGGCGTGAAACATGCGCGCACACTGGATGTAAACAATGGACTGACTCCGTGTGGCGACACCACGCTTGGCTGTAGCAAACACCAAGAAATCCACACCAAACAGATTATAATTTTTAATTTTATATTGTGATTTTTTTTTAAATTGTTAAAATTTACCCCAATTTCCGTAAGGGCGGATTTACGGGCCGTTTCGCAAAATTGTTGTCATAATTTACAAATTCTGTAAGAGCGAAATTCCGCAACCCGGGGTTCCGTAATGCGGGGATGCCTGTATGTGTTTGTTTAAATTCGAGTGAAGGAAATTCACAATAGTAAACATCTTTCTGATATATGAATTTGAGAGGTCAGCCTGTAGTACTGTGCATTGTAGGATTTATTGGGGATCCTAAGAGTGAGATTCAGCTTACCGTAAAATCTCTTTACCTGACACATCTCAATCACTGTAGGTGTCTGATAACCGGGGTGCTACTGTGTGTGTGTGTGCTTGTAGGATTTTTGTTCAATTTTGTTAATTGTGTATCTAATGGGTGATATATGTATATAGTAGAATCTGTTACAGTAATAATAATAATATCCACAGCTGTATTGGCGTGTTCGTGGAAATTGGGAACTTGGTCATCATGCACTAAACTGTTTAGTGCAACTTGCTTCTCTTAATGGGGCTGTGCTTATCAACAGACAAGTGCGGATCAAGTACCTTACCCAGTATTTGGAATGCCTCTTCTCCCTCCTCACAAGGTAAATGCTCCTGTAAGATTAGTGCATGTGTCCCTTGTATACAGAAAGCAAGCTCCCCTTTGGTGTACAGGAGTGTACTTGCCACACAGCACTAAGAGTGACCTTTCCGCCTCTCTTGTTAGCTGGCCTTTAAATCATGGGCTTCTCCAAATTAGTGATAGGTTATAAATGAGGGTTTGATCTTTAAAACCCATTTTATAACAACCTGTGTTTAATGACTTGGATCCCCCTGCATCCCTGAGATGTTGTTATGGGGGAATTCTATAGATTGTCTCATCACCTCTTTCCAATGTGTTGACTGGGAAATCCCACAAAGTTTTACTTTACTGTAGCATTACCTCACTCGCTCTTAAAAAATGTGGGAAAGGTAATAACCAGAGACAGACAGAGAAATAAAGAATAAAAGAAAGAATTGGGGCAATCCACAGTAGTTCATTTAGACATGCTAACAGAGAGGAGAGCCAAACAAGGAGGTGAAGTGAGGGAGTAGGCAGACGTGAAGGAGGCCTCCCAGGCAATGAAGGAAAAGGCCTGGAACCCACATGACAGAGGAAAGGTGACACACAGAATAACAGGGGGAGGAAAGATGAACATGTCCTGGCAGGCTTATAGGGAGAGGGCAATAAAGATTATACAGTATATGAATTTGATTACTCTACTTAGGTATGATAGGTTTCTCTTTACAGTTTGTTGTTATTTGAATATGTTAATTTAATTACTGTATTATGTTTCCAGTCATCATAGTTGTCATTCATGAATGGATTCATCTGCATTCAATGAATCAATACAGTACACTAGAGTATATTATAATTCAATAAAGAACCAGGGTTATTTTAAGGAGAGTGGCCTTTCATTATTTGTTCAATATATTAGGAGTGACATCTTTCAATATTTCAAACCTAATTTAGCTAAATGCCACATACTGAACTTATATTCTCATATTAAAAGTCAAGATTTTGAAATACTGTACTTGACATAAAAATCCAGTTATGTATTCAGGGTTACTACAATATTTGCTCTCCAGCCACAAACACTCATAAATGTCCACAAACTCACCCAGCCACTCTTCAACCAGACTGAATTCAAACCTCAATACAGAGTAACAGTATACCTGCTAAACTTATGGTTTTACCAATCGCAGAGCACTCCATTTGACATCACCTTACCGGGCCCTTTGTCATTGACTGTGGTGCCGAGGCAAGCGTGGCGCATCAGTGATGCCATATTTATGGTGTGAACATGGTTGTGGGAGGAAGCATGGTATTTCTTGGTGGGAGTTAGTTATACATTATCGCCGTTTAAAATTTATACAATACATTCTACCAATTATAGTATTGTTACATCATGATCCACTGACTCTTACAAGATGTGTTTTCAGGATCAAAATCATATTTTTGTAGTTAAGTTTCTCATACAATGAATTCACTTGCAGTTCCTAAGCCATACTCTTATCAGTGTAATTATCATGTACCATTTCATTTCTTGCTATATAAGAAATGACTCCTATGTGTCACAAAGTACAGTAAGACATTGTAGTATTAATGGCTTTTGTTTTTATATCTCAGTACTCAGATTAGTGATTCAGAAGCCTTAGGGATCAGCAATATCTTCAGAAAACTGCTGCTGTTCTTCCCTCCATCAGTTCTAGTAGCACTACCAGAAGAGATGCTTCGTCAACTTGTAGAGAACCTTACTGCCTTGACCTGCAAGTTTGCACAAGGAGCTGCACAAGAAGAAATGGTGAGTTTTAAATGAAGCTTATGATAAAAGTAAATGTTAATTTGAGTACCCTGTACATTGAGGAGTGAGTAATTTAGATATTTAAGACAATTTGTTTTAACTGTATTAGCCTGTCACTTATAGACAGTAATATATAAATGTGGGCTAATAACATACTGTATAGTATTCATTATATGCATTCTATAACTCACATTTAATGGCACAGTATACACATAACATAGCTCATCCGGGCAGTCACCAAGCTGACTCAAGAGACGTGTGTGGCTACTGCCTGCTTACTGTGACATCACATAGGGAGGAAGGAGAGTGTAGCTGGCCACAGTTACAGCTCACTGCCTTAATACATACATTCACTTCCCACACATACACACCCATCCTCTTCATTTTTCTTATTTTATAGTTTTATAGTACTGTATCTATTTTTTATTTCAAAGGCACATTACAGTATTGTAATGATGTGCACGTGGAACACAAAATCCCCAGTTTTCTGACTTCCCTACTGAATTTTTCCCAGTGAGTCAAAGGTCGCTAAACTGATAATTGACTGTCGTTAAATGAGAAAGGGTGTTTATTTTTATTTTTTTAAATTGTGCACTGAGATACCATCCAAAATTGAAAGTTGTGAAAATTGTATTTGGTGACAATGATCTTTCATCTCAGCATATCAATGAGAACTTGTATGTTTTGCCAGTAACTACAGCATTTTATTATAAGGGTTGTTTTATGAATAATGTATAAGCATGATTACTGTATGCACTTCTCTTGCTTGTAGCTGGATCATGAAGACCAACTCTACATGGAAGCGTTTGAACAAATGCTGCAGTCATGGGCTTGTATTTTGCAAGAGGGTAGCAGTTGTAACAGTTCTCAGGTCAAACAGAGTGCCACTCTTATCTTTGACACGTACCTAAAATGTCATCTAGCACCTCCTGAAGGCTCAAGAGTACCAGTAAGTATAAAGTGTATCTGCACTGAAGCACCAAATGCAATGTAAACTAACATGACCCAGTAGAAAACGTTACAAAACTAATTTTTAGATTGATATTATTTATCAATTTGTAGCATTTAAGAACAGTGTGCCATATATTGTGGCATTGTAAGATATTTCAGGGAAGTATTTTTTTTCATATGAATGTATCTCAGCTTTTACAATTGGAGTCTGGGAAAATATGTTCCGACTTAGAAGAAAAAATTACGAAAGGTTTTTCTGTAACATAACCCCTTTTAGCTGTGGTTCCAGGGTAACACTAAACAAATACAGTTAGTATGAAGTATACATTCAGAATACCTTTTGCACTTCCCTTCATTTGAAATTGGGTCATCTCTTTTAGGTTACATGATTAGTCAATGGAGGATTTGTAGTATATTCCTTCTTCCTCCATTGTTTTTGCTGACTTTCATTAATGAGAGCTGTTTGGCAGGGTTGTCTAATTAGAAATGGGAGATTTATCATGAAATTCTATTGTCTTATAGAACTTGTACCCAGGTGTCAAAAGATAATTTTAGTTAAACACCATGTGGTAATATTGAGAGGCTCATTAATATTTTTGCAGTACATTAGAGAACATATCTATTAATTCAATTAACTCTATTCCAGGTTGATGCCGACGAGATCTCAGAGACAATTCAACCTGACAGAATAGCTTTCAAGGAACAGTTGGTGCTGATAGGACTTTGTGGGAGACAAGTAAGTGTGTTTAGAAGTACGACCATCTTGGAGAGATGTGCAGCGACGCATTCTCTCACTAATCATCCCCCCCCTTCCCTTCCCTCTCACTAATCATCCCCCCCCCCCTTCCCTTCCCTCTCACTTCCCCCCAATCCACCAATCAGTTTATTTGTTTGAATTCACAGCTGAGGGTGGTGGTGTGCTTGTATAAGTGTTACACTTAATATTGCTGGTGGTACTGTTGCAAAGTTAGACTGGTCACTGACGCCACATCCCCTTAACCATCTCCCTACCAGGCCAAGGTGTGAGCTATATTTTGGGTTTTTCAACTCCTAATTTTGGGTAGAATTTCTGTCCATAACTTTCTTTATATATTTTTACACACTTATATGCACACACATCTCTACATACAGAATGTAAAAAAAAAAATAATAATTATCATAAAGTCAAAGACATAAAGGAAATAAATATTTCTTTGTGTGCTAGCTTGAGTTTTCAAGCTGAGCAGAGGAGTTCTGTTATGGTCATTTTTCAGCTCCTAATTTCAGTTAGATAAACTTAACTTCACTTTTATTTACTCAGTTACATGCACACATAAAATAAATAAATATCATCAGGTCAAAGCATTAAGGAAATAAAACAAAATTTTGTGCAAGAGTTAGCTTGCTGAGTGGGGGAGTGGAGTGGGAGAGCCCCATTGCTAAGGCAGCGTTCCAACTGGCCTGCATTGCTATGCCGATTTTTGAGGCTAAGCAGCCAGCGTCTTGTGTAAATGGCTGTTGAGTTAAACTTTTATTTATCATTTCTTAAATGGTTTTAGCTGCTAATTTTTGTCTAGATAGTACAGCGAGTCTTGATAATTCGCGGATTAGGTACCAGAAGACATTGTGAATTACTATATCCAGGGTAGTTAAATTTATTTAAATACAGATAATTAGTTTGGCTCCAGAGTCCCAAAAATATCCATGAACTGTTCCAAAACTGCTTTAATAAGCACAAAACATTTTACATAATACAGTAAAAGTCCAAAAATCCAGATGCCAGAAATCCGGACCACCCGAGAATCCGGACTTTTCGAAAACTCAATTTTTTTTTCTTTAGCGGGCTTTTGTGTGTATGTGCGCATGCGTGAGGGCCACAGCTGCACAGCGACAACAAGCGACCACGTGGTCGCCACTTTAAGACGAGCAATCAAACTGTGACAACATATGTAATTTTGAGTCCTTCGCTTTCCATTTACAGAGTACTGTACAAGCCCATAATAATGGCTCCTAAAGTAGATAAACTTCGTTGTGTGAAGAGAAAGAAGAACACGTTGAAATTGAGTGACAAACTTGAAATAATTAAGAAACTAGAACGTGGTGTGAGCAATACTGTTCTAATGGAAACATACGACATTGGAAAGTCTACAATTTATGATATAAAAAAGGCAAAGAATAAAATTCTAGAATTCACAGCTTTTTCTTTAAAACTGCTCGTTTTGATAAATGAAGCATGCTATATTTGCGAATGAATAAACTATCAAAATGTACCTGTTCATCTCTTCTTTATTCCTCCTTAAATTTGAATTTTAAAAGTACTGCCTGAGAATCGGGAAAATCCGAAAATCCGGACTGACCCAATCCCCAAGCAGTCCGAATTTTTGGACTTCTACTATACTGTACATAAAAAAATACAATAACACATAGATATTGTATAAAAGGTAGTTCTATATTACATAAACAGTTCATTTCCTTCTCATAGTTTTGTTTTATGACTGTGATCGCACAATGTCATAAAAGAATCGGGAATTTAGTGCCACATAGTAACTCATCTGAGTTGAAGTTATTTAATTTTTTTATTTATTACTTTACAACAATATTTCATTAACCAGGTATCAAATAAACCTAAATAGTATGGGAATAATGGTGAAATTTCCAAATGTTGTATTAACACTCACTTAACCACCTTATTCATAACAAGTACACATGGGCTAGTTGTGACCTTCTTGCACAGAAGAGCCACGCTGTATTTTTCTTCAGATAGATTTTTTTGCAACCGGTTCATTTTTTTTTATAATGTACTGTATTACACATACAATTGATTGTTATTTCACATGAAACAAGAAAAAAGAAGAAATTATTTTGGTCACTTAGTCAGAGTTTGTACAGTAACTTGTACAGCACAGTATAAATTTTGCTCATTTTATGCTTTTTTTTTTTTTTTTGCTATTTAAATGCTTTTTTTCTTGCTGTTTATGTGCCTACAATTTTAAGTTTTAATGTTACAGTGTGCAGTTAAAGCTATTTTTAGGGTTGAATCCAGTGATCTGAACCGAAGTTTCACAGCCAGTTACAGAGGGTTTAATGTACAATTTAAGCCTGGTACTCCAAATTCCATAAAAAAAAACTTTTCTGTGGTAACCCCCAGGTTCTAAGTATGCCAGATAAATGGTCCCATAACTGTACTGAGAATGGTGTAAATGTTAACATACAGAGTAACAAGGATGTTTAGGCTGAGTAAGCTGACCAAATAATGCAGGGTGAATTGGACCACATTGTATTGTGCATCATTGTACAGGAGGTCCTCACTTATCATTGCATTTCTGTTTCTAAGAAGTGCAACTTCATAAAACAACACTGAACAACTAATTTTTCCTTTTATAAATAATATAAATAGTTAGCAGGCTTAGGTTCCTGGCAAATTTTTTACACCGGATAAAAGATGTGAAAAACTAATAAAGTCAAATAAACAATTAAATACTCACATACGAAACTGGGAAGGTGGAGTCAGTTGAATAACTTTGCTGGAGTCAGGAGAAGGAATATAGTGGACTCTTCCTCTGAGGCTGGACTCTGTTCTGCCTGTTGAGTGATCAGTCTGCTGTTTCTCACTTCACTGTATGGTGAAAGGTCTTGTTTTCTATAGTCAAACGAAACGAAGAATGGGTTACAGGGGAACAATCATAGTCAAGTTATCTTTCTGTCATGATTAGCAACATGCTTATCCTATGGAACTCTTTTTCTTTTTAAAAATCTGTGCAGTTGTACTCTTATCTTTTGTGACCTAGTTGTAACCATTATCAGGCCATGCCCTTATCCCCAAATTAAAAAACAAGATTTCAGGATCAGTCTCTCATTTTTCACACAGGCACCAGAACACAGTGTACCTCTATTGATGCAGCTGATGGAAGACCGCATTAGTCGCATGCGTACACAACTCACTCACATTCTCAGTAACAACCTCACCATTGCTGAAAATTCTCAGTTGGACCAACTTTATGAAGACATCCATTGGCTTCTTCTCATATCAGGTTAGTGGTAATAATTAAGTTTCTTTGGTGTTTTTGGTTTTGTTTTAGGTTTTTGCTCGAGTATATATGGGCTGTAGGGTATTTTTTTATTATGATGAATTGATGAATGCCTCTCCCATAATTTTAATTTTCAGTTATATTCACACCTTCAGGTACTAAAAAAAATGAAAAGTTGCTTGCTTTTTGGCAGTTGAATTTAAGTACTTGCCACCTTCACAAGGAAATTAGAAACTTGATAGGTATGAACACCTAAACTAGATATAAAATATGAATTAGTAGAAAGTACAGACTGGGGAAAAGTTACAGTCCTAGTGGGATATAAAGTGGGACTGGAGAAGTGTAGTAGGGGTAAAGAAAGATCTGTTTGTGGGCAGCAAAAGCCACAATGTTTATCATTTACAGGTCATTTTGATGAGTACAGTAATTTCATAAATTTAAGGCTTCACACTGTCAGATATCTTTAAGGTTTCAGTTCATCTAATACAATTATGATGAACTAGTGGAAACCTGTCAACTACAAATTGTTTTGGCTGTTTATGTGCAATGAAATTTGAAGTTTTAGAGTTTGAATTAATGCTTTTATTCCAAGTTGATAATTTGGATAAAGTTTGCTCATATATCCTACACCTCCTCTTTAATTAGCATCACTCTCCTCTTACTTCACAGTTCCTTCATGGTTTTTTTTTTCCCCTGTGTGGCCATCCATGTACCTCAGCTTCATTTTCAAGGATTTTTTTAAATTGATATATGTTGTTACAGGTCATGTTACAACAATGGATAATGAGGGAGAAACAGCTCTCATTCCTGCAGAAATGGTCACTTACAGTATTAATGCAGCTGCCACTGTCAACTTAGAGGCTACACTCAGACTTTTAGCTGCTCCTGCACAGATGCCCACAGAAGTGCCAAACAGTGCTGCAGCGGACCCTCTCATCAGGTCTCTCTTTCATCCTTGTCTTTACTTTATGACTAAGCATGAATTCCATTGCCTTAACTGTCTGGCTGCTGGAGGTTTCCCTAAGCTGAATAAAATCGTTTGGCAATAGCCAGAATAAAATAACAAAGTGTAGGAATCTCAGAGAAATGGTTAAATATTATGTAACCAATTGTTAGTATCTTATATATTCAATGAAGTTTTGTTTCAGTAGGTTTGATTTCATATTTAAAATTAATATTAGGTACAGTCAACAGCAGAAGTCCAACCCAAACCAACCTGCATGATATGAGGCAGGTGATCTGGTAACACTGTATGGTGAAGACTTGACAGATGTGCTTTAAATGGCTAGTTACATGAGATTTATGATCGGAGTTTGTCTGAGAATACACTTCTTGTTTATAAATCAGTAAGTATCAATGTGTAAAATTTAGGAAAATAATATTTTTAAGAAATATCTGATTTTGCTGGAGGAGGATTCATAACGGGAACCAGACGTGTATGATTATTTGTACTGCTGGTGCCAACGAGTATTTCTCGATATCATTATTTTCCCACAGGACTAAGTTGTACTTCTCCCTAAATTTAAAGAGCCAAATCATCTGTGCTCTCGTCCATTCTATTTCCTCGGATGATGGTCTCAGTTTTGCCATCATTCAGCTTCAGTTTTCTCCTAGACATCCAGATTTTCATTTCAGACATCTATGATTTCATTATCTCCTCAATATCTTCTTGCCACGGGGTAGAATTTACAGTTAACAAATTAGATAAATAAATGAATACAGAACTCTTTAAGATACTCAAACACTAAGATTAGGTAGCAAAGTTAACCATAAGTTCCACTTGTGGACAAACAAGTTGAGTTCTCGAGAAAAATGGTAAATATTAGATGTAATAATGTCACTGGGCTCAGAAATCACTTTTGGGCAATAGTTAAACTGGTATAGTAATTTTCTTATATCTTTACTTAATATTAACAAAAACACACACCAAAAATAAAAGATATACACAAGATAAAGAAATCACTGAACAGATGAGAAAATGAACAAGAACACTGCGATGGCCATCAATCGGAGTAACGCATGTAACACTTAGTGTCATGTCCTAGTATAAATATTCAATGGGAGAGTACACAGGAAGGACACACAATTGTTACACTAAGGCTGGCACGACTGTAGACCTAAGAGAAATACATGTTAGTGAGGAAAGTAGACGTAGAGAGCTGGAAGTGTCGACAGCAAGGTGTGTCAAGAAGGGTGTGGTACTGTGGCAGCCCATTTAATCACCTCGGTAATGATGTCATGTTTCTATTCTAAAAATGTGATTGGTTATCTTGATGGCGTCGGCTGGTGTTGTGGAAAATTTTTGAGAGAAGGGAGACGGTGGGGGAAGTTTACTGACACCTCTCTGTTGTGCTGGAACTTCTAGAGATTTCCACAAGGGTAGCCAGTGAGGGAGGGATGTGTTACGCTCGACATTAATATTTTTACATAAAGCTGGTAATCAACATCATGCAGGTTAGCTTGAGACGAACTTCTGCTGCTGTTGACTGTATATTTGTACTCTTAATTTATGATGATAATATGCAAAAAAATTTAAGTCTCCAGGAAAAGGAAATGGAATGTTGATGCAAGCAACCACACAATTGTTATTGGGGGTACAGTACAGTATAGGTAAAAGACATTTCATTGGCATTATGTATCTGCTCAGGAGAAAAGTTTTTATCAGAAACAAGTTTGGCAAAGTCGTCAACATGCTGGGCTGCTGCTTCATGGTCTGCTGACTGCTTTTCACCACTTACTGCTTTGAAAGATATACCATGATGCTGTTTGAATCTATGTATTCACTATCATGAATAAGATTTAAGTTCACCATGAAATATTTTAGCTTGTTCCATCCTCATATCGCCAGTAACAGTTACACCAGCTCTGCAACGTTGATGAAACCATAGCTTCATCGTGTTCTGCATGCTTACGCACTCTTAGGCAACATCAGACTGAGGTCAGACCTCACGGTCATTGATGAAACATTTACAGTTATTGTTTGATCTCTACAAAACTTTCACAGATACAAGCTATCAACTTTATTCAGTAACCATTCGCTGCAGGCATATCAAACCTGCTAGGTGGCTCACCTTTTTAAAGCTTTAAATGTGAAATAAAGTTAATACACTGTAGTAAGAAATGAGAATATTTAAATGAAATACTTTTGAAGAGAAGGAATGGTTAATAAACTAAAGATGGAGCCAAAGATGATATATGGAAAGGATTAATACAAGAAGGAGGAGGAGTGGAGAAATTTGTGAGTGAGGTGAAGGAAAGAATAGAAAGTGGGGCAAAATGTAAGGATTGAGTGACAGGGCTTGTGTGATAGAGTAGAGGTTAAAATGTTGGATGTATATATTTGGTTATTATTCATGGAAAATATAAAGTAATGCTGATTCTTGTGTATTTCAGAATGATGAGCACAGTGATGAGACTTTGTGAAACAGAATCTCAGGCCCTGAAAGCCAATTTAGGCCATCTACTAAGCCCAGAGGTGTCATCATCACTTATGTGGTTTCTCAGACGATTCTGCTTGTCATATCTTCTTCCAAATGAATCTTTCTACACTGAGGTAATGCATTATATATTGTTTTAGAAAATTTATTATGTAGCTGTTAAATATGCTTATTTGTAAACATGGAGCCCACACACTCCTGGATCCTTGAAACATGCACCTTACTTTCCTGCCACATTTTTAGTAACATTCTTCACCTGCTATCACCTTTACATCCTTAACAGGCTTCTGCTGAGTGATTTTTTTTTTGTTTTTAAAGGAAAAAATTGCATCTTATACTCTACCAGGAAATGCTGTAACTGGTGAATTGTTTAAGAAAATTCTTACTTTACTAATTGTGTGATTGTGAATAAAGTCACACAGTATACTGTAGATAACCCGGCATAAGCCGGGTTCACTCAAGCGCTTTTATAATCAATTAATTTTAAGCAAGAATTTTGGAGCAAGAAAACATGATAAATTTCGTCAAAATGTGATCACACTGGTGATTCTTGCTCCAGTCTACAGCATGAAAAAATAATTGAAAGCCACCATGCGAGTAGATGGGAGATTGAATATAACAACAATAAGGCAAGATGAATACAGGTGACAGCAGCTATCCTTACTATTCGTTTTATTTTTAAAAAGAAACGAGAAATCAAAGAAAAAACTATTGTCGTTGGCAAGGAGGAGGACTGAAAGTGTTTATTATTGACTACTTGGACTGTCGTACCTTCAGTAGGGAGGGATGTATGTGTGCGTGCTTCTGTTTTGTAAACAAACACGTTAAATCAGCACCCAAACAACATATGAACTCAATATTGTATGTGTATTTAAAAAACTGTTAATGCATTTTATACATAATAATGTTATTAACATATGTTATATACAGTATATACAAATACTGTATTTTGACCCGGAAATCTTGCTCGAAATCATCAAGAATTGACGATCACGATCGCCCAGTAAAATTGCTCCAAAAACTTGCTAGAATTTTAGGAAAATTACTTGACTTAACTTTCAGTCCAGAAATTGTCCATAAATGCGCTCATGTGACCACGACTTAAGACTGGGATATAGCATTTTTTTGGGGGTGTAACTCACGAAAGTAAAACATTTGAGGATGACAGTAGTAAGGGGAAGTGTTATGTTGGTGATTTTTTCTATAAGATTGTGCAGTTATTTATTTCATTACAATGTTGTCTTTTGTTTTATGTTCTAGCTGAGTATAGCCCTAACGTCGGCATTTGGACGTGATTCTGAGGGAGCTGCATGGACGTTGAATTACTTACTATCAGTTGTTGAACAGACAATGAGATTACGTAGTTCAGAACCAGGACTAGTTGAGGATACGGTCAATCTATTGGTCACAATGGTTGATAGTAAGGAGAGGTGAGTTTAAGAACTGTATTGATAAAATATTCTTATCGTATAATGTTTGTGTTCCATTTCAATTTAGATTTCAGTTTAGACATTAACATCTCCAGTGCATGGTACAGTATTTGTGTTTTGCCCAAATGCTGTACACTTACCAAATTCCTTGGAACTGAGCAAAGATTGAATTACAGATATTTTTGGGGTACAGTAGAACCTCTATACACCTGACTTCAGTTCACTGGAATTCATTTTTTTCGGAACCCCTCCCCCCCCCCCTCTGTCTGTTCTCCAAAAATATTTAAAATGTCTGGAAAATCCTCATCATTTCAGACAGTTTGTTTGTTCATACATGCAGTTGAATGTTTGTGTGTGGGTGTTGCGTGCAGCACTCCCCAGTCTGAATCCTGCCTTCATACATGTCATATCAGTCAGTGCTGTAAAAATCATCAGGTGCACCATGCTAAATACTGGTAGACACCAAAATGTCAGAAATTGCCCAATCTCTGTTTACTTGGGGTATCTAAGCCCAACTGGCCCACCTGGAAAATGTCCAAACTCCCACTAAGCCAGACCATTACTGTTGATATATGTGTGTGTGTGTGTGATAAAATATTTATATATTATATAAATATTTATGTTATAAAAATCCCAAACAAATGTAAAAATTTTGCTGATGCTCTGTGGATGTGACATCCATCATTAGAACTCCAGAACATACATTGCCAAAGAGAAGAATTTGCCAACTTTCACCTTCTCAAACTTCAGGTACATTAGCCACAGTGTTCTATAAAAAAAAATCTTGGGTGAAGATTTTTATTTTATTTTTTCTCCTGGACCAGGACCAACAAGCCTTCCATGTATAGTTGAAGTATTTGAGTTGTAATGATTTGGAGAGCTGATCAGCTAAGTACAAAGCATGGCTCAGTGGTTTCAGATACTGTACAGTAAATCTATAACTCATAATTTTGTAAAAATGCTGTTTGATGACTTAACAATTGAACTGGGATTTGCTATGTACAGGTAATCACTTGCATAAAAGGCCTCTGGATTTCAAATTCTAAAGTGGCAGTGGACAACCCCCACACATTCCACAAAAGTAGATTTTCATTATTCATTTATTTCTATTTAGCAATTTTTCTGCTTAGTTTTCAACATAATAAATTTTTTGGGACTGATCTTGTATACCCTTCATCTTGGTGTAACAAAAATAAACTGTTAGTTATAGATAGCTAGATGGTTAAGTTAGAGACCTGAGAGTTGAGGGTTAAGAAAATAACATGACTAAGGTTTTGTTGTCATGTAATTTAGATGATGATCTGTTTGGAGAATGCAAAGGTATGTGTATAGTTCTGAGGATTTGTTTTATGAGGTATGTTATTATTTGTTTTGGAATGAATTTTAGATACATAGTAGATAGAAATCATAAAATTTTATTCATTTTTCTAGGGGGCAGCATCTTGTGAAAACTGAGGGTCTCATGGAATTGGTAAAACTTCAACAGAGTGGAACCCTGAGTGCACTCTCTTCAGTTGCCCAAAGAGGACTCATGCAGGTAAATTCTAATAATAATTTGAAGGAAATACAAACTTGCTGATTCTCTTTACATATTCACATCTTAATCTCTTTTTCTGATTGGACCTTAAGAAAGGGGGCTTGTATGCATTCAAGTATTAATATACTGTATAAGATTAATATTTTGATGTTAATGTTCAGTATAAGTAAATGCATTCATTATTTATTGGGTCATGAAAGTCTTAGGACAAAATATTTAGAGACTTCAGGCCATCCATATCAACCCTAGATTAGGTGAATGCTTCGGATTCACGAGTCGATACTCTCGGGGTTCACACCTCATGGAGAGTGTGGATTGACAACACTGATTGTAACACTTGGAAAAGTCCCTATACATTACTGCTCTTCAAATATGAAAGCTCTTTCATATTATTGGTCATCAGCTCATATTGTTTTTTTTCTCTTTTGTAATCTTACAGGGTTTAGTTATGTGTGCAGCTGCCCTTGGGGACACAGATGCTCGCACCCAGTTCTGGACACATGTACTGGACCCACCTGTGGCATCATTCAAGCAGTTAATGTCATCAGAAACATTTACAAAACAATATCAGCAAGAAGATATGAAGAAACAAGTTCTCTTTCACATTGACAACTTTATAGGTAATGACAGATAACATTTCCTCTGATGTGCTTATCGGTAACTAGTCTTTATCAGCGATGTGTTTCTTCTCTTAGACGATTGAGGCACATTTGTTTCTTGTACTTTTGGTTGCAGTTGAAAGTTTTCAAAATTTTAAAGAGAATTTACATGGTGAGCCATCCTACAGCCTTGTACAGTATTTAGAGAACTTATGAAAAGGGTGGGAGGAAAAATAGAGAATACCATCTTTGTTGTGCTTTTGCTCATCCAGTACTTGCATTTTGTGACTTTTCTTCATACAGTTTTTCAACTCTAAACCAAGTCGTGCTTACCTCATCCTTTATTAATTATTTTATATTTTTATTGCAGGTGCTGTTCAAGGGTGCCTAATGCCTACTGCTCAGTGTCTATTCTCACGGTTAGTTGGCATTCTTGGAGACAGTGTTCGGCTCCTTGATCTATATCACAATTATCCAAATGTGGTGGAAACAGTTTTAGAACTTTTTGTTGAGTGTGGTCGACGGATGCTCTGTTACCTTACACCGGTAAGTAGAGTTTGCTGGGATATTTTCAGTTCATTACACTTTTTAGATCCAGTACATTACAGGTCTACCCCGATACTGATGCAAATGCGGACTGAAAAGTTGTTAGTTATTGAATCCACGGTTATCAAAGCAATTACATGTAATCCCATAAGAATATAACAAATTCAAGAAGTTAGAGACCGGCCTTGATATATCTCTGTTGTGCATGCCGTCAAGCAAGAAAATAAAGCAGCCATATAAAGCAAGCATATTAAGCATTAAATAAGGAGTGTAAAGCATAAATTGAGACTTATTTACCTGTATTGAGAATGGTAGAAATGGTCTAGGGTGGCAAGCTCAAGTCTCTACCAATCTTTGCTGGTCCATCACCATTTTTATTACACCTTATCACAGGTGCAGCTAAGAGGAACTATCACTGGGGCATTTAGGCATGATTGTGTAACACACGAAGTTGGAAATAATGGAAAACACAAAGTTGGAGACATGTGGTATGGGTTAACAAGTGCAGAGAGGCAAGAATGAGTGTAACAGAGATAGCACAGCAGTGTTACAGCTGTCGGCAAAAGATATAGAAAAAAAAAGCCTTTCAACTGAAGAAATCTTCTCATAACGAAATAAAATAAAATTATTTTTATTTATTTTTTTATTTTTTAGTTCTCATCACTTCAATATTTCTTTAAACTGTGATAATCACGGTAGTATTTGCCAGTCCACAATGCTACTTGGCATTCATGGCACCAGGTTGAAACTAACTTCTGCCTGACTGGCCGCCATGTTGTATGAGCAAATTGAGCACACACCTCACACCTACGTTGACCGATCCTCCTCTTTTCCGTAGGTGGTAGAGGAGTTGGGTAGTAATGTGTGATCTATGCTTACCTTGACTGCAAGTAGTTCTTGCCCATTGACCTGACTGTTGTGACTGCAGTGTGCTATATCTTTCTAATAACTGTTCAACAACACCTCGGCATAACACACGGAATGATACTTTCTTGCCCGTGTTTACTCTAAACATGCATTAGCTATTGTAAAGACTCCTGTGAAACAGGTGCAGAAACAATTTCTTGAACCAAATCAGGCATTTTCTGAAAGTCTGTGGAACCAATCATGACTGTCCTGGTCACCACTAACATCTTCAACCCTATCCAACATAATCAATTTCTTCAGTAGAAAGGCTTTTCTTTCTTCTATATCTTCTGCCGACAGTTCTAACACTGGAGGAGCAGAAGAAGTCGTATCTTTTATCCATAATGAGGCATACTGTACAGTGATTGGCTTTGCTAGTTTGCTCTAGGGGTTGCAATGGAGAATCCTGGTGGGGTAAGTTTGAAAACTTTTACTCGGGACATTAGTAAAATGCCTTGTACGGGTAGTCGTATGATTATGCCCAGCAGTTGTCCTAGGATCATCATATGACTTCGTCTGATGTTTGAGGTTTAAGCAAGGGATACCTGAAATATTTTGAAGACCTGGAACTCAAATCCATTTTCACCATAAGTGCAGTTGATTTACCTTTCACTATACAATATTTAAAATCCACAGGTTTTATAGGAGCATTACCATATATTCAGTACTCGTATAATTTATAAAGTTCTTATGCTGTACATGGTAATTATTTTGTAGAGTGCAAGTAAGCAGCTGTATGAAGCATCAGTACATTTGGTGGGGACGTATGCCAAGCACAATATAGGAAGGCGAACCATTGAGTCACGGGGAGAAGAGGATCAGTGGAGAGATCTGCAACTCCTCATGGAACTTCTTACATCTCTTCTGTCAAAGGTAACAATTATGATCCTTGATGGTGACTGGATAAGAGGGGGGTGGGCATGGTCTCAAGGGGTTTGTGCTGGTGATGGGTGAAGTTAGGTTTTATGAAGCAGCAGCTCTAAACTAGATAGAAATCTTAGAGACATGTTGAGAAAGGAGAACACCATAGTGGGACTCATATGTTACAGCAGTTAGAGAGAGTGAGCATCAGCAAGTAACTGGTGAGTCTGTATTGCTTTGACTACATCATGGGGGAATTGATTTATGAAGAGTGAAGAGAGGCTTATAGTGCCAGCCATATTTTTATTCACAACTTACTTAGTTGAAACATGTAGCTTGTGAAACTTGATCATATTGAAACCTAAACTACTTGTAGTAAGTTTTCCTTGTTTTTGGAGCACATCTTTACCTTATGTTACTTTCTTTGCTAATCATGGTCACCTATCTATTACTCCTGACCTCAGGAGCTATATTATAAACCTGTATAGGTATTGTGTGTAAATTTTACAAAGATTATAATTTACTGAATTTTCTTTTATTTCAGGATTTTATAGACCTTGCACCAACTGGTCATGGTGAGGATCAAGAAGTTGTGGCAGCTGCAGATGTGTGCTTATTTGGCCTCAATATAATTATGCCTCTTATGTCCAGAGAACTCTTGCGGCTGCCAACTCTGTGTTCACATTATTTTAAGATGGTCACCTTTATTGCTGAGATATATCCTAGTAAAGTGTGCCAACTACCAGAGGATCTCATGAAGGTATGTTTCAAGACTAGGCAGAAGAAAACATTTATGAAAAAATATTATCTACATGTTATGTAATTCTGTTTAAGTTATAGGAATGGTGAAGGTAACTAATTTCTTGTTAGGGATTTACTTGTGTCTGACATTGGGTAATCCTAACTCAAACCTAAATAAATCTCACTTCAAATTAGACATCAACGATGTTATGTAGTGGGCACAAAACCTTGGAGTTCACGAGTGGTCCTCTCATATCCTGAACCCACTTAGTGACACTCTGGATGTTTGGTGTTGTTTCCCTTTACACACTTCTGTTGCTTCCAGTGCTGCTAGCAATAGACTGGCATCTCTGTTGATTGAATATTGATTTCAGTCTGCTGTTATTTTTGTATATTTCATACATATACAAATACATGCACACAATCATCTACATTAATGCAATGCATACATAGATTTATACACATTTCAAAATGTTCAATGACTTTCATTTTCGTCTCTGCCAAAATATTTTTTTCTTTGTCTCATGTTATCAGCATCTCCTCTGTTACTCTTTGGTTACTCACTATGATATGTGTGTTACCCAGAGGACAATCAAAGGCAGACTGAAACAGTGAACCTTTGGAGGTGGACTGGTGCAATTAAGCCTTAACATGTTGCAGCTCATGTTAAACAGGGAATTGATTCTTCATGCTAATGCAAATTTTGTGTTGTGCAAATTCATGTTAAGTGGGGACTACTATATCAGTATTTTCAAAGAGTTGTTAACTTTATTATATATGTTTATTTTATTATTGTATGTTCTTAATATTTTTTTTTTTTTTTTTTTTACAGAATTTGCTGGCATCTATAGAATTAGGTTTAACAAGTTTTGGAGCAGATGTTGGAACACTCTCTTTTGATTTCTTGGTGGTGCTTGGCTCGTACATCCACAAGAATTGTGGTCCTGAACTGCCAGTAAGACAAGGTCTTAGACCATTTCTGAAGGTAAGGCAAAATATCACACTCACCACAGCTCAGATAATTTGCTAGACTTAGTTGCTTAGACATTGAATTTTAATAAAAAACATGTTCAGTTTAAAATAATAGTTGTAGAAGAAAGGTTAGACAGAAAAATGAATTGTCAGAGATATACAGTACATTGTCTTCAGAAGACATCTTTACTATTTATGGACAGGGGAGCAGACTTCGTTAAGAATGTGGAACTCTGTTAATCCTCTCTTCTTGCATTCATTCAACAAAAAGAAGAATTTGAAAAATAAAGATTGGGGATTTTTAAATGTTATGGATGTAATCAGAGTGATAAGGAAGAGAGCCTGAAATTATAATGAGTGAGAGGAAAATGGATGTCTTGGCTCTGTTAGACACAGAGTTGAAGAACAAAGTATTGGTGAAGGAAATAAAGTTAGGAGTTACTGAAAGGTGAAGTGTGGTGGTGGTGTTGACCAATGAAATGCACTTATTTTTTGGGGGGGGGAGGGGGGGGAGCAGCCCACCCAAGAAATGTAGAATGCCTGATATTGAGAGACTAAGAAACGTCATGAGTGATGGCTGACAATGTGAAATACAATAAAACCCTGATTTACACAGTGGTTATAGTCCATTCACTCATAGCTTGCAACTGAGGCCTAAGGTGAGTTTGTAGCAAGGCAGCTGATTGGCTAGCAGATGGACACTTGAAGAGTCACTACAGTTCTTTGGTATATAATCTTCATTATTGTAACTTGTTGTAGTTTATTAAAGTATATTTATTCTTTCATTCAAGATACCCTGTACTATATGCCTTCATACTTACATTCAGTTGGGACTGTTCCAAAAAATTTTGTGTCTAGTAATTTTGGATAAAAGATCTTTGACCTGTAATATGTTTACCATTATTATTATTAGCGCTATTACTAATATGAAACCTACTTACATTGCTTATATGTTAGAACTGAAGTTAGCAGGAATGCACCCTGAGTGCTAAGCAGAGTATGAGTGTATGTACAGTATATATTGTATGTGTGTGACTTTTGACTTTCCACAGCTTGTTCTAGACCTGATATTGTCGCAGCAAATAAACTCAGACCTTCTACAGGCAGCATCTGCAGCACTGTACACACTCATCTGTTGTTTCCAGGTTAGTAGACATTTAAAAAAAAAAATAATAATTAATTGATTCTCCTTCTAAGTACTACGGGTAGTTTCTTATTGTCAGAATAGAATTATTGATTGTGTTTTTCAAAGCATATGTTGCTCATAAAATCAAATTACAAGACTTTTAGAAAATAATATAATTTACCGTACATGAACATAATAGTGGTGTTTGCAGGTGATAGTGGTGGCTGCAGGTGGTGGTTCCAGGTGATGGTGTTGCCCACTTTTTGGCATTTTGGTTTTCACTTTTCTTTTCAAGTGTATTAAGAACAGTTGCTGTTGGAGATGACACGTTATTGTAAATCTCTTTGCCGTTTATTTTTTTTTTATGAAATTTTGTGTAAGAATAAAATTTTAGAATCAATGATGATCACTTTTTTCCACAGGCTGAATACCAAGAGCTGGTCCAATCTTTACTTCACAGTCAGACTGACCAAACCACTGGGCAACGGTTAGCAGAGTCCTTTACACAGCTCACTACTAATGTTGAGCTTACTGCTGACCGCATGAACCGTGTTAAGTTCAGGGACAACTTCGAAAGATTCATTGCAAATGTTAGGGGATTTCTACTTGTTAAGTAGAATGCACAGTAAATTCAGTTTAAGTGTAAATATTTTCATTAAATTATGGAAGCCCATGACTTAGGTAAGTTGATTTCATGTTAAATTTGATTTAATAATGAAAGAAAATCTTTCCTTTAAAATTCTGAATTTTCTAGTGCTGTGATGTACCACAAGTAAACAGTGTAATAATGAGCTTCAAAAATAATGTGTATATAGCATAGCAAGTATTCACATGTGGTACTATTATTTATAAGGTCACATATAGCTTTGTGAGGCTTAGATACCTTCTGAATAGTCCAACTTTTTGTCCCATGCAGAAGCGTGCAGGGTCTTATATAATTTAACGTCTGTCCCTATAAAAGATTGTAGCTAAATACTTCCTGTGAGTAAATTGTTGTTGAAAAAACTAAGGTAAACCAAGAGGAAATTGAAATTTGAGGGCTCGTGGTGAGTGTTTCTTTGTTGCAACAAGACTTCTACCACTGAATGTTTAATGGATGGATTAGATTGGAGTGTACACTGTATTCAATTTTTTTTCACTTGGGACCTGCCTAAATTTTGTTTGGGCTCTGCTTCTACTCCAACCCTGCCAGACTCGATTTAAAGCCACAGGTAACATTGTAATATCTGTGCTGTACACGAAGTAAGATAGCAGCACCATTTTTTGCCTTAAAGTGTCGGTGATTCTTATTTTTTATTTATTTTTTTCTGTGGACATTATGATGTGTATCACAACCTAGCTAGGTATTGACACAATGTTCAATAGAGGATTCTTTATTCAAATATTATAAGACGTGAATGGTTACCTATGATCAAGGAATTATTTGGTCCCTTAAAATTTTATTAGGCACACATTTATCTTTTACACATTATTTCACTATTAATTGCACTCTCCTGCCACTCAGGGTCACCCATAAATTTGATGAATGGCCTGAGTGTAAAATAAATAACAAGAAGAATACTGTACAGTAATGAAACTGAGCAAATAAGCTGTATGCATTAAACCCAATTTTGACACCTTAACCCTGAAAATGCCTTATGTGAATTTCAGCAAGTGATTATGTGTTGAATCCAAAGCAAAGCGTTAGGCAAACGAATTTTTATATTTTATAAATTTTATATCTTATTGCTTTGTTTTTAAATTACAAAAACTCAAAATATTAATTGTCTTACAGTACAGCTAAAGATGCTAATAATATTATGGTATATACAGGTATAGATGGTGATATAAGCATCATGCAAGTGATAACTGCTTTTCTTGTTTGATACCTAGACCAACAAACAGTAATTTTCTTCACATCTTAATAAATTAAGTACTACTGTGTCACTTGAATGTGTCAAGATACTCAGTTTTTTTATGCACTACCGACTTTTTATACATGAATACTGTAATACAGGTGGCCCTTACTTTATGTGACACCCCCCTCCCCTGCTTCATAGAGGGGCGAGTATATATGCACCAGAAGGTTGCTTTAATAACATTGCATTAGTAACGGTAATGGAAACTCCATGCTCTACAATGTGAGATGAGGGTAGTATAAATTCACACACAACACTGGACAATGGGAGAGTGAGTGAAGGAACTCAGTTGCATAACTTTGAATATTCACACAAAGCAAAATCACATTAAATGATGCCACATAAATTCAGGGCCACCTGTACAGAGAGATACAGTATTTTCATATTTACATAATAAAAATGGAATACCTTTACAGTATTAAATAAGAGTTTATGCTTTCATTGCCTAAAGGCTGGTTGTTTGAAATATTGATAATTTGTGCTAATGATAGCATTAGAACATAAAGATGCCCAAGCTCAAGTACTCTTAGGCATACAATGTACAGATGGGCATAATATGAACCGAGTGGGGTTTTTTGTGGGGGGGGGAACCTAACCCATTCTTATATCGAGGGATACCTGTAATGCACTTTGGTTCGATCTCTCATGTTAGCCCATAACAAATGGCTTACTCTGATAATGTTTTTTCATGCATCAGAATCACTTGGCATAAAACAAAATAAATTAAAATGTAAAATGCATGTAATTTTGTATGAGTTGCAACACTCCTGTACATCACAGTGACCAATTTTATTCTTATTTTTCTGAAAGTACCTAATTCATATCCTATTTTCATGTCTGTTGACCAGTAACAGGACTTACTTTTATAAATTGTGAAGAAGAATTGCATATGCATTAAGCATGGTCACATTTTGTGGGAATGGACTATTGCACAATTTAGTTTTGTGCTGTAAGACAAAAAATTACCTTAGTAAAGTATCTTGAGAGTTCAGCAATTTTTAGTTCCTCAGTCCATTCTACCTGTTTTCCCAAATATACACTTTTGTATTTTATGAATGTGCTGGAATGAAAACCCGTTATGGGGAACTATATAATTCGGTAGTCCTCAGGATGTTCCTCCTTTATCAGGGCACAATGATTCATATCTTATCCCTTGGTTACCCATTTTAGTTCATGTTTCAGGAGAAGATAGAGTAAATCATATTACTTATACAAAATATTTTAGCTTGTATAGAATCTAATTATAATTTCAGTTCCAATTAATATTTAGTGTAACCAAACAGCAGTGCTTCAATAATCTACAGAAGATTCCTGTGTAGATTACTCTCTAATGCAAATTAAGCTTGTGTCTTATAAAACCATTTCTAAAAGAATGTTGGCATCCAACTAGGGGAAAAGAAATTAATGAATACAAGAACTTTGCATATTAGGGGGACCCGTTCTCAAGTATACCATTTAAGATAAGTTTTGCCGGGTTTGTATGCCAACCTTTTGATTTTATGTTCTTAATGGTAGCATTTGAGGAAGACAAATAGTTGCCTACTTTTTATAGAAAATGGACATTACAATCAGACAGTGAAAATATTGTATTTGCCAGTGTATTAGTTTGCTTCCAAAGCTAAACAAAAATCCCCCAAACTAGGAGCTGTCTAATCTATCAAGTAAATAATATGAACCTTAAATTCCATGTAAATTTGAGATGAAAGATATCAAAGTTAATGAAGATGAATTATCGCTGGTGTAAGTTGTCACTATTTTGAATCCTCTTTTTCAATGTCTATAATCTATTTATACCGTAGTTTATATGTAGTTTGAACCAATGCTAAAGCCTTGAACTTGAAGCCAACTATATATTTCATTCTTTTTGCTTGGGGTGCTGTGAGAAGATTTTGAGAGTCAATCTGGGACTAGGAGAATCATGATAAATCTGGAGCATGGCCATTTAAAGTGTCTGGAAGGAGCCTTTTAAAGGGGATAGAAGACAGTAACTTTAAATCACAGTTGCCTCCAATTAGTTATAAGGAAGGAAGAGTTCCTTAGGCCTAACCCTGAGTTAGGTAAAGTTACTGGTAGGTGACCTAACCCAGGTCAATTCAGATCAGCTTGCATCATTGTGCTGCATCCCATGTTAACATATTAAAGTTTTTTTTATTAACAGCATATAAAATAACATTGCTCAGACAATGATCCTTGAGTCAATTAATGGTTAGTGGAAGTATATCCCTAAACATGAGTTTTGAGATAAAAAGTTGGGGTTGACTTATGCACTAGGTCTACTTGCACACTGGCAAATATGATACAGCACCAACTACTGTATTCATTATTTTGGTCATATCACAGAGTACATCATGTATATTGCATCAGGGTAGGAAAAACATGTGTTGTCTGTTTTCTTTCTGTGTAAGATTTAAATGTTTCCTGGACTCAGCATGAAAATATAGAATATAAGCTAAAAAGTTTAGGGAAACGTGAAAATCCTAATATGTTAACTTAGTTCCTAAACTCATGTAGGACCAGGATTCAACAAATGGCTGTGTTATTCAAAACTCTTGAACTTGTCCATTAGTTCCATTTTTCCTTTTTTCATTTATATTCAGTTCTCACAATTATTACATCCATTTTGATTTTTGTGATGTTCTTGTACATAGAATTTTTTAAAACAAATACGTACTGTCATGCATTTTAGAAAGTAACATAAGTGTTCCTACCTATTACTGTACATTTTATCTTGAATTGTAGGATAACTTGTTATTATTATGGTTATATTACCACCTTGTATCTTTATTACCAACAGTCAAAAATACCCACACAATAAAACACAGTAGAATTTCCCTCTGCTCTTAAGTGTTCTTTTTTTTGTGGTGTTAGTACAGTTACATGATCACTCTTTACAACTTGAATTGCCTTTTATCCAAATAAGTTACTCTTTTATCTTAGTCAGATATGTAGCAAGCTTGTTACACATAATGTATTTGTTTGTATAATCAGAGTTACTTTACTTTAAAGGAAATATTTCTCGTATCTACATGAAAATATTAAAATTTTATTAAAATCATATTGTATTTGTACTTATACAGGCTTTGCAAAAATGAAATTTAACTTAAGAATTTGGATGGGGTAGTGATCATATTCCACCAAGTATGTTAATACTTTGCAAAGTTCTTTTCATAGCTATGATGGTAATGAATGTAAGAACTGTACTGGAACTATAAATATTCATCTAAATGATTACTTACAGAGAATTTCATGGGCATGAAAGGTAGTAAGAAGGCAGTAGTTTGTGTATTTAACATTACCTACTTGTACAAACTTAAGGTGTTAACAATTTTGAGGATGCTTTGCCTACTCCATGTTGCTGAGCCAAAGATATAATGCAATTTTAATTCTTTGAAAAACCTGTTGCAGTTATGAATTGCCAGATAGTAAATATGTCATTCCAATAAAGTTTGTATTAATATAATTTCCTAAATGTATCCTTCTAGTGTGAGAATACATGAATATTATATCCAAACAATTATGCTGTAGTCATCTTGTTAATTAAAAATACCCTGACAGCAGCAGGTTTTCTCTAAGTTTGACAATTGCTCACTGTTTCGTCACAATTAGTCCTATGCTGTTGGTGTCGTACAGTCAGGGAAAGGTGTTTCTATACCCCGTGTTACCCCCGGTCAAGATGCGTATCATGCATGAATCCATATCCATATATGACTGCAAATGATGACCTAAAGTGCGATCCAAGAGACATAAGTCGAATCCCCACTCATCTCTATTGTGGATATAGAATCCCCTTTCCCTGAGTGTACAAGTGATTTTTTTATGCACTTACCCATGAAAATAACATGTTTAAGAAAAGTAGTCGTGCAGATTTGTTTTTCTGCTTAGTATAGAAAATAGTTTCATGCAGAAGTCTTTTTTATTTTATTTTTTTCTGCTTAGTAAAGTGCTTTGCTTTTTAGGGTCAAGATTTGTATGTTTACTGCCCCTAGACACTGGTCTTCACTATTTTTATATATTTTTACCTTTGTGTATAAGGAAAGCACTGTAGGATTTTATTTTTCACTGTGATCATTGTGAGAAAAGATTTAATATTAGTACAAGTATCTGCTCTCCATCTCTCTAAGATTTAACTGATGATGTGAGGTCATACCCAGTCATGAGGTTGTGTCAGCTGCAAGGAGAATTAGACGATGATGAACAAACTTTTATTTTCTTATGGATGTTCATGGAAATTGAGACCCTAATTTTTTGGCATGTTTATTAAAGTGTTTAGTTTTATATGTCTAAAAGGTTTTAATTTAATTTTGAAAATTGTATATTTGTTAAAGTGAGTTCTGAGGCAAATATTTCATTTGAGATTCTGCATGTAGTACTAGTTGCAGATATACAACTCAAGGCTGTGATTGATTCTGTCAGGAAATTGTGAGTAATACAGACATTATGATCAAAACACCTATAGTACTGTATATTTATATCATGCCTCCTACTGCATCCAGACCAGGAAAATGTATGCAGGATGCCTATATATACATCAGATATCAACCATTTCCACACTAACAGGTGTCTTAGATATTACACCAGTACTTGAAATATTGCCACAGAAATCTGCATAATGGTTTGGCTGTCATATTTGTGGACTTACTTTCTTGTATTACAAAATGAAAAAGTGAGGGTAAATATATAAAAAGTTAAAAGGTAGAAAAGATTAGTTTGAAGATATTTCAGCAGTAGAAGGAAAAGGAAAGAATGGAATGAATCTGAGCACTACGGGAATTAAGAATACGTTACAAATGATAATCTTATGAAGAAATATGAATTAAAAATAAAGAATCAGCGTTGATTTCACAGATGAGCAAGGCAAACAGTCCTGTACATGGTATAGTTTAAATTTCATGTAACATTCTGTTTTTAAAATTACTGTAAATGTAATTTGGTGCAATGAAGCCTTGAGAGTTATGAAAATTTTGTCTAACCCAAAATAGCTTTATCAAATTCCTTTTCTCATTTCTTTAACCTAAATTTGGCTTGCAAATTTACATATTAAAAGTTATTGATTTATTTGGTAAAACTTTATTAATAGAAGTCACAGTAGGTACACAATTATTGAAATTGTTAGTGCTTTAAAGGAAATTTTATTTTTTTACCTTTGGATAGGTTAGATTACCCTCATATATGGACTCTTCATAATCATAAATATATGATTCACTTGGTGCCCTGATTAGATAGCTACCAATGCTACTCTGTGGGTAGATATTGTAACCTTGACTAAAAGGTTGTATATTATAAGCTGTGCACAATAAGAATTAAAGGTCTGTAATTTTAGAGCTTTTTTCTATCAATGTTTGTTGAAATACAGTATACTAAAAGTCTTAACAATACATCTGCACTGATCTATTTTTAACAAACCCAAAATGTTACAATGAGAACAGAGCATTTTCTTATGCTGATGACTTAAGAGTTTTTTATTAAAGGAGATGTAGCATTTTTTTTACGTGGTTGCTTTGTTTAGTTTTCGAGTGTCATTTAGATATCGACAGTTCTTTCAGTTTGTAATATAAATTAAGTTGTGCCAACTAAAATGACAAGCTAACTCAGTAAATTAGTGATGGTATTTAGGAATACTACACAATGAAGAGAAATGAAAATATTAAGATATGTCCTTGCATGTCTGCAGATCGGTGTTTCATACAACGCAATTTATCTGGTTGTGACAATCCAAAAAACCGTCCTTCTCTCCATTTCTTCTTTGCTAATTATTGTTAATGGTGTGGCCTCCAATATAAGCTTTAGTACAGTATTTATTCTTGCAGAGGTAGAATTAGGTAGAGCAAAGGGCATTATTTTACCCTTTCATGTTATATATTGAAGCTTTATTCTATCTTTGTTTGTGAGTGATAGTTTCTCTCTAATATTTGCACATTAATAGGCGTAATTTGGCCCTTGAATGACTTGTAAAACATGACTTTTATTGATCAATGGTTTTGTTTATACTGTAAACACTGAAAATTGCATGGTTTTGTGTGGGAAACCACAATATAAGCTTGTACAAAGTCATAAATATTGAGAAACATTGTTAATTTGTATGTGCAAAAATGTAAGTACAGTACATATATACAGTACTCCCAGACCATGCTTTGTGCCATTTTGAGACAGTCAGAAGAAAGTGAAAAATATGTGAATAAGTGAAAATTTATTTTATTTTTTATGGTATTATATACAGTATAGTGCAGTTGTAAGATTTTGAAATAATACAACATAAATTTTATGTATCTTTTTATAATAATAATGTACAGCGAGTTCAGAATATATATCAATTCTTATGTCTGTTTATCTTGAATAACTTGAATTATACTTGTAAATGTAAGTGTTGAAGAACACACAAAAAAACCTCTTTTATGAGTTTTTGTTATCTTTTGTCCAAATAGTTTCTTAATCTTATAGTTTGTGATGAGAAATATATTTATTTTTCTACATCGTTCATTACAATAGAAAATTTAATCACTAAACTTGGAATGAATTCAGATGTCACTTATCAACCAACAAAGGAGCTAATTTGAATACTGTACTGTATTTAATTTACCACTCCTGGATTTATAAGGTACAGTACTGTACAGTATAGATGTTTTGAAGTACAGTCACCTCGCAATTTACACGGATATTACGGCATTTGCATGTTTTTTAAATAACACTACTACTGTATTAAATTATTACCTATTTTTAAAATAACAGACAGCTTTTTTTAAATAACACAATTTTGAAAAGAACACCATGCAGCGTAGATCAGAACCTCATTGCTTTCCTACTTTACCCAAAAGGAAAAAGTAACATCACTCGAACCTCAGCCATTGACATCTGGCTTCTTGAAAGCTCCCACTCCCCCCCCCTCTGCCATCACCTGCTCTGTCATCTGATTCAGATGACTCCCTCCCCCAGTAACCTCCACCTCTCCAGCACCACCAATAGGTTTGGTTCTATTATTGTATTACAGTATTATTATTATTATTGTGGTATTTTGTTATTGTTTTTGTAAATAAAACATATTGAAGGAAATAGATAAACAAATTACAGTTTTTAAGGAGCGTCTCCCCTAACCCCTGCCATTTTCTTTATTTATTATGAAATAAATAAGTTTGATCTACATGGCCATTCTCAAGAACGTAACTACCATGTAAATTGAGAGATGACTTTACGGTACTTCTTCTAAATTTCCTCATTCTGAGTTATAAATTATTTTTATCTTCATTTACACTAGAGGAATTGAAGTATATCATTTTGTTTGCAGAACTTCTTTCATGTTAAGTCCTTGGTCTTGAATCTCATTATTGTAATTCAAATATTAATTTTGAGTTACAGGGTATTTGTGTATATTAATCAACTGAGGAACAGTATATCAGAATACATTTACTGTATATACTGTACAGTAAATTTTAGTAGTACTGTACACTACCATACATTTAATTTTAGTAGTACTGTACAGTACTATTCTGCACTTGTTTTGGATAACAATGAAAAACACTAAGGTCTGATGACTTGTATTTAACATTTTCAATACTTTAATGATAAAGCACATTATTTAACATTTATTCCCCAAATAAATATGATGTAAAAATATACAGTATATATATTTTTTTTAATAACTGTTTGTGCCCGCCTTTTCAAATTTAACATGGCTTGATACAAAAAAGGAATGTTCCATCTGTTCAACTGTAACTAAATTATGTAATTTTGTGTAATTTAGCCAGTTCAACATTTGATTTTAAAAATGAATTTCTGGTTCATTGAATTTGAACAATGGGTTTAAGATTATGCATTTCATAGTTTTATATTGAGCTCAGTTCATTAACATATCCCTATGAATTTGATGCTTTAAAATATTCTAATTATTAATAAAAGAATCTGATTTAAAGTTTCATTGCCATCCTTAAAAGTGACCTTAAATCTTTCAGCTCTGGCAGGGTGAATAACATCTCGGTCTTACTTGCTTGTGTGAGCCCAGACTTTTATCTCGCATTTAACTTGAGTGTCAGGCTTTCTGTTTACCCAGTAAGTTAATTTACTTAGTATCTACCTAGTAAGTTTATGTATTCATGCTAAGTACTATACATACAAGAGTAAGTCATTTTAAGTTCACAAAAATCTTAGACTGGCCTTACACTGTTTCATTCATACTCACTGGCTCTATATTGTCCCTGTATGGGCATAGCTTCCTTAATAGTGGTTCAGTGACCAAAGCCAAGTTAAGGAAATTAGGTAAACAGTCAAGGGGGTTGGAGTTTGCATTGCATCAATGCTGTTGCTTACATTTGCAATTTTTTTTTCCATTAACGCTCTAGTTTAATTGTGCTGACTTCATAAAATTCTATTTTCCTTCTCTTTCACAAGACCAGTATAACTGATGATGTATTTGTATTTTTTTTCCAATTAATTTAATATAACCTGCATTTTTTAGTACTTTGCATATAATGATAATTTGGTGTAGTTGGTACATGATTCTTGTTTCATCCTATTTAATATGAAACACTTTCTTGTGAATATGAATTGTAAGAATTTAAAAAACTCTGAAATGTATTTGAGCATTGGCATCAGATCACAAAGGTTTTGCTTATACTGTATTGAATTGTCAAATGAATAAGGAATTTTGAAACAGTAAATTTTTGGATATTAAGGTTACATAAGTGATTTATGCAACATGTAAACAAAAAAAAATAATTCCAGACAATATTTTCTCCAGGCATTTTGGTTAAGAAGGCAATGAAGAAAAAATTATGATTGGTGTGTCTTCAGAAACTTGTAGTGTACTGTATAGTTGTTAGAAAAGGCTAGGAAGGCACAGTATGCCTGTATCAAGGTATTATGGCATATGGATGAGATTGCATCAGTTTATATATATATATATATATATATATATATATATATATATATATATATATATATATATATATATATATATATATATATATTTATTTATTTATTTTTATTTATTTTTACTTTTATTTTTACTTTTATTTTTTTTCTCTTGGTGAAATTTTTTATTGGGAATCCTGTCCAACTACCCCATACAAACAAGAACTGTGCTACATTATATTGGGGAAGATTCTGCTTGCACTTCCCTGCCTTACATGCATTTTAGGGCTAATTTGGTGTTTAAAATTAGACTATTGCTACTTAACATTTGTGCTTCAATAAATGTATTTACACATCAATTAATACTTAATGAATTATATTAATACAGTAAAACCGTCTTAATCCGGATTGGCAAATCACTCTGGACTAATTTCTGTTAATCCAGATTGAGTGCGGATTAACATGAAATAGTCCGGATCTGCCCACATGGTGGTAAAAATAAATAAACACTTGGAATCACTTAACCTGCAGTATAATATATATATAATTCTTGGACATAGAGTGTTTACCACAAAGTTGGTGATGCTGTTCATATTTGATTTTTTCCCATGATCTTCCAAGCTATACTTCTTTTTGGCTTCCTTTTGAAGTTGTCTTACCCTTTGGAAGCCATGGTAATTAGTCCACAAAGTCACAAATAGTCCACAGGAGTTAAGAGATGCACACATGAGGCCTGTAGCAGCAGGTCTGGGCTTTTAAATGAAGCAGTTGGGAGCTGCCGTTCATGAGTGCCAGATGGCAATCCAAATTTTTCTCGGTTAATCCAGACTTCCATATTGTATACTAACTCCCATATTGTATACTAACTCCCCTCCAGATACAGTATTGCTTTATCTGGAAATTCGCTTAATATGAACTGGATTTCTCCCCGGTTAGTTTGGATCAAGAGGGTTTTACTGTACAGTATTTATTACATAAGTAGAGCTAATTTCTTATTTGAGATATTTAACTGAAACATCAGCCCATTCATTTTGGTAACGATATTCAGGCTAAAGCTGAAAAGTTTTTCTTTTTACGTTGTTTAAATATATACAGGTATTAAACAATGCGAGGTTCTGGCTATCACTGAAAGTGATGGAAATCCGTCATCATATGCAAGTGAAAGATTATAATGAACATAACCAAAAGAGTAATAAATGTTAATGAAAGAGTTCAATAATGTGAAGCAGAAAGTTTGTCATGAACGCAAATAAAGGCAAAGTAGTTTAACATGACTTATCTGGGTTCTGAATGATGATGGATAATTAAAGGATCAAAATATGGAGAGGTTCCAGGAATTTAGGATGTATTTTCCTTTTGCATATTATGGTTAGGTAGAAAATTGGAAGATATAATTTAAGTGTCTGGTCATAGGCATGCAAATTACAGGAACCAGAAGATCAGTAACAAAATAAAAAGTAATGATCATAATTTGCAACTCTCTCCTCCATGAATATAGATATTATTGAGCATTAGTTACCATACTTGGCTCCAAAAATTTTGGTACAGTACAGTATATATGTATCATTACTGTATAAGTACATGTAAGTTAACAAACTTGTGCAATGATGTGTTGAAGTGTTATCATTATGATCTCAGGTGAATGTAAAAGATAATACAATTTCATAGAGTGGCAGAAGGAAAATTAACATTGAGTACTTTTAACAGTTGAAAAACCAAACTGGACATCAATATAGAAATACAGAAAAGCATATACTGTAAATATATATATATATATATATATATATATATATATATATATATATATATATATATATTTTTTCAAGTAAATCATTTCGGGTACCATTAATTTTCAGTATTGTATAGTATTCTGCAAATTTTATTAATGGTGTTACTACATATAACTTGAAGTTCTGATATTATTATTTAATGTTTTTAAATATGGAAGGGCATGTCCTTGCACTCTGCATTAGCACTAATCTTTTGGCATTCCAGTTTCTTTTTATACATATGTTTACATTTTCATCAAATTTAGGTATATAGCATAATCTTCACTATAAAAATTGCACTTTGTAAGGAAAAATGACTGTATGCCTCACACTTGAGAGGGTCATCTGTATCTTTGAAATAATAAAACTTAGAATTTAATGGAAGAGAGAACCCTAACTGGGACTTAGCCTGGTGCCAGTGCCTGGTGCTTAGTCCTGCATTGTGATATTGTGTAGCTGTACCAGTGTTAACAAAGCAGTCTCATACTTATGTTTCTACTTCTTTTCTATTAAATATCTTTGAAAGATTATCTTTTCTTTAAACCTTATCTGTTAGCAAATCCTCATATTCATTATATACCTGATTTGCTGGAGTTATTTTATAAATATCAGAAATATATACAGTATACTGTAAATATATATTTTTTAAAAATACAGATGGAGTCACTACCAAGATCAGACTTTACCGAGAACAAATTCCTGCTTAAAAGTCATGTACATTAATATCTACACGTTCGTTGATAAGAGAGAGGAGTTTGAAACACTACTGAAGGTACAGCAACCCGATATAGCAGGTGTTGTAAAACTGTTATACAAGATAAGAAGAATTGACCCAGAAGACTGTGAGTTCAATGTAGTAAATGGATATGACTCGCTTACAAACCTTTCTCAAGCAACTTGCAAGAGGGACGTGGTTATCTATGCTAGGGAACACCTTAGAACCAGCCAGGTGAGGAAATGGGGAGGATGTTTTTGAAGAATCAAACTGGTGTAAAATTAAATTAAAAGGAAAAAACTTATTGTCGGGTGTATCTACAGACACCAAAACTGTAGCTTATTAAACCAAAGGAACCTAAGAGCCAGTAAAGTGAACCATTTGATCGATAAATATATACCCAAGACCATATCCAGTGTCTCTAGGAATACAAGGAGACTGCTACACATGAACCATGCGGCGGTCGACAAAGTTAAGAAGAAAACTCAGAAATTCCAGACGTGGGTTAGGACAAAGGATGAGCAGAACAAAAGGATGTATACCAGATCTAGGAACCAAGCAAAGTCAGTGTGTAGAAGGGCTGAAAAAGCTCCAGAGGCAGATTGTGAGCGAGGTCAAGTCAACTTTACTTTTATCCTCTTCACCACTGATCGGCTCGTTAACCGCTTGGGCGATCGGTCACGTCTTATGCACTGTTGGCAAGTACTAAGCATGCACCGGCTCCTGAATGTACCTGAACCCGCTCCAGTGTTGGTCAAGTCTTGTCTTGAAGAGCTCACACTCTGTGCAGTCACAACACTTTCTGGTAGATTGTTCCAAGAGTTCACAACTCTCTCTCCGAAAAAGTTTGCCCTCACAGTTTTCTGGACTTGTGGCTTCTTCAATCTTGTGTGGATAAGGAAGAAAGCGGTCCTAGTGTTGGGTGGATATATTTTCATCCTGTTCACTATCTCTGCGATGCATTGTAGAGAGAAAAGCGGCTGAATGTATTTTCAGTCGGTAAGTGATGCTGGGCTTATATTTATGCCCAAAAGATCATGATTGGACAGCCATAATTTCAAGAATCGGTTATTGATTAATTTCAATAGAAAGAATTGCAAATAAACATGTGAAATGCTGTCTTTTATTTTTATCTTGAGTTAACTAGTTTTTTTAATAATTTACTGTGATTTTTTATATAAACATTTGAGACAATAATTTTGTTGTTGATTTTTACTTTCAATACTTGAGCACTTTAAGAATGAGATACTGTGGGGTATGGGATGTTTGGGTTCACACTCAGGATGGGATGGAGAAAGGAAACTCACAATGTGCTCTCTGTATACATGTTGTACTGGATGTACAATGCAGCTTGGTGCTGGGAAGTGGCAGCGTGGTTACAAGCGTGATGTAGAGAGAGCTGGTTGGTGAGGGTGCTCAGAGGAGGACCAGCTTGTGGGTCGCCATGCTCTCCGGCGGGAGCGAGGGCCGCCAAGCAGCGGCGGAGGAGGAGGAGGTGTTGCTGGCTGGTTGGTGTAGGTAGAAAAGAGACAGGTCACCACGAGGTCAGGTCTTTTATAGCGGAGGTAGGCGTGGGTAGATAGTCGATCCCCGCTCCGTGGGCGGCGCTGGTTGACCTAGACCACGAGGCATACATGGGAATTCGTGGGGTCGACTACTCAGCGACAAACAGCGCTTGTAGGGGAGAAATCCACTACAATACTTGTTTTTTTACTTCTACTTGAGTACATTGAACTTTGGATGATTTTACTTTACTTGAGTAACATTTTGACAATGTAAGAATACTTTTACTTAAGTAAGAAAGTCCGGTACTTTTTACAACTCTGTGCAGGACTAATGAAAATCGCCAGCTTTTGCATAAGGTCCTTAGATTTCTAACATACAATACTGTATTTTCAACTCTGTTAAAGATATTCAATACAGACGTCCAGCATCACATAATGTTTTCTAATTTTATAAAATACAGTAAAGGCACCAACATGGTGGATGGGCTGCCGATGCAATAATAAGAAGAACATAAGAAAATAAGGAGTCTGCAATAGGCCGGTTGGCCTGTGCATGGCAGCTCCTGTCGAGAGTTACTACAACTCTCTATCATCCATGAATCTATCTAGCCTCCTTTTGAAACTTTCCAGAGTTCCCGCACTTACTACAAAGTTGCTAAGCTTGTTCCACTCGTCCACCACCCTATTTGTGAACCAGTTTCTTCCTATCTCCCTCCTAAACCCAAACTTATCCAACTTGAATCCGTTGCTCCGAGTCCTATCCTGCTCGGATATTATAAGAACTTTATCTATATCCCCTTTATTGATTCCTTTCACCCACTTAAATACTTCTATCATATCTCCCCGCACTCTTCGTCTTTCCAGGGAATGCAAGTTAAGTTTCTTTAACCTATCCTGATATGGAAGGTTTCTAAGTCCCTGAATCATTTTCGTCATTCTTCGCTGCACCGACTCTAGTGAATTTATATCCATTCTATAATAGGGGCACCAGAAATGAACCGCATGATCGAGGTGCGGCCTGACTAGCGCAAGATATAGTTGCAATAAGACCACTGCACTCTTGTTACTTACACTTCTAGATATAAAACCCAATACTCTGTTTGCCTTATTTCGAACATTAACGCACTGTTTTCTAGGCCGTAGGTCCGGGCTTACAAGTACCCCTAGGTCTCTTTCACAAGTCGACTTCTCTAGGTTGATGTTGTTGAGGCTGTATACATTATAAGTATTTGTTCTTCTAATATTAAGTACGCTGCACTTGCTGGTGTTGAATTTCATTTGCCATTTTTCAGACCACCCCTGCAGTATATTTAGATCCTCCTGTAATGCATTTGCATCCTGCCCTGAATTAATTTGCCGCCCTATTTTGGTGTCATCCGCAAACTTGCTTATGTCACTGCTGATCCCAGTATCTAAATCGTTTATGTAGATTATGAACAAGAGTGGGCCTAGTACTGACCCCTGGGGAACCCCACTGGTTACACGGCCCCACACAGATTTAACACCATCTACGCTGACCTCTGTGTTCTATTGGTGAGCCATGATTTTATCCAATTTAAAACTTTCCCCTCGATACCATGAGCCTTAATTTTTCTCAGAAGCCTCTGATGCGGTACTCTGTCAAATGCTTTGCTTAAGTCTAAGTAAATAACATCGTAATTTTCGTCATTATCTACTACCTCGAAGACTTTCCTTAAAAACGTTAGCAGATTTGTTAGACAGACAAGATTTTCCCTTTGTAAACAATAAGAAATAAATCAATTTCGAAATTTTATAATGCCCAAATTTACTGTAAAATACTTTATTATTTTATTTATTAATATTATTTATTATGCACCTTTTATATATTATATTTAATTGGGTGATTTAGTGAGATAGAGATTAAAGACAGTAGGCCCGGGTAGGGTAGGGACTCGGGATGTGCCATGTGGTGTTTACTGTGTGAGGAGGCGGTGTGGTCCAGCTGATGCCACACGAGGCGGTCTGACTGTTTGTTCTATAAGATCATAACCCAGTCACTGCTGGCAGACTGGCACCACATGTGATTTGATTGTCTCTCTGGGGAGGTAACCAACTACCGAACATCACAATGGCTATGCTCGCAGAACCACGCAGGAGACAGAAATGGTCACTTAATCCCAGAGGAGCAGATTGGGTTAATGGTAAAGACAGTGTTGTGTATTGATTGATTGATATGTAATTACACTGGGTTTTGTGGGAGCTTTCCTCCTTGGCCTTCGTGCTACTACACTAGGAACTTAGCCCATGGGTAATATTAGGTAGAATCACTGGACCACAATGGTTATTCTTATTCACTTGTAAGTTGTGTCATACTCAAGAGTGTTATTATATAGACAGTGGATATTTTACCGTGACTGGCTAAGTTCCTACTAATGCTAGTTTACCGTGAGTATGTTCTGATTGGCGACGTAATCGTCCATTTCCGGAGAGCATTACTGTATATGACCGTAACTCATTTGGCATTTATTTCCCCATGAATCGATCGTTGTGTAGCTATAAACGTTCCTAACCAGAAGTTGTTCGATTTTGCTCATTTTTTTACATGTTCTTATTATCATAGAAGATGCAACATTTACTTGAATCTAATAGAACATGACCTAACCAACCAAAGAAACCTACCTAACTTCCTAGCCAGAGGGCAGACCTCTGTCATATTAAACAGAAAGTATTTAGCCTATCAAAGTGCACTCACAGCAAAATGGTGTTAGTAGGAACTTAGCCGCTAACGGCAGAATATCCACTGCCAATTATTAACGACTGACCTGCCGGAGATTTTTCACTGAAAACGATTATAAAAAAGCAGCAATTTTACTGTGTTTTATAGTGGACACTGTTGTAGTTTGTGCAAATATATATAATTTTTACCTTGCTTAATCTTAGTTCATAAGCAGTGGATATTTTGCCCGGCCTGGTTAAATTCCAACTAAAGCTATGAAACAACCTTGTAAAGGAATGCTAACACAGTTTTATCCTGGGACGATCACAATTACATAAGGTACTAGATGTTTTGACTCAAATTCAAGAACAAGGCAGAAATATCGACAATATATACCTAGATTTTGCCATGAAAGGCTGAGAGTGAAACTGGAGGGGTATGGGATTCGGGGAAGTGTTCTAGCGTGGATCAGAGACTTTCTTTGCGATTGCTAGCAGTGCAGTGATTAATGACACAAAATCGTTGTGTGTACCCGTGACAAGCGGGCCGGCTGTTGTTTGTTTGCTTCATTCATGACATGGCAGAAGCTGTACACTCCTCCATACAAATGTTTGCAGACGATGCCAAATTATTTTGGGAAATTAAGAATCAAACAGACTGTGAAGAGCAACAGAAGACCTCTGTGAGCTTCAAGAATGGTAGAAGAAATGGCTGCTAAGATTCCATGTCACGAAGTGCCAAAAGGATGCACCTGGGTTGCACCAACAGTAAGGAGGCATATCACATATCCCAACAGGACGAGGAGACTGCATTAAATGAGACTGAATGTGAAAATGACCTGGGTGTGTATCAGGCAACAAAACTAGTAGATCTTATAAGAACGTCATTTAAATATGTGAATGGTCCATCGCTCGTCACGATCTTCAAGAGTGAGGTGCTTCCCCGTCTGGTCCCCGAGGTATGCTAGAGACTGTCAATTGATTGAAAATGTCCAAAGGATGACCACCAGACTGGTGCCTGCTGTACAGAACCTGAGTTACTCAGAGAGATTGGAGCGCCTGTAACTACCCAGCTTATACTACAGATGGGCGAGAGGCAATCTATTCGAAGTGTATAAACATCTTGGGGCACTACTTGGTCGAATGTACATATCTGGAGCTGGCGGATGTCTGCCCCACAAGAGGTCACAGCACAAGGTTGAAGAAGCCACAAGTCCAGAAAATTGTGAGGGCAAACTTTTTTGGAGTGAAAATTGTGAGCTCTTGGAACAATCTGCCAGAGAGTGTTGTGATGGCAACGAGTGTGAGCTGTTTCAAGATCAGACTGACCAACTCTGTAGCAGGTTCAGATATATTCAGGAGCCATGCCTAAGTATTTGCCAACAGTGCATATCAGAGACGTGACCAAGCGGCTAACGAGCCGATCAGTGGCAACGAGGATAAAAGTAAAAGCATGTAAAAGCAACCCAGGGATGCCTGTACTGTGTATCTTTCCTAGGTTGGCATTCCCAGAAAATACTTCCCAGTAGTCTGATATTGTGAGAATCTATTTTACACCCAAAATATATATATTTTTTTATAATGTGTATGCCATATATATTTAGTGGTCATTTAGATAAATTAATTATTTCAGATGACAACAAATTTGGCAAGAAGTTGATGGAGAAGATGGGTTGGTCAAAAGGCAAAGGCCTTGGACGAGAGGAACAGGGAGAGAGGGATCCAATCGCTGTCAAGTTTAAAGACAACAGCAAAGGTAATTTATATGTGAAGTGTTTTTGCCAAAGCAGTTGTTACAGTACTGAATTTTCTGTTGTCAGTTTATTGTATGCACCGTTTCCACTTATTTTTTGAAATGTTGTTTTACCGAGATACATTGTGAAATAGCATGCACCAAGCTTAAATTCAAAAGGTTTCAACAGAAAATATCATAAATCGGGGTTGGCAAAAACTTATTTTTTTTAGCCCAAAGCCATTGTTTTATTGTTTTTTGTTTTGTTTTTAACAAAACACATTGTTATTTTTTTAACAAACAAAAAAAGTTTTGTTTTCGTGTTTTAATGTTATGTGAGTGTTAATGAGTTTTAAATATTTTTTGCCCTTTGTATAACATTTTAATAGGCTATTAATCATAAACATTACATTCAGGATGATTTAGCTATTTTATAGTGGCTGTTTCTCATTCAATGTCGGAGACACAAAATCAGTTTTTGCTGGGTTCGACCCATCACCACCCATGAGTATGCTGATGTTGTGGCAAAAGCAGCTGCTTCTTGGCCTGGGTCACATCATTCTCCTCTACCTACCTCTGATATGAGGTTGGCAATGCAGGTGGGATTCTGTCAGCAAACAAGCTCAATGACATCCACCCTATTTTGGGTTCCTGGGGATATCAGGGACTGTCCTGCCACTGGGATTTTGGCCTTCCTCCACATTGGCCACACACGACTGATTCACGGTGTTTTAATGGAGAGGACGCTCCTCCCCATTGTGATGACTGCCTGGTCCCATTGATTGTTTGACACCTGGTGGAGTGCCCCAGTCCTAGAGTCCTTTGTAGGCACCTCTCCCAGTATCTGGTGGGACATGGGCTTTAATGTCTCTTTGGTGCTGGGGGAGGGAGTGGGTAGCATGGGAGGGGGGACATCCTCACCTTTGTGGAGGAAGCTGACCTTCTACACAAGTTTTCTGTTTTATCTATTAATGTTTAAATGGTTTTCAAAATTTTTTTATACTACTGTATTTTATGGCATATAGGATGCACCCCCCCATTTTAGCAAGGAGTATTTAAGAGAAAACTTTTGTGTGGATTTTCCTCCCATAGTCATAGTTTTCTTAAAATAATGTATACAGTGCCAGTAAATGTGAGGAATAAATAAAAATACCGATAAATAAATTACAACCAAAGATACTGTATTGCCAAACCAGTAAATAAAAACCAAATGAAAGTTTAACACAGTTGCCATTTGCATATACAGCTCCTCCCCGACTTACGACGGGGTTAGGGACCCAAATCCAGGTCGTAAGTCGGAAATGCTTAATTAATACATAGAAAATCTAAAATGGGTGTCTCTTTTTCTTCTCAGCACCACAAAACTCACTTTTAAGTTTGACAGCCATTTTAAAGGGAATTACAAACGAAAATTTTGTCTGTGTACTGACTTTGGGACTCGAAAATACGTATTTACACCAAATTTTGATACGACTGAGGCAGGTCGTAAGTGCGGGTGGTCGTAAGTCGAGTAGGTCGTAAGTCGGGGAGGAGCTGTACTGTACACTGCCAACAGTACTCCCTGTTTCACCATAGAAACAGAGACCAGCAAGGATGCTACCTCCACCGATTCCCGAGCAATGCTTCCCTCCCAACACGCCTCGCCTGCTGCCGCTACCCCACGGAGCCAGCTAACTCGTGTGCAAATAAATGTACAGTGGGGTATACTATAACGAACGGATCCTACTACGAATATTCCTATAACGAACGGTTTTACCTATAAAATTGAGAATGCTATAACGAACGAAACTCCTACAACGAACATTATTTAAAAATTTTTTTTTTTTTTACTAATTTATTGTTTTTTTATTACAAGCATTAATGATATTCTTTATTTCAGGGGTTTAGATGCATATTTATGCACTTTTTTACAATTTTTACAATTTTATATTATATTTTTCAGTGTTAAGTGGTTGTATTTGGCGGCCTGGAATGGATTAATCCTATAACGAACGAATGCTATAACGAACAAGGTTCTAGAACCAATTAGATTCGTTATAGCATACCCCACTGTATACTGTATTCCCTTTGTGTTTGCCCATATGACAATTATTTCTTTTACTTTTTTTACAATATGTATGAAGGATGGTGTATGCATGTAACTGAATAAAAAAGGAAGACAGTTACGTTTATCTACTTGAAATTACAAGATGGAAAACAACCATAACACCTCATAGCTTGGCCCAGTAGCCTGGTGGTTACAGTGACGGGTCTGACCTGGCTATAATGCCGCCAGCAATGTTAGCTGATGCAAATGTAAGAAGAAAGTTGTCTATATCTTCACTTGTATCAGGTATTTGTATATTTAAAAATAAATGTTGCAGGTATGGCATTAATAGATTGTAATGCTTGTAATAGTTTAGAAATGGTTACTGCCTAGCTAACTGAAGAGTTGGGTGTCTACCGTACAGACATAAATCTTCTCAGATTATCGTCATCAGTACAGGAGTTATAAATCAAGCTTTTATATTTACAATAATTAAATTTTAATTAATTAAAGATAATAATAATAATGTATTTAAGTAAGCAATAAAATTTTTAATTCTGGAGTTGGGTCAGGTAGAATTTAGACTACTGGAGACAGTAAATGGGAGATTCATTAGCTTATGGGAGACTGCAGTTTCACATTTAGGATTTTTTTAGCCATTTTTCAGACGAAAAAGTGCATCTTATATGCCATAAAATACAATATATATTATTTATGTTTTTTACCTTATATTATTTGATTTAACTCTTCTATAATTCGCCGGCATATGACCTAGGCTGTTGCTTTGTCAGGGATGTAATTACCACAATCAATCCATTAATCTCCAAGTGCCGTGCAAGTGGAGACGGGGCTTACGTCTCTTTTTGGTGCTGGTGGGGAGAGCGGGTAGTGTGGAAGGGGACATCTCCTTCATGGAGGAAGCCGGCTTTCCACACAAGCTTCGAGTTTTATCTCTTAATGTTTAAATGTTTTCATGAAAGTTCTATGCTATTTATTACTGTATTTCTGTTTTTCCATGCATTGTATGTTTTTAGCCTTCTGTGCTTTTGGTTTAATCCAGCATTGCCTTCTCCCTCCCCAGGTATTGGGTATAAGGGTCAAGATGATGAATGGATTAAGCACTATGAGGACTTTGAAAGTGTATTAGCTACACTTAATAGTGAACACAACAGTGCTGTCAATTCCAAGACCAATTCAGCATGTAACAGTTCTGCCAACAGTGATGAAGACTCACAGGAGAAGGAAGGGAAGTCTTTGGAAGCCAGATCAAAAGTTTCCAGAGCTCGAGTTCAGTAAGCAGATGAAGCTTTAATTATTTTATGTTGACATATAAGTATTAAGTTACTGGGTATAATTCTGTTGAGAAATTATCAGTGCTGAGTGTATTATATTGAAAAAAATCGTGTTTACTGTATTTCATTCCTTTATATTACAGTGGAATGAACTTTGGCACTTAAATGATCAGAGTCTTTAAGGCCCATTCACTAAACTGTATTTGTACTGTTCATTAAGCTTAGTTTCTGCCAAGTCAATTCACACCTTGATTAGTCTTTAAAATTTAAAAAAAGGCATCTCAACCTGCTTAAATAATTCTTCACATTATGGAGCATATAAGCACCACATTAGGTTAATGAGTCATCTCCTGATTAAACTCGTTGATCGCAGTTTCTATTATACAGACAAATCTTGGGTGCAAAAGTTCTATACCTACTTCACTGTATTGCATTCTTTTAGATATACTGTATAACAGAACCATATGGGGTAGCTCGGGTCTAGCAGAGACTTGGAAAAGTTTTAAGATCACCCATAACAAAACTGCACTCACTGACTAACCCAACATATGCAAGTCATTTCACTGACCCCCAGAAGGACTTATGCATGTTGTAACAATTAAGATCACTCATAAGTACATAAAATCCCCGTAATACAGATGAGTCAGGGGATTTTAAAAGCAGACTGTTTAAAACCACAAAGAAGATATTCCACATGCTCTATACCACACCACAGTGAGCTAATAGTTTTACTGAAGCCACAAGACATACCTGTTTATACTCAGAAGCTTGTTCCTCACAACTGATAATGCAAGGTCACTAAATTCCTGTCCCCTGCTACCCCACAACTGGTTTACAGACATCAGTGTTAAAGTTGGCCAACTCCAGCTCACTGGCCCTGACTTGCAAGAGGATACATGTTTAAGTAACAAAAAAATATCAGTCTTTTAAAATAAAACCTAAAACTGTGGTTTTATCCCTGACAATTATCCTTGAAGTTTCAAAATGGGGCAGGCACTTAGGTTTTATCAATAGTCAAGCAAAACTGGGGTGACTGCACTCATTGGTTGTCAGATGGGGACTGAAGGAAAGTAGTTGATTGGCTTTGGAATAAAAAAAATAGAATCCCACTGTGGTAGTACAACTTGGCTTTAATTAGGCCTCCTTACTCCATAGAGTAATTTTTTTCCCTCTTTTGAGGACAATGGTTGTAACAAGGAGCAATGGGTGATCATAATTTAGCCTCCAATTTATAAAGCAGGTCAGGTGTGATAGCCAAATCCATCATATTGGTTATTGCAGTACAGTAATTAGTACCCCCACAGAGGGCATCTTGATGGAAAACATGATAAGTATTTGGTAACAATAAACAAGGCTAAAACAGGGCTGTATAGCCAATGTGGAGAATGGTTTTCAGAATTTTTTATAAACTGCTGTACAGGTATCCCTTGCTATGCAAATGGGTTAGGTTCGTGAAAACTCATTAGCCAAGTGAATTTTCGTATATGGATAAAAGAACATACGTATGGGAAAACTAGGGTTTGGTTCCCAATGACAAGAAAACCCCAATATCATACCCTAAAAACACAAAATCGGTTCTCAAACAAGAAAAAACCTACCTAACTAATGATAAATAGTACACAACTATAATTTACTACCTAACACATTAAAAACATTAATAATATACTATCCAGATGAGTATATGCAGCTAATACCATTGAGAAAAATCTAAATCAAAGTTTAACACAGCTGCCACTTGCATAAACGCTGGCTGTGTCACGTCTGGCCACCCTCAAATCTCGCCATTGCAACCCAGCCCGGCTACCCTCTGCTGACCCTTAGCAATGCTCCCCTGCACACAATGAAATGTTTATTCCCTCTTATGTTTTTGACCTTATTATGTTTTTTATTTTTATTTATTTTTTATTACACATTATGTATTGCAGATTGTGTGCATGTAAGAAAACACACAAAAATTAAGTTTATCTTCCTAAAATTACTTGTTGAAAAATAATCATAACGTACTGCAACTCCTACCTCAGTCTGGGAGGGAGAGCACTAGGGGTTGTGTGGCTGCCCTAGTTGACTCACGAGGCGCATGATTTGCTGAGTCCCAAATTCATATAAGCGGGGTAAGCTTTTGTAGCACAAAAAGTAGGTGGTAAGATAGGAAATTCGTATAAGCAAATTTTCGTATCTCTAATGTTCATAAAGCGAGGGATGCCTGTACAGTAATGGCAGTTGATACCTTACTAAATATAATACTGCCATAGTTTGTGTGTTAGAAGTCTTTTCTCACCACCAATTTGATCAGGTGGTGTCACTATGAAGTGGTACATTATCCCTCCCTGTTCTTGCTGTCATGTGTATACAGTCATTTTATACTGACAATTGGTTAGAAACAGTGACTCTGAAACCCAATTGTGTTGGCTGAGTGGGCTGGAGCTGACATATGATCCGTTTGTGATGTTGTCAGGTGTGGCCAAGGAAAACAGGATCAAGCACCCTAATGATGAAGACTCAGCCTTCACTTCTCCAGGCAAACTTTCATTCCAAGTGTATCCATTTGCTAGAAATATACATAGATAACATTCTTATTTAAAATGTATTTGATTTTTAGATTACCATCTCAAGTTTGGGAATCTGGAATTCACTCTCTACACCAAATGACTACAATATACTGAGTTGCCTTTTTCTGGTTTGGCTAGAAAATTGGATTACAACATTAATTAATTATTTTTCAGATCCTTCCAAGAAGAACACTATAATTCAGAATATTGTTTACAACTTGCATATTGTTTGGCATTGTGTTGTAGTAATCATTTGTTTATTATTTATTGTCTTGAGTCATATGCCTTTTCTTCTTGAATCAGTTTTATCCTTCATTGATGTTCATCTAACCAAAGTTAATTTTTTCATCAAATTCATTCACATTTTATATTTTCTGCCTTTGAATGACTTGGCCTCAAGGACTATCTGTGTTTGTCTTAATTTCTTCACTTTGCCAATTTGTCCATGGATCCATGAGAGTTTTACAGAGCTTTTAAACTGGTCTCTATTCTTCCAAAACAGCTACCACAAATTTACTCGTGGAAAGGACTTGAGTAACTATAAGGAAGATGATATAGCCTGCATCTTGGGCTCCAAAAGGGCAAAGAAGCTGGCTGAGACAGAGGCCATTGGTGATACCTGTACCACCACAGAGGTAGATGAGATTGGCCATGTGGATAAAATGAATGGTGTGACAACAATTAAAGGCTGTAGTATTCGGGTAAGGAGTTAGTCTGATTGGTTTCTTTATACAATGGAGTCACAATAATTCGTGAAATACAAATTAGTGTTCTTAAATTTGTGTGTACACTGTACTGATATCCCTCAATATACAAATGGGTTAGGTTAAAAAAAAAATTACATTATTTTTTTCTATCTCGATAACAGAACAAATGGGAAAAAATAGGGTTTGGTTCTTCAGTGACAAAAATACACCAATATCATACCCAGAAATACAATATCGGTTCACAGACAAGAAAAAACCCTACCTAACTAATCATGAATAGTACACAACTAATGTAATTTACTATGTAATATAGTACATTAAAAACATTAATAAAATAATATCTAGATGAAAATACAGTAAGCCCCCGAAAGTTCAGATCCTGTAAGTTCGGATTTCTGATAGTCCGGACCCTTTCAGGACAAGAAACATTTGTCCGAACCATTAAATATTTGTCGTTTGAAATTCCCGATGCATGCAATCATTTGAAATTCACGCCAGCAAGCGTTTATTTGAGGTTTCTCTCCTCCTCTTGGACCCGAGAGTGAGCAGTTTATTCCCCTACCCTTAGAATGTACTCGTCCATAATGCTGCACTGTGATTGGTTAGCTTTAAGTTCATCACATTCAGCCCCAGAAAAATGGTAAGATTTTATGTAAAATATTAGAGCATTGGTGACGGTAATCCTCCCAGGAAGAACAGATGATGACCAAGCATTGCATCATCCTTATGTCACTCACACACACCTGCAGCAGTCCATTTCAGTCCCCATTATTTTGAAGTAAAATTACAAATTATATGTCCGATATTTTTTTCTATAATTTAATATTTTATATTATTAATAATTAGACACGATAAGAGACCGATCATACGAGAATATAATAATCAATAAATAAAAACAAAAGCAAACGGCAATATAGCCAGTCCCACCCCCATATTTATGGAAGGAGGGATCAGCTTGTTCTTTTATTTTGAAGTAAAATTACAAATTATATACAGTCATATTTTTTCTATTATTTAATACTGTATGTTATATTATTTATGATGAAACACTCACCACAAGTGGCTGATCATTCAAGAATATAGTATAAAAATTAATAAATAAAAACAAACGTGGCATTGGCCAGTCCCCCACCACGTTTACCCATGGAGTGTCATCTCTAGTATCTATTAGCTCTCATTAGGCCTATATCAAATCTGATTAGACCACTGTACATAATTCCCTATTAAAGACAATACAGTATACTGTATACAGTATATTTTGGTAATAAGTTACAGTATTATATTAAAAAAAATATATTTTTTAATGAACTGTACTGATAAAAGGAAACACATGACATTTATTGTACATTAAAATACAAATTTCAGAATAATTGGGGAGCTAATAGGTGGCTGCTTAGTTGCACAGTGGCCTGCAGAACCCCCACTTGGTAAAAGTCTGGACCTTCTTTCCCCTCAAATTGTTTGGACTATTAAGGAAAAGTTACCGTAAATCAAAGTTTAACACATGGTGGCCCTCAGTGTTGCCATAGCAACCAGCTCAGCCGCCTCTGCTGACCCTTAGCAAAGCTCCCTCCTCGCTCTCATTCACAAAGAATTCTTTATTCCTTATATTTGCTTTTTACCTATGATAGTTATTTATTTATTTATTTTTTACATTATGTATGTAAGGTTGTATGTGTATGTAACTGAATAAAAGAAAAAAATTAAGAAAGTTAAGCATTTGTATAGTTCTGAAGTTCATATATTTAACATATTACTTTTTCTTGCAGGACTATTTTGCTCAGAAAATGGCATCTATGAAGGCATCACAGTTGGCAAAATTTCAAGATGAAGAAAATGGGGAAGAAGAAGTTGAATTAAGGTCAAAGCCTGAACTAATGAGTTTCGTTAATACAAAAGAAAAAGAGGGGAGACGTAAAGAGAAGAATCATGACAAAGATGATAAAGTGGAAGACAATACAGAAAGATTGAAAGGAAAAAGGAAAAAATCTTTCTTGAAGGAGAAAGTGGAAGTTAAAGAAGAAATTAGCCCAGAGATTAAACTAGACAAAAGTGAAGAAATTAGTCCAGCTATTTTTAAGAAGGCAAAGAAAAGGAAAAAGACAAGTGAGAGCGAAAGTGCCATACATTGCACTGTAATTGATAGTCAGCAAGACCAAAAGAAGATGAAAAAGAAACAGAAGATAAAGGAAGAAATGCTAGAAGATAAACTAGGCTTAACTGTTGGCATATCTGAAAGTGGTGAAAAAGAACGAAAGAAAAAGAAAAAAAGAGAACGGCTGCAAGAAGTTGAATCAGACAACAGTGGCAACACACCTGAAGTTTATGAGGAAGAAAATAAAATGAAGAAAAAGAAACTGAAAATGGAGGTGGAAGAAAAATCAGAATTGAATGGCAAAATGTCTGAAACTAATGAAAAAGAAAATAGCAGGAAGAAAAAGAAAACAAAAAAATCAGAAGATGAATTGGACGCAAATGTTAATTCTGAAACTGGTGAGAAAGAACAAAAAAGAAAGAAGAAGAAAGCAAAGGAAGAGCCACAAGAAGGTGAATCAAACAGAAATGCCATAACGTCTGAAAAAGAAGAAAAAGAACAAAAAAGGAAGAAAAAGAAGATGAAGAAGGAGAAAGAGGAGGCAGAAGATAGGTCTGAAACAACTGCTGAAAATGAAGAAAAAGACCTTAAAAGGAAGAAAAAGAAAACAAAGAAGAGCCACAGAAAGATAAATGAGACAGAAATGGTAACATCTACAGAATGATATCCGGCTGATATATAGAATTAAATTAGAGAATGATAAGTCTAATGGTGTGGTATCCCATTTTATGTGAAGAGATTTAATACTTTACTGCACACCATTTTTGTCTGAAGGAAAAAAAATCTTGTACAGAAGAAGACGAAGAGCAGTGCACAGTAGACTCGATATATTGTATCATGAGAGTGGCTGAGTACAGTACAGTATTCCCATGAAATAGTAAATATAAAAATTAATGTACAGTAATTTAATCGGAAATATTGGGTATGGGTCTGGAGCCACCTAAAATACACCCAAATAATTTCCAATATGACAAATACTTCACCTGACTAGACCCACCGCAATTTCAACTCCACGTCAGGCCGACTCGACTCGTCACATCACGCAGTGCCTATAGCTCTCAGCCCACGTCTACGTAACCCACTGGTGACACCGTAAACAAACGAAAGTCGTATTTCGTTGTTTTAGTTCATCACTGAGCGATACAAATTTATTTTCTTACGCTCAACTCTCTCCCTCGCTTCACTTGACAACACTTCCCTCCTCATCACACAACACTTCCCTCCTCACCACACAACACTTCCCTCCTCACCACACAACACTTCCCTCCTCACCACACACTTCCCTCCTCACCACACAACACTTCCCTCCTCACCTCACAACACTTCCATCCTCACCACACAACACTTCCATCCTCACCACACAACACTTCCCTCCTCACCACACAACACTTCCCTCCTCACCTCACAACACTTCCCTCCTCACCACACAACACTTCCATCCTCACCTCACAACACTTCCATCCTCACCACACAACACTTCCATCCTCACCACACAACACTTCCCTCCTCACCACACAACACTTCCCTCCTCACCTCACAACAATTAGCAGTTTCTGTTCCAAGTGATAACGAGGGAATTATCGATAAGAGGATGAAAAATCACCGTTGAAAGGTGATGTAGAACCAAAAGGATACATAATAAAAATAATTACATTATTATGATAAAAAATTTAGAGCTGATAAAATTTTCGTTGTCTTGGAATTTATAAGTTATTCAGAGGATTACAAGATTTCAAATCGCTAGAAATTCACAATAATCTTAGAAGCAAGAATATAAAGATTAACGAAGTAAATGTTGCGCGAAAAAGTTTTAAGGAAAGAAGTACTGTACCAGTAAATAGTGTAGTGGATTTCTCCCCTACAAACGCTGTTTGTCGCTGAGTAGCCGACCCCACCAATTCCCCAGTGTATGCCTCGTGGTCTGGGTCAACCAGCGCTGCCATACATCACGGAGCGGGGGTCAACTACTAAGCCACGCCTACCTCCGCTATTTAAGACCTGACCTCGTGGTGACCTGTCTCTTTCTACCTACAGCCAGCAACACCTCCACCTCCTCCGCCGCTGCCTGGCGGTCCTCTCTCCTGCCAGCAAGCATGGCGACCCACAAGCTGTCCTTCTCTGAGCGTCCTCACCAACCAGCTCTCTCTACATCACACTTGTAACCACGCTGCCTTCCCAGCACCAAGCTGCATTGTACATCCAATACAACATGTATATAGAGAGCACATTGTGAGTTTCCTTTCTCCATCCCATCCTGAGTGTGAACCCAAACATCTTGAACCCCACATTAGTTTTATAAGACTTATTAGCAGACCTTCACGATAAAAATTACTAATTTAATTTGGAATGACAAAAAGTTCATCAGCAAAATAAGAAAAGGAGTAGTGTACATTGCTGATAGCTTTTCCAAATTGGGATTTATTCTCCAAGAAAATTCTTATAAAGATACAAGAGTTTGCTGATAATGAGAGTAAGGATGAGATTAATATTTTTGAAATGATAGGCAGTCTATGTGCAGTGCAAAACTTTTAAAAGGAATATTTATTACAGTACGTGTTATAGGGAAAGATCTTCCAGAGATAGGGAATATGGTGACAAAAGTGAGTTAATTTTTTTAGTTAATGTATAATTGCAGCAGTTTAGCTTTTAATGTAGTTATTTCATTACAAACCAGAGGGTATGGCTTATAGGAAAGAAAGGACTGAGGAGAAAGTAATTCTAAAAAAAATGGTACAGGGAAGTTCAATAACACTTGAATAGAAAATATATATGAATATCATTAGGTGGTAAAAGTATAGAGGAACCCATCCATTATATCACTTGGACCCGGGAAAGTACTGTACAGTATATGGTAGAATTGTAATTGATAGTGAGGACAACAGGAAGTGTAAGGTTAGGGAGGTATAAACGGAGGCAGGGATTGTAGGGATAAAATGTTTTCAGCATTGTTGTAGACATGTACATACAGTACCAAAAAAGACTATCCCATTGCATTAAGAATCAAATATTGAGCAAAACGAGACCAAAATTGTCCGCCAAACTAGCAACAGACTTGTTAACAGATTGTTGTTGGAACTGAAGAAACCCGTTGAATGGACTTAACAAACGCAAACTAAGTGTCTTGACGAATTGACATACATCACTGCATTATGTTTAATTTTGGCAGGTGCGAACAAGCAAAACTAACAAGTTAAACAGTTAAAGCATGAGCTGCTGCTTGACGTTATGCTTCCTGTTACGTAACACCCCCCGCCCCTCCCACCTCTCTCGCCCGTCAAAGATTTCCTATTACAGTACTCTCGTGTTTCTTTACTTTTCATATTGCTTCATACTTTCCGTATTGTTTAATTTGAGAACGCATTGGACACGTCTCCCCATGGCTAGTACATCAGTTATGTGAATCGGGTTAGTGATTCGATAAAAGTTTATTATTAATATTCTAGTAAACGTAATTTAAGATTACTTCTATTGGCGAAAAAAAATACTTAGTGCGTGTACGTTTTTACATTTATTACAGGAAATACAATATTCAAATGCAGCCATTCCTTATAAGTTTAACATTTAAACACATGAAAAACAAAGCATTGTTTTGAATTGTATATAGCAAGATGTAAGAACACTACACAGGATGAGTTGAAATCCCTTCAGGTTGTTTAGGCAGGCGAGAACTGTAGCTGACGGACTGCACCCACTGTACAAATTAATCTTCAATAAAGTAACTTCATTCTTTGATCTTAATATGATGCATAAATCTCAATAATCATATAAAAATAGAAAATGTTTATGATATGACTAATTATAGTTTTTGATAGGAAAAATAAATCTGGTTTGTTTTGTAAATGAGTCAAATTTGTAAAAAAAAATAGGGGATATAAGGACTTAACCCACCTTGATGACTCAACCAGGAATTTGCGGACTTAATTTCGGCCAGGAAATCAACAGAAACAAGATGAATTTGAATGTAAATACTATTTTTTTTATTGTATTACCTATTTCTAACAAAACAGAATGAAACTTAATTTGTGAAGGTAAGTACTAAGTAGGGTAGGTGTGTTTATATGCTTCTGCAGTACAGTAATTCATAAGTATTTCCACATTCGAATTCCCCATTCTCCCGTCCATTAAAAAAAAAACACTGCCTTAAAATACGACTACTATTACTACCACCACCACTACTACAGTACAACAACAATAACTACTACTATGACTACACACACACGCACATACACAGTTCTGGTATTCCCCAGGAGATTCCCAGGACGACACTACTACCTGACCCTATTTATATCTATATTTGATTTTGTTGTTGAGGTCTAATTAAATGGTTTCTAGGTAGTTTATACAGGTATGACACGAGACAATAAAGGTAATAACAAAGGACAGATAGGCCTAAGTGGGGAAATGATACATTTCATAACTAATTAAGCTGCATTGGAATTTAAGCAAACGTAAGGGTTTTATATATTTTCTCTGGATAAAAATTATGGTAATATTTTTCTTAAACACTGTTCGGGGGAAATCCCACGGAGGCGTTATTACTAATTTTGAGAGAAAAAAAAACAGTGGTTGCCTTGCAGTCTACCTTTTAGTGTGGTGAGGAGTGGTGAGCCGCACTTCCAACCTCACAGTGATTCACAATAACCTCGTCCTTGTGGTATACGTATGTGCTTGTGGACTGTGGCTTGTGCTAGTATAGTGTTGTCTGCGGTGGAAGGTGGATGTGTTGCGTACTCTGGTACTCGCCCCGTAAATGTGAAGTACTGTTTATCTATATGACTTACTGTAATTTGTGACTGTCAGTTTCTTATGCATATGTACACAATTAACGATGTATACAAATGTTGTGTAAGAAACATTTAACTTTCAGCAATACTTCACGCCAGGAACTGAAGTAACAACACCAACAGGTAACTAATGGCGGTGCCCCTCCAACTCGGCCCATCTTAAACAACCATTAATGACCACTGATGTTAGCATTTCGTATAAAACTAATATAATGATGTGTCGGCTTTTATTTATTGAGGGTCTGTTTCTCGCCCCAATGTGACGTAGGTTAAAATTCATTTTTATCCCAATAGGTATTTCTGATTCTTTTTACCATTATCACTAGAATTCTTTTTTATTTATTTATTTTTTTGTTCTTGTTTTATCCTCTTCACCAATGATCGGCACGTAAGCCACTTGGGCGATCGTTCACGTTTCTTGATTACTTTTCCTTTTAGTCAGAAATAGATCTTCTTCAGCCTTAACAACATCAACCTAGAGAAGTCGACTTGTGAAAGAGATCTAGGGGTACTTGTAAGCCCGGACCTACGGCCTAGAAAACAGTGCGTTAATGTTCGAAATAAGGCAAACAGAGTATTGGGTTTTATATCTAAAAGTGTAAGTAACAAGAGTGCAGAGGTGGGTGAAAGGAATCAATAAAGGGGATATAGATAAAGTTCTTATAATATCCGAGCAGGATAGGACTCGGAGCAACGGATTTAAGTTGGATAAGTTTAGGTTTAGGAGGGAGATAGGAAGAAACTGGTTCACAAATAGGATGGTGGACGAGTGGAACAAGCTTAGCAACTTTGTAGTAAGTGCGGGAACTCTGGAAAGTTTCAAAAGGAGGCTAGATAGATTCATGGATGATAGAGAGTGGTGTAGTGGATTTCTCCCCTACAAACGCTGTTTGTCGCTGGGTAGCCGACCCCGCGAATTCCCCAGTGTATGCCTCGTGGTCTGGGTCAACCAGCGCCGCCATACATCACGGAGGTCAACTACTAAGCCACGCCTACCCCTGCTATTTAAGACCTGACCTTGTGGTGCCCTCTCTCTTCTAGCTACAGCCGCAGCAAGCTACACCACTTCCTCCACCGCTGCCTGGCGGTCCTCGCTCCCGCCGGCGAGCATGGCGACCCACAAGCTGGTCCTCCTCTGAGCACCCTCACCAACCAGCTCTCTCTACATCACGCTTGTAACCACGCTGCCACTTCCCAGCACCAAGCTGCATTGTACATCCAATACAACATGTATACAGAGAGCACATCGTGAGTTTCCTTTCTCCATCCCATCCTGAGTGGGAACCAAACATCCCATACCCCACAGTGGTAGTAATTCTCGACAGGAGCCGCCATGCACAGGCCAACCGGCCTATTGCAGACTCCTTATTTTCTTGTTCTTAATGGCGTTTCCGGCGCAAATTTATATTTTAAGAGTATTTTAAGTACCGATAAAATTACCAACAATATTAGTTGTTCAAAGTGGGCAGGGCTTTGAAGCAGAGGAAAAATGTGGGGTAAAATACTACAATGAACACCAAACAACCATTAAAAACCTCACCGAACCAATAAATATCCTAAAACAATCAAGGTAGGTATTTACCTACCTTGAAAACAATACGGAGGTTGGCATTAGTACCCCCCCCCCTCCTACACACTCCAGACATGGAGGCCTAGTGTTGGAACGCAGCTGAGTCGTGGGCTTGAAAGGCCTTGACGCTTAAGCTTTGGCACAAGGCACAAAATCAATGTTGTCAAAAATATTTTATGATTTATTTAACAGTTTTTCTTTTATATTACAGATTCAAAACAAGATGAAATCCTTGAGGGTGTTGGTCGTAAGGAATTTATTAGCACTGATGATCTTTATTAATTTATCATGTTCAGCATTCCCCAACAAGGAGGATTATGACCCACCAGTTGTTGATTCAGGTAAACCATAGTTTATTGGATGTTTGTTGCATATATATATATATATATATATATATATATATATATATATATATATATATATATATATATATATATATATATATATATATACTTTATTTATCAATGCACTTCAAGAGAGCTGCAGCACTCAAAATGCATCACAGTTTTTTTTTATTCACCTTGTACAATATGATATCTGTATTAGTATGGTTGAATAAATTGTTTCAGTTTCAATTTCAGAAGGTCAAGACAAACTGCAAGAAGTTCTGTCATCTAACTCTTCATCTCCGTCCTGTACTGATGAGGAGTCATCACATAATTTAAATTCTAGTACAAGTCATTGCCCAGATGTTGCCTCTCTCTACAGATCTGCATCAAAGGTAATTTCCTGTTTATATTTTTCCCATAATTTCAGTTTATTTTAAAGTTCCATTTACTCAATGGTTAAATTCCTGGAAAACACCACACAGTATGAATCCATAAAAATAAATATCCTGGGGCTATAGAACATAGGGAGTCTGGTTACGGGCTTACTTTACTTTACTTTTATCATCTTTACCAAATGATCGGCTCATTAGCCGCTTGGGCGATCGGTCATGTCTCAGTTACGCACTGTTGGCAAGTACTGGCATTACACCGGCTCCTGAATGTACCTGAACCCGCTCCAGTGTTGGTCAAGTCTGGTCTTGAAAGAGCTCACACTCGGTGCCGTCACAACACTTTCTGGAAAAGTTTGCCCTCACAGTTTTCTGGACTTGCGGCTTGCCTTAATTCCTTGTGTTGGTTACAGGTAAGGTAGATGTAACCTACTATAGATGAATGACCCTGTTACTCTAATTCTTTTCTAAAGATACTTTTCTTTGTGCTTTCAATACAAATACATTATAGCTACAAGTAATAAACACTTTATGAATAGCAACTTGTTACTGTATTCTAAAAATTAGAAAACCAGCAAAGAGAAGTGTGCAGACACACAATAAGTGGGTGGTGGATGTAAGACATTAGATAAAACACTTTCCTTATGGATAATAAGAAACAGGTTGTATATCTTGCCTTTTAAAGTCAAACCCTCTAACATAAAACTGGGATACAGTACATACTGAAGAGAAAAATTACCTTTTGATCAGATATTACTATAAACATGTTTTCATGACACTGGCAACAGTAAACTTGGGCATATGGGCAGATTTTATTTGGGGGTGCAGTCACGTACTAACCCAAATACCGGTAAAGCCTCGGCTGCCCGAATTTATACTTAGTACTGAACCTGTATGTGAAATTTATGTTCTTTTCTTTTTTTTATCAAAATTCATTAATCAATATTACTGTCAGTTACATTCTTTTCTGTGAATAATTAGATAGGTGAGGTATCCATAATTTTTCACTGACAACTTAATTGAACAAGAATACTGAAAAAAAAATCTTAAATAAAAAATATCTACAATTATTTACATGCGACAGTAAACATTACTTAAAAGAAGTGTGATCACCTATTCTTACTTCTGCTAAATGTATCAATAATCCTGTTCATGTCATTTTCAATAACTTTTGTGGCATAGGCATGCTCATTGTTCAAGATAGTGATACTACAGTAGTACTAAGACGTTGCTCTCCCATGGGTGTGTGGAGGTATGTTTTCATTTGACATAGTGCACTGAATGATCTCTCTGGTGTGCATCATGTGGCCGGAATTGTAGCAGTTCTGTACAACTATGGCATGAAGTCATTCAATTCGTTTTGGTACATAAAATTTACTGTAGTAGCATTTCCTATGATTGATTCCAATTGGTTTTCAAGCAGAAAATTACAGTACAGGTATTAATTTTTTTTTTCAGTAGCAAGAATGTCTTTGTCAAAGTTAGTCCTCTGAAACTATGTCCTTATACTCTATAGTCTTAAGTTGTGATGTTTCTAAATAATATTGATAATAGTAATGTCATCTCTTTACAGTGGCCACAGAATAAGAATTTAGCAGTTCGATTAGTACGGATTGATGGTACTTTGAACCTTACTCTGCTGGCTGATATGGTCCTTGTGTCTTTATCTCTCCAGGGTGCCAATGTGACACACATCTCTTACCAGCAGCAGGTCAGATTTACATATACACTATCACTTAAATTGAAACCTAATACTGTATACTGTATAATATTTTTTTGTGGTGTCAGGTGTTATAAATCACTTCCTAATTAAACTCTTGAACAAGTTTCATGTCAGAAAGTAGTTTCAGGCCTAATAGAAAAAGTAATATTCTTTGCTAATGCTTTGGAAGTTTAAATTAAATTAAATATAAAAATACATTCTTTTGCTGTTTCTCTCTTTCTTACCCTTTTGGGTCCCAGTGTTTGTGTGGCTGATTTTTGTGCATGAATGTTACCTGCATTTTGAAGCCATGAGTAGATAGGTGTGTATGAGTATCATGACCCTAACATCAAACTTCATATGAATATACCTTGATCTCATTATATATGATGTTTTAACCTACAATTGTGTATCTTGGCACAAAGATCCATGTTGCTTTCGATAAGACCTTTGTCTTGACCTCTAAAACTGAGGTTTTAGTGAAATCTATTCCTTATTCCTCATGCAGTGTATGACCTTGGATGGCACCCTTGAGCAACCTGGCACCTGCTTTAGCACTGGTATGCATTTTAATCTTGACCTTATTTTGAGACTACTGTGAACTCGTATACAGTATACAAAACATTGATTTTTTAATACTGCCCTGGCACCAAATCTGCTATCATGATGTTCTTCTTAATTTATAATAAGGAGATAACCATTTCCTCATTTGAGCATGCTATGCATGAAGGGAAACATTTTTGTGCTTTTTGTGTTTGTCCTGTGTCCAAATTTGTATGATTCAGTTCAACTACAATGACAGGAACATTAAAAGTCTTGTGGACACAGGTGAGATAAGACCAAGGTGAGGGTAGGCCTGGAATTGGGGGGTTAGGGGGGCTGACTCGGTGGTGGATACCTACTGTTTTTGTATGAGAGGTGATGGTGACATGTCTTGTGTGTGCGTGAGATTGGTGGTACAGTATACAGGTATTATTAGTTACTGTATTTTATATAATATTGGTGTGTGTACAGGAGTAAATATTTTAACTATTATGCACTAAAGTACAGTGTGTACAGTAATAAAAAAGTGAGAACAATAGAAAGTGAGTGTATGTGCAAGGAAGTGTGGAGTATGCACGATAGTGAGGGGCAGTGGCTATCACCAACACAGTGCCAGGTATAAAAGAATTTAACAACTGACTGAAGCAACCAGTAAATGGAAGTACAATTTCTTACATTTTTTGCCTGTTAGGTCTTTTTTTTTTTTTTTTTACCTTTCACCATAAAACTTCAGTACAGTACAGTATAGTATCTGCTTATTAGCCTTTAAATCACGGTTGTTGAGTTGTTAACAGTATTAACTTGCATCCATTCACCACAATATTTTTACTTTCTTTTTTATTGTTAATGTAATTTAACTTTTGAGTAGTTGATGCTGGAGATGATAAGGAATCCACTAATCAATTTATGGATGCCATAGGTATTGCAAGAGTGCAGTTTTAATCTGTAAAAATGCAATGAAGTATTTAAACTAAGTTGGTTCAGACACTGAGGAAGTTGTCAACAAGTTAAGATATTTTAATAGCTTATTAAAAAATTAAGTGATAATAATTACTATTATGTGTATAATATTTTCATGATATTCAGTATGCAATTTTTTTATAAAGTAATTTCCTACATGTAAAATAGATAAAGGAAGTTGATTATCACAAAATATTTTTGTTGACAGCAACTGTGCAAACTGATGACTTTGGATCTCAGTAACAACCCAAATTTAGGTGCAGCATTTTTTCAAGAGCTGGAGGACCTGCCCTCTCTTACTAATCTGCTGCTACACAGGACATCACTTGCTACCATAAGTTAGTAGTACAGTCTAATTTGTATGTGTAAACACTGAAGTCTGAGTCTTCCTCTTAGTACCCATTACTGTATGCAGTATTATTATATTCTCTTTATCAAAAGAAGTAACGAGCAAATTTTTCTCCAAATTCTTTTGTCTTAATGTTGTGTATCTTTTTGCAGTGTAGAAGTTGGTACTCCTACAAGTACTTTGAGTGTTGTTAGGCTAGAGGACTATTATGGTACAGTGTTAATATAATTAATATTGCAAGTATGGTAAATAAAATTGCTACAATTAATTTGGAGAAGAAGCCTACAATTTGCTAGGTATATGTGTAATGAGACATTGTTGTAAGATATTGTATAATTTGGTTACAGGGGAGTGAAACTAATTTTATTGAGGTTAATAGTGAAATTTTTGTTTGTCATATTTCATCAGTAATCCAGAATTATATTATATTTGCATTCTTTCTTTTACAGGGTTACCTGACCTTTTGTCAAAGCTGACATCTATACAGCACCTCGATGTTTCATATACTGGCCTGCGAGATGTTCCCTTGGCAACATTTCAACACAACAAAGTAAGTTGAAGGAAAGAAGTCACACCAGTTTCTAATTCTTGGTTGTAACAACTTAACATGTACAGTATTGAAATAACCTCACTACAGTATATACACAACTTGTGTGGCTGTTTTTTTATAACTATCTAACTTGTTTACCTAATGGCCAATCACTGGAGGTGGCGAGTTAAGATAGCATTCTTAAAGTCTCATCATCAGCTGTGATGTGGCAGGTGTAAATAATGTACAGTATAGCGCTTTGGTAATTATGAGGGACGTGGCCATCAGCGCTTTGGTAATTATGAGGGACGTGGCCATCAGCGCTTTGGTAATTATAAGGTATGTGGTCATCAGCGCATTGGTAATTATGAGGGTGTTTTTAGACAGTTTTGTATGCTGATTACTCTCAGTTCTATTCATTTTCTTGGGTAAATGCTTAGTTTTCTAGATATAGGTAAGCTAAGAGATTGGTTAGGTTTGGTTTGTTGAGGTAGCACGTGATTTCATCCATTTTTATATTCTTACACAACATAATATACAGTAGTATGCTCTAATAAAATCAGTAAAAACTGGGTATGGCGAGTTATTGCCAGGCATTAACATACCTAGGTATAAAGCTAGATGTCACATTCTGGACTATATCACAAAAACTGGTTTTTAGAAAAAAACGGCTTTTTAAACCCATTTTCAGTGAAAAACAGCAGACGGTCACGATCTGAAAAATTACCTACGGTATTTGACTATAGCATTTTGATGTTTTTGATATTAGTAACTTGATTGACATCATAGAGTTGGGGATGAGACCCATTTGGTGAGAGAAATATGTTGTGCAGTATATCATTTTTGAGCTTGTCATTTTTCATTGTTTTGTTTTTTGTTTTATCCTCTTCACCACTGATCGGCTTGTTAGCCACTTGGGCGATCGATCACGTCTCTGTTACTTTTCCTTTTCTTTTATCCTCTTCACCAAATGATCGACTCGTTAGCTGCTTTGGGCTTACATTCATCTATGCTCTAAGAGGTTATTTACTACTGTACCTTGGTATCGTTACATTGTTGTTACATTGTAAGTGTTTTTGTAATTGCTTTTATTTCAGAAAAAATTTTGTAATTGCATTACTTGCCATTAATTAGTTTTTCATGTATCTTGACAGAAACTGAAGTCTCTTAACTTAGCTGGGAATCGGTTAATCCAAATCAATCTTGATAAAGGTAAGCATAATTGAGGATGTATTTTTGTTACATCAATTTAGTTTGAAAATCTTTTTTAGAAATGTTGTTCGGTATATTTTGCTTTAATAAAACCTAAGTTCAGTTCCTGAAAGGTTAAGGAAAGTCTTTTGGGATCTTTCCTTTCACATACTGTACAGGACAAGCGGATTACCACAGGGCAGTGTACTGAGCCCATTGTTGTTTGTTTGTATCATAAATGACATGCTAGAAGCTATACACTCCTCTATACAAATGTTTGCAGACAGTGCCAAGGTCTTCATGGATATTAAGAACCAAACTGACTATGAAGAGCTACAGAAAGATCTCTGTGAGCTTCAAGAATGGTCGAAGAAATGGCTGCTAAGAGTCAGTCTCATGAAGTGTAAGAGGATGCACCTGGGTCATACCAATGGTGAGATGGTGTATCACATGTCCCAACGGGATGGAGAAACTGCAGTAACAGACACTAAATGTGAAAAGGACCTGGGTGTGTATGTTGACAATGAACTGAAGTTCTTGGGCCATTGTGAGAAGAAGGTGAATCAAGTGACTAAGCTAGTAGGTCTTATGAGAAGGTCGTTCATATATCTAGAGATTGTCAGTTGATTGCCACCGGACTGGTGCCTGCACTACAGCACCTCAGTTACCCAGAGAGATTGAAACACCTGCAACTGCCTAGCTTATACTACAGCTGGGCAGGGGGTGAACTACTTGAGGTGTATAAACATCTAGGAGGGCACTACTTAGTTGAGTGTCCATACCTGGAGCTTGCAGACATTCGCCCCATAAGGGATCACAACTCAAGGTTGAAGAAGATGCAAGCCCAGAAAACTGAGAGCAGACTTTTTGGGAGTGAAAATTGTAAACTCTTGGAACAATCTGCCAGAGAGTGTTGTGACGGCACCATGTGTGAGCTGTTTCAAGATCAGACTTTTCCAACACTGGAGCAGGTTCAAATACATTTAGGAGCCAGTGCATGCCCAGTACATGCCAACAGTGCATAACAGAGGTGTGACTGACCGCCCAAGTGGCTAACAAACCGATCAGCGACGAAGAGGATAAATGTAAAAAAAAGTAAAAGTAAAAAGAGCAGTCAGAGCTCACTACATAGGGTGAGGAGGGGTGGACTGAGTAAGGGCATCATTCATATAAGTGAGAATATTTTTCATAAACTATAGGGTAGTAAGAGTAGAGTACTGTGTTCATAGAATGAACATTTGTGTAGTGCGGGATACCTGTATATACGTACCAGTGATATCTCCGATAGCTGGAACAATTGGTGCAGAGCACTTCAGGAAACGAGAGAGTTCTAGGTAACAAGATGACTCTCCCAAAGCTGGAAAAAATCCCTCCTCCGGAATTTTCCAGGTAATGGAAAAATGTTCTCGGAAGTTCCAGAAATTGCCCATTGCATCATCTCTCGAACCCGGAAAAAACTCCCCCATCCCTGGAATTTTCCGGATATCGGGAAATTTTTCTGAATTTTCCGGAAAATGTGTCCCTCGGAAAATTTCAGTTCCAACTATCGGAGAGTTCCGGGTTTGAGGGATTCCAGTTAACGGAGATATTGCTACTGTATTAACCTTGTGGTGCTGAATTTATTAATATACTGTACCAAATAAAATTTCAGTGAAGGCAGATACCTGAATAGATATACTGTACAGTAAAGCATTACCAAAATTTTTTGCGAGTATACAATAGGTGTTTATGAGCCCCTTTGATAAATTGATATGCTCTAATTTGGTGATAATGACAAGTGCCACTGGAAGCTATGTATATTGTACTGTGTGTATAAAAATAAGAGATTTATAAAAAAAAATTTATTGTCACCTGAAGGTAGACTTTTTGTTCCCTCTCAGGCCTTGTGCAACAGCTGACACATTTGAATATGTCTGGATGTGAACTACACCATGTAAGAGTAAGGTCAAGTCCAGCTGCTGTAGAGACAGGGCCAGGGCTTTTTCCCAAATCACAGTTTCAAATACTTGACGTATCACATAATCACCTCGCTTCTCTCCCAGCCTCCTTGATAAATGTCCTCACTAGCAGCAAGTCTCACCTAAATATTACAGGTAAGTTTTGGTTTATAAATATAAAATATAAAGTTATTTAGACAGTTTCAAATTGTCGGTGGAATATTTACATACCTAGATATAAAGCTCTATAACAAAAACTGTTTTTTAGAAAACAATTCCTTTTTTATATACTGTACAATAGGACTATCTTTATTTGAAATTCTAATTCTAAAAACCAATAACACCCAGTATCCAAAAGTTCCCATGGTACCTTATCCATTCATCTATTGACTGATATTCCTTCATCATGTGAAAGTACCTTTTAACTTTTGGAAGTGGGCACTCCAAACATGTGTATAGTAGACTATGTAGATACTTTATATGATGGATGTAGACCAAAGAGGCATACAGTTTTAAATGTATTAGTAAACATTAAGTTAAGTTGACCGAGCATAGCTAGCAAAGCCATCAGATGCTTATTTCCATTAGGGTCCTTTAATAATCATAATTTTGTTTGCAGATAATTTATGGCAAGAGTCGTGTAATAATTGCTCACTTTACTACTTGAATTACTTCATCAACATGTATCGTAATCTGGTGGTGGGAAAAGAGGAGGTCCAGTGCTTTGATATGGAAGCACTCTTTTCTTGTAGCTGGGAAGAATGTCCTCTTGGCTGCCACTGTAACAAGAGAAAAAAGACTGTGGACTGTACAAATGCAGGTGAGGGGTGTATTGAAATTTATTATAGATACTGTAGACAGTTGTTCCCGAGTTGTTCAAAGGCATATTCAAGATTGTTGATAACTCTTTTATTTGTAGAAATCTTGTTGATTATTATTGTCTAGCATTTACTTTCTGTTAGGCAAAACTGAACAATTTATGTTCAAATAACAGACTGAAAAAATTTTGGTTGTTTTTCAGGAACTTTAAGGTGTTAAAAGAATTAGTTTAGTATCTTTATGTACGAGAATATAAGTCTCGCTGAACTAGTACGGTAAGACAAATATGAAGATCCTGCACATACAGTAATTAGATGGTCCAAACTTTCTCATAAGACTTGTCAAGAGTGTAGTCCTACCTCACTTGGGTATTGCAATTCTCCTTGGTCTCCAAGGTGTATCAAAGAATTCCAATTAATTGAAAATATCCAAAGGATAGGTACCAAACTGGTGTTGGTATTGAAACACTTCACTTAATATGACACAGTAACTCATCTAGGTTGAGTGTGCAATTTTTTGAGTGAAAATTTATTATTTACAATAATATTTTATTAGCCCCAGCACCAAATGAACCTATTGTAAATAATGTGGGAATTATGGTGAAAGTACAGTGTCATTTTAATGGGTTGGGGCTGTCAGAAATCTCCCAGAGGGGGAACTGTTGCCGAGTCATTCCACTGCCAAGTGTCTTACCTACCTAGTGTACTTCCCTACACATAATTCCTTATCACCATTTTTTTTTAGTTTTATATAATATTTTCTTTATTTCTAAGTCACATTAGAGCATTGTTTTCTAGTTGAAATTGGAGGAGTGAAAGGGCAAAAAAAAAGGGACTTTGGCACGAGCGGCAGAAAAAACAAGTACCTGTAGTCCCACAGAACAAAGCAATTGCAAAACTCGCGTGACCACTGTAATGTCTTTTATCTTTAGTAATAGGGACAATATTGATGGTTTTTTTGTATCAGTCTAAAGTCCAGAGTAAAATTGCTGTAGATAAAGTTGGATTCTGTTTGTATTGTTTTCATACTAATTTACTTGCATAGAATGAAAACATTTGGAGTTGCACTACATAAAGTGTGAGCAAATAGTATAGAGATTTACAATTCAAAATTTTTACTTTCTTTGTGTTTTGAGGATTAGTATCTTCCCACAGGATTGGAGACCATTCCCTTTGTGGGGCCAGCTGATGCAGAGACACTTTTAATGTCAAGTAACAATCTGCATAATCTGAGTGGGATAGACTCTCCAGCTTGGTGTAACCTCACGACATTGATTGTAGATCAGAACCAACTTAGTATTTTGGGTGAGTGGTGAAAAAATCTACTGTAAACTCATTTGTAAATATTATGTATAACTGTAACCCATCATATTTCAGGATGCTATCATTTTGCCAAATTCTAAAATAGATATGCTAGGCCTCACCATTTCCTCTAATATGTCATGGAAGCCACACATCCTCAACATTGCTAAAGCTGCCTCCCGAAAGCTGGGAATGCTGTACTGATTCCGTAGCTACTTCCACTCCAGAGCAGTTGCTTGAAGTATATAAGAGATTCATTCGTCCTAACTTGGAGTACTGCTCTCATATCTGGGGTGGCTCTTCTTTTGTCCAACTGTTAGATAGGGTGGAATCAAAGACATTTCGTCTTATTAACTCTCCTCCTTTAGTTGACAATCCTTCTTCCCTTTCTCTTCGCCACAATGTTGCTTCACTCTCTCTCGTTTACAGGTACTTTAATGGGCGATCTTCTGTGGATTTGGCATTCTGTGTACTGCCGGCAAGGCCATGGGCTCATAACACACGTCTTGCCCATGGTGCCCACCGTTTCTCTGTGGATGTCGGTTACACTAGAATAACCCGTTATAGTACATCCTTCTTTCCTCACACAACCAAACTGTGAAATGCTCTGTCTTCGTCTGTGTTTCCACATTTATACAATCTGACTCACTTTATAACGCTGCTTTCCGGCATCTTCATGGTGTAGATTAATACCGTATTATTTTTTGTCCCCTAGGCCCCATTGTGGGTCGATGACCTGTGCCCGGGTGGGCTATTCCCCCTGTATCTTTCAGTCTCCTCAATTGTTATTGGGGACATAATTATTTGCCCCATCTATGCATCTCTCCATCTGTCCATTCTGATCTTGTGAATACCACATCACATGACAAAGCAAATGGATATTGACCAGACTTTTGTGATAATGCTATTGCTGAGGTTTCCTTTTTTACTTTTACTATTTTGTTTACATGACCATGAACGGGTTAATATTCCTTAGTAATATTAAGACTTTTAAATGAAAACACATACTGGTTCTGTAATAACCAATGAGTCTAGCAGGAAAGCTGTCTACAAGTCTACAACTCATTTAATGATGCTTTGCGGGCTTTTCTGTTAAAATTTTATACTCTTTAACAATTGGATAATCATACAAACTTTGGCTTTTCACGGTTTCAGGAATGGAACTTATTTTTCCCCATAAATTATTAATATTAATATATGCTCAATCATCTTATGATGTTTTTTCAAAGTCCCTAACCCCATCACATACTGTACTGTAATGGGCAACACCTGTACATTATTCATAATAGGGATAAAGTTACGTATTCATATACAGGGTACTGTACAACATTTTATTAGTGTACAAAGAATGAACTTTTTTGGAATCATATTGTGATATATATTTCTCAAGTTGATTCTCTTCTCTGCCTTAAGAGCTTTGTGAGTTATTTAATGTTTTCTTAGTGCCCCCAGGATTGACTGGTCACTGCCCTTGTCATGAAAACTGGATCAACAACAGTGAAGAAAAGAATTGCACTCCTCAACACCTGCAAACTGTCAACTTGAGCCACAACAAGATTAAGAGTATATCATCGAATGACTGCTCTCTGCTCTATCCTGTGATGGAATTAAATATTTCTTCAAATTTGGTACAGTAATAAGAAACAACAGTATACTACTGTACATAATTTTTTTTCAGATATACTTCTTATTTGATAGTACATGTATAATGTTTACATATTGCAATAATTGAAATAGGACTACAGGTACTCCTCTACTTATGAACGAGTTACGTTCCTGAGGCTTGTTTGTAAGTCCAATTGTTTGTATGTCCAACTTTACTCTTGTAGATACCAAACATATTGTAAGAAATGAAAAGATTATTGATATTTAGTACTGCTATACCCTTTAATACAGCCTTAAAACCTGGCTCACTCTTCTCCTCTTTGGTAATGTTTGTTCTATCTGGAATTTTCTTAAAAATAATCCAGTCTCATCCACATTAAACACCTGTTCTGGTAGGTAACCCCCTTCAGTGATGATTTTTGTATCTCTGAAAGTTTGCAAGTTGAACGTTCTTAAGTAGAGGAGCACCTGTAGCTGGAATCAGTATGGTAATGTTAAAAATGGGAAGTGGAACCACGACAGATTGGATGACGAGTGTATAGATAATATATTATGACAGAAGGACGAGTACTAAATAATATGGCAGAGTATGTGTAGCTCCATTGTATGTAATGAAAGATGATGTGCATGAGTTTAAAAATTACAAGGGATTAAGTCTGTAAAGGTATTAGAGAATGTGTACAGAACAGTATTTACTTGTGTATAAACCGATCTCATATATAGTTCAACCTCTAAATTTTTGGTCAAAAAGTAAAAGTTTTTCATATATCTGTTGTGTAATTCGATCCTAGCTTTTGAGAAATATCCGATATAATCCGAGACATAATTTGTAGTGAGACATCAGTTTCACTGTAACGTGTCTTGGCAGTGACCACCACCACCACAACAGCTGATGCTATGAGCAGTTTTACCATCTCTGAAACTGACTTCCTCCTGTTACTATGAGGAATGAGATAAAATAATGCAGTACAGTACTGTATATATCCAGAAAATGTTACGTGCGCACACATTTTTCATACAGAATGTGCAAAAAAAGAAAAAGTTTATCATGAGGTCAAAACATAAAGATAATGAATACTGTACTGTACTTCTTACGACCGCTGACTGGAGTCACCCGGATTGTGTGAGGAGGGAACAGTGGTGGAGATCTCAGGTGCTACAATCTCCTATGCATAGTAAAACTATTGCCAACTGACAGTGCAGTACAGTATTTTTTCTTTTCTTTTATTTATTATATACATTAAAATTTTTATTTATTCCTCACATTTACTGTTACTACAGTATACCCGTGACCCTGGTCCCTTATAGCCTCAGATAATGAGCAGTTATATAAAAAAAGATGTGGTGAAAGTTTTTGGTTGGGAAAGCATTCCCCACTATTTACATGAATTCTTTATGTGGGAAAAATGGTCTTGATATTAGCAGTTTCATTAATTGCAGTGACTTTTAGGATTCATCCCTTGTGATAACCAGCGTATTCCTGTTGTTTAAATGGTATAATAATACAAGAACAAAAATTATATGGATGGACATGGAATCACATCTTTGCTAGTTTTTATGATAATTGTCGTTATGAATGGTGACAAGTGAAGACGGCATAGTATACTGTAGTGCTGGTAGTTAGAGAAAAAGAGAATCGTGTCTCATTGGTTAAATAGTGAAGATAATAGCTATAGTTGCAGGGATGGATGATGACTAAAGTGATGACTATCAGAGGAAACATTTTAGGGACAGAGTTTTATTTTGGTGGAAAGGAGAAGGATTAAATATTTTTGCCTGTTTTTAGTTTCAGAGCTTGGGAGCCCTGGCCTGTGTATCACTGCAACGTCTACAGGTCTTAAGATTAGATCACAATATGATCAATAATGTGGCAGAGTCAGAATTTGCTACTTATCCGTACCTTCAAGAGCTCTACCTCTCTAATAACACACTAGAGATGCTGCAGCCAAGGATAACAGATTTAATGTTTAAACTTAAGATTCTTGATGTCAGCCACAACCTTTTGGCAAAGTTCAGCAGCAACAACAACAGGTATTTACTTGACTTTCATCTTTTTATACAACTTTTATGACCAATCACTTAGCAGTTGTTCTAGAATCAGGAGATCCAACATTAGTAGCTAGGAGTGATCTTACATTTATTCTCCCTCGATCACTACTGTACAGTGGGGGACAAAAGGTTGCTCCCCGCAGTGAAATTGAGTCATGGGAATGAGTCTCCAAACTGACTTGCCCTAACTATTGTATCTTGTTGGGGGTCGATGCTGCTTCGTTTTGGGAGGGAGTGAACATTTGACCCCAACTGTACTTGACATCCTAAAAGAGAGACTAGGATCAGAAGCTTTTCTTTTAGTAAATTAGAGGGAGGAGGCTTGATGATCAGTTGACACCACATCAGTGAGATTGCATCATGTACTGTACAGTATTTCTTCTCAGGTCAGCCACAGATGGTTATACAAATGTCAATCCCTTCATTCCCAGTCACGTCCACATACTTGCTTCACTTCTCTGAAAATAAGTCCTTAGTACCTCATTATTTTAGCACACTGAAAGGTTTTATGGCTGGGTCTCACAAACCTAAGTGTTAAGTTAGGAGATATTTATATGCATTTATGTTACAATCATTAACTTAGGTTTATTTACTGTTTAATTATGATTCAAGTGTGGGTTAGTTGTGAAAAACTGACCACCTGCTCTGTGACAAGTTAACCTTTGATATTGTGAGTACAAAAATCCCATCTGTCTTGTGATGGTTTAGAACACCTTGGCAGACCAAGGGTCAGGCCTGGAATTAAGGTGGAATATCCAGATGTAAACTGAAATAGGAATTTCAGGAGTTTCTATTTTCAGGATGGTTTGGGTGGCTCACTGAGATGCCCACTTCAGGGTTAACAGATCTGCATGTAGTATTTTATTTTGGGAGGATGTTTGGCAGTCCTCTTTGTTCTGTTTTAAGAAGTTGGAATAAAATTAAGGTGATCTCTTAGCCAATTAATATCAAATTTAGAATTCTTTATCAAAATGGGGAGCTCAAGGTTTGTTTCATTGTATCCTACTACAGTCCTGTATTAATCCAGCATTAGACCTGTTCAGTGGGACTGCTTCCTTTGGCGGTGTAAGTATATTTAGCAATTGGAGCCCATAGATTCCTCCTTGTCTTATTAAACTGGCTATGGCTTATATAAAGTTTGAAATTCCATTTTATAACCAAGTCTGGATTTGGCAACTCATATTCTTTCCTTTCTTCATTTGGGGCTGCTGGGGCATGCTGGGGTGTTGGTCAGGAAGGAGTACTTTGTAACAGATGTCAACAAATGAATGTATTTGAGTGTCTCATATTATCCTTACTGCAAAACATTTTGATTGTTCTCTCTTAGATTTCCAAGTGGAAATGTTTCAGGACCCAGGTAGAAAGGTGGAGGGTGATCTTATTATTAGATTAATTTGTTTTTTAGATTCCAGTTACAATTTGGGCCCCCAAGACTTGGAGTTTCAATTCCCAAACTTGACTAGTATAAAATTGCTCAATCCTAACTTGTTTATAAAATGGGGTTTCAGGTTCTTTCATCTCTGTCTTGTAATAGACTTTGAGTATCATACATTCCCTGGTAGCAGTACAGGGAGTACTGGATGTTGGCGAATATATAATACAGTCTAGTTGTGTAAAAGAAAATAGTAAATTGGTGTATTACTTTGTACATGTCTCCAAAAATTTTAAAACATAAGAATTTCCTAAGTTAATGAAATGTTACTCTCTGCAGGTCTTCTCATTCTCCATTTTCCTCTATGGGGGTGAGTCCACTAGAGGAGGTGTACCTTCATGACAACAAGTTCTCACAGATTGAACCAGTGCTTGACCTGGAACACATCTCCACCTTAAAGACACTTACCCTTTATAACAACCTCTGGTCATGCAACTGTGCCAGCATTAAAAAAGTAAAGGTAATTGAATGTCTAGTTGCTTAATTTTACTGATTCATCTTTGGAAGTTACTCTTATGATTGCATTGTAATTGTCAACCATGGTTTAAAGGAAGATGATCAGTGACAAATACTTTTTACAGAGACAAGATTTTTATAACTTAATGACTCATGCTGACATATGGCATCCCCAAAATTGTGACCAGGCCCCAGGTAGCTGATCTGACTTTCTGGCTCATTTACACACATAATTGCAGGGTTTCAATTGTTTCTTTTACTACTACTACTACTTTGCTGTCACTTGGAATCGAGTATGACGATCATCCAGCTATGATACAATGATACGAGTGAGTTCTGAGGTGACTAAATGCGGGAACTAATTCCACTCCCAACTGCCAACCCACAGAATCCCCCAAGTCAGAGATTGTCTGACTTATTGGGGTTTCTGACCTGAAAAATGAGTTTGGTTAATGAACAACAAAAACGCAATATAATACCTAAAAAAAATTATAACTTAAATAAAATACATATACAGGTACAGTATATTTTGATAAAATCACACAGGAAAAAGGGAAACAGTGGAGCACCTAAGCTTTTGTCTTTATTCAAGACATTTTCAGAGGCAACTGAATTACAAAGACTGAGAGAGGCTTATGTACACAGGGTGACCTTACAAAACATGAGGTCAGGTCAAAACATGACATCCACTAATCCGCACACCAACACCACCGCAAACATAAGAGGTACTTAAAAGAAAGGGCAATGTAATTAGTCATGTTAAGTCGTGTCAAAAATATGAGACCCACTAATCATGTATCCTACATCTACCTCGAATGCTTTCAAAGCATTTTTAACCTTGGGCCACTGACAAATATATTTGTGTAACATATCAGTTTTGTACTGACCATCACTAAGGTTTATGGAATTCAATTCTCTAATCAAACTTGCTTCAACTAGTAGTCTTTCTGTGACACATATTGATTTATACACTTGTAAACTGTTTTCCCAGTGTATGGGATGATTATTGTTCCTTATATGAACGTTTCCATTGTGGATCTACATTTTTTATCAGATCCACATTCGGATAGCAAAAAAGAGGTGTAAGAAAATAAAATTCGGATAAGCGAATTCTCAGTATATTTAATATGTACACACAGGGTATTGAAAGTGTACATACAGCTAGATTTTTCTTTAAGATAATTGCTAACAGAATATTGTACAGTATTTACATTGTGTATGCACAAAACAACAAGAAATGATTTATAATGAAGATTATACTTTGCAGGGGACAGTCTTCAAAGAACTGAAGAATCACGCCTTTATCACTGCTGTCACGAAAATGCAGTGCCATTTGCCGGCTGAAAAGAATGGTACTAATGTCATGCATATGAGGGAAGAAGAGGTGAATTTCTAACTCATATATTTTTGGAGGGTTTGTACTGATTGTCTCTATTAGGTAAATTAGGTAAATAATGAGCATTAAGTTCGTAGTTGTTTGTGGAGCTGCATTGCACTATGGACAGAGTGAATTTTGGGTGAGGTTAATATTGTGTTGATGTTGGTATGGATGGTTCGCACTTCATTGCTCCATTCTACTAGTCTGTATGCCTGTAAGTCCAACCAAGCTGTTTCTATAGCGGGCCTGGTCACCTGCTAGGGGTAGAGATTCTCAACCCACCTCCATCTAATGAATGTACTTTTGTTGCTAATTCATCTATCAGTCAGTGGCAGCCAAACAGTGCAGAGATTACTGTATGTAGTTCTTCTTGCCCAAGTTCCAGCTGTTGGGATTCTGGTTTATTTTCTTAAATTCTTGGTTTTTTCTAACCACAGTCCATTTCCAATGAATATTAAGTTAGACTATCACAATATCACGTCGGAGTTATGTTCCTAAAAACGCGACGTTATACGAAATCACGTTAAGCGGATCAATTTTCCCCATAAGAAATAGATAAAATATGGGAGTTATGTTCCTGAGCCTCCCTTTGCCCCATGAAATACATTCCATATACAGAAAAGCATTGCCATTTCTATAGAAAATAGTGCATACATATACAACTACTAAGTTTGTATTGGTACTCACCGATGGGCGGAGGTGGTAGAGCGAGTGTGTGGTGGGTAGTGAAGCAGAGGAGGTGGATGACTGGAGGGGAGGAGCATGGCAGGAGCAGTGGAGGAGGGTGGGAGGGGAGGAGGGTGGGAGCGGAGGAGGGCGGGAGGGGAGGGGTGTGGTGAGTCACTGAGAGACTGCACCGAGCCGAGAGAGCGTAGCTCGGCCGACGAAAGAGGGTGGTGCGCCTTAGAAAGTAGTCCGTGGCGACGCAAAACAACGTAATATCGGATCACCGGGACGTTTAACAAATTTTTGGTCTCTAAAGTTTAGCGATGTAGTACCGAAACAACCTTAAACTGGATGATGTTAAGTGCGGACTTACTGTATCATTAATGAATGAAGTTTAAAATCATAAAATATTTAATTTTACAGTTACTGAAGGATGACTTGTATCTTTATCTCTGTGACATCATGCATGTTTGAGCAACTATTTGTTGATGTTTCCTCAACTTGTGTTCACTTATTCAGTTTTGGAGTTGTTACTTGTTTCGTAATTTATTTATTTTTTTGCATGAAAATCCATTACAGTTTTAGTATCAGTCTTGAAACCTTTGGCAGTAACTTAGATAAGTCCCCCTACTACTGGGGGATGAAAAACTTAACCCTATATTCCCTAAAGCAGTGCTGTCCCTGCATACTACCATGAAATATTAATTATAGGTGCCATGGGTTTAAAGGTTGAGATATTCATCAATCTAACACTAATTGTGCCATTCACATGTCCAAATCATGTCCATATTATACTTCCAATCAGTCATTTTAAAAATTAACTTGACTAAGATTTCTCGTGTCATGTTTATATCTTAAGTATTATTTTTACCTTTTAAGTCTTACATTCCATAATATCAAAAGTAAATTTTGGCTTTTCTTTTGCAGGTTTGCCAGGAGACATCTCCTGACACCAACTTCATGTCCATGGTGGCGTTCATTATCATGGCTCTCATGATTGTGTTTGTCTGCTACCACATGAGGTGGAGCCGTCTTCTTAACAAAATCATAAGTGAAAAGAAAATGCATGTCAGCCGAGATCCCACTGTTGGGGTTAGTGACTCTTTAATTTAATGGCTTCAGACCTCTGTAATGTGATTGCCTTCAGTGTGATATGTTTTGAGTTTAAACTTTAGATATTTACGGTATTAATCAAAACAATCGGCATCCCATCAACATTGTTACAAAGAATGCATACACATGTAAGAGATAGTACATATAAGGATACTGTATTGTATTCACCTTAGTTTCACGTATGGATGTTGCATCTATCCTATTTACACTGTCTTCTTCCCAAACAGCGGACTTATGATGTGTTTGTTGTCCATGCACATCGGGATTATGAAAGAGTCAAGCAACATGTCATCGCTCCATTGACCCAACATGGCTATTCTGTGGCATGGCATGACAACGTCTTCAGACCTGGCGATTGGGTTCTAGGTAAGACAGTGTGCACTCCACATTTTGTTGTCCATATATTTGATCTCTGTTGCTCACTTCATTTTTCTCTCACACAAATTTTGCCCCACACCTCCATGTTTCATCTCTAATATTTTTTTATAATTGCTCGTAGTCTAGTCTTCCATCTCTCATCACTGGCTTTGTTACATCACTTCTATCCCTCATCTCTGCTTTACATCATTAATGTTTCACACCTCTGCACTTCATTGTTGCACTTCTTTCATTATTTTACACAAGTCTTTATCATTATCATCTGTCTACCTGATTATCCTGTGTCTTTTTATTTTCCTGTTTTCTTTATGGTTGTCTTCTCTTATAATAGTTTAATGACAGACTTATTGCTCCACAACAGAGAATGTGGAGAGAGCTGTGCGTAATTCTAGAAGGATGCTGGTGGTTGTGACGGACAATCTCCTTAATAGTAGGTAAGTCCTCTGTGTGAGCATACATGTGTATAAACATTGAAATGTATTATGTAATGTGTGTGTATATTGTGCCAGATGTTTTAATTGCCTGTATGTTGGCCTGGCGAGTTATTGCTAGGCATTAACATACCTAGGTTAAAGCTAGGCGATGCATTCTGAGGTTTGAACAAAAAATAGAGGAAAGATAATTGTACATAAAGAAGAGTGTCCCAAATATTTAAGCTTAATGGCTAATTTCAGTATTCTGGTGCCACAAATATCTTTTAACTCTCTTGGGTTATATATATATATATATATATATATATATATACTGTATATATATATGCTGATAACCACAAGGAAAGAAGAAAACACGAAGTTCCCAAGCACTTTCGTGTAATTCACATCTTCAGGGGTGATACAGATATTTATATGATGGTGTTTGAAACCAACAAGTGTTAACAAGTTAATCATTACACTAGATAATTAAGGAAAGGAGACCAGAGATATTGTAGGTTATCTATGAAACTTGTACAGTAATACAGTACTGCATTAAATGTCTCTTGTAAATACCAATACTGTATAAGATGTAAAAAACACCTAAAGGGATTCCTACCACCATTCAATATACGTAGTATCATTACTGCATATTTGGGTGAATCTACAGTATTGAAAATGAAAGTTTTAACCTTTGCTGTGCCTAGATGTACCATAATACTGTATATACAATTATACCTGTCAAACTCTTTCCAAAGATACCAAACATCTCAATAACTGTTATCACTACTGTATGGGGATGCTTGCTGTATGTTGTAAGATTTTATTTTTGAACTTATGACTCTTCATGTTATAGATGGTGTAAACAGGAAATCAGACGTGGCCGACATGAAGAATTTGACAAGGAGGGGTTCAAGGTGGGTAATAGGGAAAGGTTCACATTCATAATTAAAAGTGAACAGTTTAAAGTTACTACTGTATTAATAGTGTTAAGGTTCATGAGTAATATTAAGTTAATAAAAACATCTGTTGTTTAGTACAGTATGGTAATATTAAGAAGGCCTCCAAATTTAATATTAATAAGGGGTTCAAGGGCAGTATTAATAAGGGGTTCACGGTTAGTTTTAACACGAGGTGTGAGAGTTGTGTTAACAAGAGATTCATTGTTAGTAATAACAAAATGTTGAAACTTAATATTAATAAGGTGCTGAAGGCTAGTTCAGTATTAGGTGACTGGTGTTAGGTAAAGGATTATTGTGCCATTTTCATTTTTTTTGCCTTTGCCTATGTTTTTATGATTATGATTATTGGGACAGGCTGATACAGTTTTCTTGTTCAGATTTTGGCATTGATGATGGACCCATTACCTCAAGCTCTCCCCCGTGACCTGTATGAGATTGTGGCCTTGCGTACACATGTTCTCTTCACCAATAGGTAAGACCCGAATGACTGTTCGCATAGCTGTGATGAGACTAACTTACACAAAATACATAAAGTGTGCATAGGTAGTGGTAGGATATGTAGAACTTGCTGCTGGCACTGGTACCCCATTGCTGAAAAAATTCAGTAAAACAAGATAAAACCATTGAACTGAGAGCATCAGTCAGATCTTCACATGTTTTCCT